ATTTGATGAGTGTTCTCGTACTGCGTTTCCACATGCATACAAGTACATAAATGTAATATCACACCAGGTTCAGTCCATATCAGATTTCAAACCCAGGTTCCATTGAAGATTTACAACAAACAAAAACATGCAAATGGACGCCATTGACTGCTAAATACCCTAGACACCATCATCGCAATCAGAAACACATCAGAAGCTGGAGTATTGCATTTGTTAGTCACAGCAGAACAGATGTGGGCAGTAAGCTGTTGTTCGTGGCCTTTGTGAATAATATGTATGACTAAGTAGTGCCACAACTGATTACATCCGTAGAAAGGTCATTTAAAGACCAGCAAGAGCTCTCGAGATAACGACAGGTGAACGTAGTTCGTCCCATTAGTTAGAAGTAAGCGCTAAAGAGAATAACCAGTCCTGACCATCCACCGGAACTGATTACATTTGCGAAATAGCCTTGAAAATTACATGAACAGGCCACTGTAAATTACACATGCCATTGTTCGCAAACTCGGATCCAGATTTGCGCAAATGAAGCATGTTCACGGCGTGCTGATTGTTGTATGCAGAATAATAGTATTGTTTCTGTTCAGAGAATGTGGCCTGCTAAATGATATACATTTGTCATACATGAAAGAGAACATAATTAAACATTCATAGGCGGTTTTAGGTTTTTATAAAATTGTTTAGCTTATATCTGAGAGTATACTATAATAGTGCAATAAACGGGTCTCTTGTTTACACACAGATGATGTAAATATCATGCAACTATGAAATAGGATATGTCATCTTTTTAGTCACAGTTTGACATCCAAACAAGTTTCAGGCCCCTGGATGTGTTTGCAATAACATAGCTATAACCAGCAGGGGTGGTTTTAACATGAACGTCGACTGAATGTTTATAGATCATGGGTAACCAACCATTAACTGTTTCGAAGTGTGTATAGAATTGTTAAAAGTCTCTTTCCAGGGGCGTAGCTGCAGTTATAGAAAAAAGCCGGGCTTACACATGATTGTTGCTAAAAAGGTTGGGCAAGCACTCAATACTATCTACATTTAAAGCTTTGCAACCTATGGGGCTTACACGAAAAAATTGGCTTGCTACGCGCTTGCATTCCGCTGTCGGGTAAAGACGGTAGCCCAGTCTTTATCACGCTTATCCGCTTCACCCAACAACATCGACTGAAGGCAACTGAAACGTTCCAGTTGCAGCGTCTCGAATTGGGCTTGAGGACAGAACCTGGTACTCATTTAAGAATCAAACAACGATTGTGTTTGGTGCTGATGAACATAGATTCTGGACCAGTAACGATTACATATTTCATATTAGAATTCGGACGTCATGTTTCTCACTGGATAAGAGCCTGTCCTGCGGTCCGTGTGCTGGACAAGGGGTATTTGTATTTGTCTATTTTCCTTACGCCTCTCTGAAAGTACACTCAAATAGTGCATATGCATGTACACACGCACGCACAATCACTCAATGGCTCCCTGCAAGAGACGTATTCGTGATCGCACCCTTTGGAATTATGGGTAAACAGTCTTAATGACTTCAAGAAGTGCGCAAACAGTGACAAGCCACGATGACATATCACAGAACATACCAAACAGAAATATCTGACCTCTTGAATCTACCCCCTAAGCTTCCAAACCCTATCTCTACCCAAAGTCCCCTATTCGGTACCTATGGTATCCAATTGATTTTCAGCAATATCCAAAAGCACGTCTTGCGGAAACCTTAAGACTCTCTACCCAAAGTCCCCTATTCGGTACCTATGGTATCCAATTGATTTTCAGCAATATCCAAAAGCACGTCTTGCGGAAACCTTAAGACTTTCTGTACAATAGTGAACACAGGTCCCTGCTACATATCTGCAATCTATCTTAACAAATTGCCCTGGCAATCGCGTTCTCGTTTAATAGACAAGGAACAAGACTGTCGTCTTTGTTCGCTCGTCGAGGTCATATTTCTGTCGTTTTCAGGATGTGATAAAAATGTCTATTCTCTGCCTAGAAACAATCAAAGATGTCGCGCATATCGATCCAGGTTATTTTAGTGTTCTATTTTTGTCATTAACTAGTTTATATCGACCGGAAACTGGCTGATCACCTCCGTTTGTCCTTTACGAAACGTGTTCGGTACTTGCTCTTCGGTACTGGTCATCAGGTTCAGGAAGAGAGGCCCTCATCAGTAACGTTTTCATGATTTGTGTTGTTTGTTTGTTTTATTTTATAAGATTAAATGAATTTTGATTGTTCCATTAATCCATTGATGGGTTTCCGGATTAGACTTAAAGGTATCATAACATGTACTTCTGCCTGGGAAAATGTCACAAATAGAATAATGCCGGTGGGTATCAGAACCAATTATTATGTTTGTTAGGTCACGTCTTCATGGCAATGTATACATAACTAGAATAATGTGCATTGGTAGTGAAGTGAAGGAAACAGTATTTAAGTTGGTTGGTTGTTTAACGCCGCACTCAGCAATATTACAACTATATGGCCGCGGTCTGTAAATAATCGAGTCTGGACCAGACAATCCAGCTATCAACGGCATAAGCATCGATCTGCGCAATTGGGATACGATGACATGTGTCAACCAAGTGAGCAAGCCTGACCACCCGATCCCGTTAGTCGCCTCTTAAGACAAGCATGGGTTCTAATATTTCGATACATTTAAACATATTGATGAAAAGTGTAAAATGAAACTTTAACCACCTGTTTGGGTTTTTCTAGTACCTATATGCCGAGTAGAGGCCGCCATTGTGCAGTCATTGCCTGTTACAGTGAAACGCCAGCGCAACGTACCTAGGGAACCAGACCGTCGTACCTGTACTCTTGTCCTTGACCTTGCACGCCATCATCGTTCACATTCAGGTTTGTTGGTAATTGTTCCAATTCTGCTAATCAAATACTGAAAGATTGAACGTATTGAACGTTGGACGTTGACTTCTGCTAGGTTCCAGCTTGCTGATAGCCCGTGGACGGATTGTGCGTTGGAGATGGCGCATCACGAGTTCATGTAAAGAAAATGAAACGACTTTACAATCTACAGAATCACAATACATACATACATACATACATACATACATACAGACAGACAGACATACACAGACATACAGACACACAGACACACACATACATCATACATCATACATACATACACACACATACATACATACATACATACATACATACATACATACATACATACATACATACATACATACACACACACACACATACATACATACATACATACATACATACACACACACACATACATACATACATGCATACATACACACACATACATACATACATACGTACATACACACACACTCAAACACACGCACGCACGCACACACACACATATATACATACATACACACATACATACATACAGCCCTTGCTCGTAGTTAAACGTGACTAACGGGATCGGGTGGTCAGACACGCTGACTTAGTTCGTGTAGGCCACTAAAGATCCATCTGCGTAGTTCAATGCTTCCCGTGTCAATCACTGGATTGTCTGACACAGATTCGATTATTTGCATACCGCCGTCAAATAGAAATTAACATTGGTGACTGTCGGTTTGAACAACAGCAACAGGAGCAGCAACCACAACAGCAACAAAAAACAAACAAAGAAGTAACATGAGAATAAGTACATTAGAAAATTTGCGGTGTGACGTAAAATCAAACGACAAATGTGCTCTTTATCTTTCAGTAAACTGTGTTTGCAACGTTACAGTAGCCAAGTGAACGGACCAGTCTACTGAGGCGTTGATAGATAACCTTTCTCTTTAGAATCTCTTTTTCAAGCACATGTACGCCAGGAAGAGGTATTTTACGCCCGTTTCCTAAGATTCATTGTTGATAAACATTGCCTCGGAAGTGTCTTTCGATTTATATGAAAGTTTTCTTCTGGGATGAATTTATCTTACACTTTTATACCCGACATCAACCACACTTTCTGGGCTTGCCATAAGAATTTACTTCAGTTCACCGAAAACTACTTCACTGAAAACGTATGAATAATGATGCCAATTAATACTCACTGTTTCAAGTTTGTGTTTGACATACTGAATGGGCCACACAACCTTGGCAACGAAAAATGGGGAAGAGGAATAATTCTTCACGGATCCGGTTTCGTCAAATATGGAAGCATCGTTACGCCAGTGCCCTCCTTGATTGGCCGATGCACCAGGGGAAAAGGAACAATTCCTCTCTAACCCTGCTTTCGTCAAAATATGGAAGCATCCTTACATCAATGTCCTCCTTGATCACATTTCATCTCATTCACTGTCGGTAAAAGTCAAGGTCACTGTCCACCGTTCAGTTCCAGCGTTGGTAGGGTAACCTAGCCGCTCGTCACGCTGAAGACCCGGGCTCGATTCCCCACATGGGTACAATGTGTGAAGCCCATCCCTGGTGTCCCCGCCGTGATATTGCTGGAAATTTACTAAAAGCGGCGTAAAACCATACTCACTCACTCACTCAGTTCCAGCGTCACCTGGTTGTCCTCGGCAACCACAAACTACTCCATCCCAGCAAAATAATATTCGACAACAACAGTACACCAGAAAAATAATCTTGCTGATTACCAATATGTTGAAAACCTATTGAGAAATGTACCTAATGTTTGATTGCCCTGCCTTTGCATGTGTTTGTGACTGATGCCAAGGTTGGACAGGGTCATCTTTTGCAAACAATTTGTACCAACACTACAATTCATAAACACATGCTGATGTAGTACAAATTAGGATAGTGGAAATGGACATACATTATCATGCAAATGATTCAATTTGTTTTTTAGAGATGTACATTATTGGCATTAAATTGACTACAAAAGTATACCCAAATGATCACACACCTCAACAGTGTGATGTTACTATGTGTAAGGTTGAGAGTATATATCGAAACAGTATAGGAGTGTACACGTTGCAACCATCAAGGACAACGTGATACACGTATCTACATTATCAGCATTCCGCCATGTCCGATATCACCAGATAACAAAGAGGTCAGTGTAGCTTCAAGATGAAGGTAGGTAAACCGTTGCACTGTATTCTCACAGTTGAATGAACATAAATATGTAAAAGAAATATATGTTAATAGTGTCTTCATCGTAGCATTTCGAACTGCGCTTTAATCGGAATATTTCGTACACATTTGACCATTGCTTCTTTATATATCGTGACACTATATCTCACCTGATTGGGGACTGATGTAATATTTATAAATATCTTTGAAAAGTTGTTACATATATACGCAGTTATTTAGTTCATGCCTACCCATCATATCATCATTTCGCCCCCCCCAAAACTCAAGAACGGTGGTTGAAATACTGTTTCCAAAAACTTTTGTGTAAACATGTATATAAATATTTTCAAATATTTTCTTCTAAACTTGAGAAGTATGAGTGTGTCTGTTGAGATATGATTCTCTTACAGTCTAAGTGTCTTTTCACTACTTTGTGTGACCTCCTTGCCCTGCAATACACGCCTGAATTCGCCAAGGTACACTACCGATCAATGTTTGTAGGAAATCGTATGGCACAGTATCCCAATATTCGATCACTTCCTTCTTCATATCCTCAATATTTCAAAGTCCTTTTTGGTTTATTCTGTCCTTCATTAGTCCCACACATTCCCCATAGGGTTAAGATCTGTCGCTGGGCCAGTCGAAAAATTGAACAGTTTCTTCCGACAACCAGTTTTGTGTAACCCGCACAGTTTTGTGTTTTGGGTCGTTATTATACTGGAAAATCCAATTACATGTATCTTCATAAAGTGTTCGTACCGTTGGAAGGAGGTGATCATTTAAGATGTCAACATATCGTTCCTTCGTCAAATTTCCAGTAAAAATACACAACGGCGTCACCACGTGATGAAATTTCGCGCTATGTTTTGGCGTTGGTAGGTTTCACATTATCTTTTGTCCACATTATCACACAGTTGGGAAAAAGCCAGACAAAAGTTTTATCAGTTTCCCAATCTTGATTTTCGTGGGCCCTATACCAGTTTAAAAGTTGTTCTTGCTTTCATCAATGGTGAGGGAATTCCGCGCTTTTTCATCCAGTTAAGTCTGTGTCATTCTTGTTTAAGGATTTCATTACATGCATGAGGACTTCCTCTAATAATCATCTCCTTTCTGATATTCTGAACGCTTTTCAATTTTCCCCTACTCACAATCTTACCAAGATGCCAGCGATCCGCAGTACTGAACTCCATTGGCCTCCCTGCCCTTATGCTGACTGGATAGTCTTCAAAGTTCTGTATACTGTAGACAGAGGAATGTAATGTCTATCAGCTAACTCTTTTACATTACCCCTTTCAAAATCATCTAGAACCAGCTTTCTTTTCTATTCTGCTGTCAAATCTGCCATGTCAACAAAGGAAGTCGTCTGCTACACCAGGGAGGATAACTCTTGATATTTTAAGGTTCATTTTTAAACCTACAAGAATTGCCGCCCATAATGAGTACATTACTACAATGTAACACATATTTTACAATTCTGTTATCAGTATTAGGAAACAGATTTTCTCAATAATTTGTATGCATGTATGTATATATGTGTGTGGGTGTTCGTGCGTGTGCGCGTGCGTGTGTTTGTTTGTGTGTGTGTGTTTGTGTGTGTGTGTGTGTGTATGCATATATGTATGTATGTGTGTAGCGATGTTGAAGTATAGCTGTTAACATATTTTTGATGGGTGTGGATTCCGATCTATGCATTCATACACACAGGATGTTGATACGCTTTACGGGTCCATGTTTTTAAAAACAACAACAAAAAAAACAACCCAGAGCGTTGTACATATCAGTAAAACCATATAAAGCTGAAGCCCAGCGATATTCCAGCTATATTACTGTGGGTGACACCGGAAATGGCCTTCGTACATTTTACCCACTGGGAAATCGAACCCTGGCCTTCGACGTGACGAGCAAACACTTCAGCCACTAGGCTAATCGCCGCCCCAAAAGGGACAGGTATCACTAGTGCATCACTAGTGGACAATTAAACACAACCTTTGATATGACCTTATCATGTTGACAAGGGACCTTTGCACTGACCGAGAATGTTGTCCCTGAACTCGTGTGGGAAGCCGATTTCTGTTGTCACCACGTAATAATGCAACTCACTCGCTTCTAGTGTATGACTGACTGACTGACTGACTGACTGACTGACTGAGTTTAGTTTTACGCTCCTTTTAGCAATATTCCAGCAATATCACGGCGGGGGACAACAGAAATGGGCTTAACACATTGTGCCCATGTGGGGAATCGAACCCGGGTCTTCGGCGTGACGAGCCAACGCTTTAACCACTAGGCTACCCTACCGCCTCTCTAGTGTATGAATATTCATTCATTCATTCATTCATTCATTCATTCATTCATTCATTCATTTAATAGTATTTTATTTATTTTATCTATTTAGTTATTGTATTCATTTTATTCATTAAATTTTGTTCTAGTTTCTGTTATTTTGTATGATTTATTTTATAAACAAATTGTTTTGTCTAATTTTTCTTTTTGAGGGTTTTTAATTTTTATTGGAGGGGGGTGATAGGTGGGGTGGGGGTGTTAGTCCTTCTAGTAATGCTTATTTACGTTGGTATTATTGGTGGGTTTTATTTGTTTGTTTGTTTTCCGAACGGTTCATTCAGCAACTTTCCAACTATATGATGCCGGTCGCAAAATAATCGAATCTGGTGATTGACATAATGACTCTTAATGAGCATCGACCTGTGCAATATCGATACGATGATTTGTGTCATGTAGGTCAGCGGGCCAACCTTACGCCTTTTACGTAGGTTTGTGATGATTAACCCCTAGTCTACAAGGGTCAATTTCGTTATAGGGACAGTATGATTACAGAGATTAAATCGTTTTTTCGACTCCAACTTCATTCTGTCATCCGAGCCACACACAATGTGTACATCTGTATTTCCTACATGGAAATGTATAGGGGTGGGTATTGTAGGGAATTTTCATATTGCGATATATTGCGATGCAAAAGCATGTATTGCGGTACGTATTGCAATATATTGCATGAGGTATTTTTAAACAAAAAATATTTATAATCGAGTTAATGCTTGATTTATAGAGCAAAACCACAACAAAATCACCATGCTTGATTACGCTTTAATATCAACTTTTATTTTAACATGACAAAATAAGAATGTGAATAATATTTGGCACAAATGAAAAAAGGAATATCCGAAGATTTCCGAGTGTTACGAAGTTTTCCGAATGCAACTCAAAGTACCGGTTTTCGATCAGCGTATCGCAAAACGTATCGTTTTCATGTCTGAACCTGTAAATACCGGTAAACCGGTTATATTGCGCAGCCCTAGAAATGTATGATATAGTTTCAATTTTGACCATGTGAATTGTCAGCTGAACAATTGGCTTACCTTTACCTACGTGTTCGTAGTGGGTGCTACAGGGAGGTGAGTGAGTTTATTTTTACGCCGCACTCAGCAGTATTCCAGCTATATGGCGGAGATTGTAAACAATCGAGTCTGGACCAGACAATCATGTGATCAACACCATGAGCATCCGCATTTGGGATACAATGGCATGTGTCAACCAAGTCAGCGAGCCTGTCCATCTACAGGTAGGTAGGGTGTGATATCACATAGTATGGTTGCACAGGCTTATGATGTAGTCTAATATGGACTAATTTCTTATTATTAAGGAAAAGTTGTCGGTTGTATTTATTTGAATATCAGTTCATTCATTTTGTTATTTGCAGGTATTATTACTTCTCGGGCTATGGCTGGTGTCGGCGCAAACCGGCACTGCCCAGGTGTGCAAATTCTCTGCAGCCTCAACAGTGGGCCCTAACGGTGAGCTTCCCACAAATAATACTGAGGGCGTCCCAAAAGTAGTCAGCCTTACTATATTCTCGATGTCCAATGTTAGAAAAGCTTCCATTTTATTTTGGAAGAATCATTACCAAAGCCATATCCAAAATTTCACACATGTGGGTAATGTGGTTAACGAGATATTAGTCATCACAACACATTGGGGTATAATATATCTTTAAAAATTGCAGAAAGTGAAAAACGATGTCATTTTGTACATCTTGGATAATGGTGTGCCCTCAGATAATATCATATAAAATACATGTATGTTCAGTATAGTATTGGATGACTTCCCGTCAAAATCAACATTCAAAGATTTGGATTGCTTGATTTATATTTAGACGAGGCTGTTTTTGAAGGACACCCCCATTTTAATCTTTCAAAAACACTGTGTCCAGATATTCAAGCTGGCACTGTTTACAATATATTGAGTGCTGACACATTCAGCATTTAGTTTGACCCCTTGGCATCATGTATGAATAAGTGAAAACATTAGCATAAATTATGTCCTTATGATTACGTCATCTGAAAGGGGTTGGGTACTGTCTCCAAAACAAGCTCTTTCAGTAAACATCATGGGGGAGTCACTTTGGGGGATTGTACTTTCAAATTGCATTTTTTATGCACTAGAGGACTTCTGCCTATCTCAAACACAAAATATTTCTTGCATATTTTGCTTCCTGAAGTTAGTGATGCATTAATTGCAGATTTTGCGTTTTGGGGGGGTACCAAGATAAAGAGTCAAACAAAATGGGGATCGTGAGGCTGGAACATGGCAAAAGCAATTTGCTTGAGGTTGACAGATAATATGTAAAAACATAAAACAGCTGCTTTTGTATAATTTTCTAGGTGAGGCCGACTACTTTTGGGACGCCCCTCGTATATCCCTTGTTGGGATATGATAGCCTGATTACTTGATGATGCGGGTCAATTCAGTCTCGATAAGATAACACTATGTAGTTCTGTTATCTCGAATGACTGGAGTATATCTTAAAAGCTCCAATAACGAGGTGGACGAGAACAGAGCAAATACGTTGACGATAATTATTACAAAAATATTTACAAACTATCGTATATGTGTTAGAGATAGGGGTAACATAAAGTGGGGATAGGCGGGATTGCGTTTTCAATGACGGGTGGCCCTGTGGCCTAAGGCGCCGCAATTCGCTGCGCAGAGTTATGTCCCTTTGCACTCAGATACTTATCCTCTTTGGTTCGATTCCCGGTTCGCTCCGATTATATTTCTGGGTGTTCAGCATTGTACCCGTGCTTGTGAGTTTCACCAGAGTGGTAAACGTATGTGTCCTACACCAAATTTGAGTTTTCCCCCACAAACAGGATGTCGTATATAATAGTATGATACTGTTCAAAGCGGGGATAAACGCACTCACATATATTGGATAAATTGCAAAACCTGGTTTCGCGGCGTGTGGTTTGGAAATCTAAGCAGGCTTCATGTATGTGTTTTCTTATCCGGTCACGAGTAGGTATGGCAATTTATGAAAGATTAATTGTATTATATTGGTGGATGGTCATGATTATGGCGGGGTTACGACAATGAGACAGATGATGAGGAATTCCGAATCTACCAAGTACAACATAACCTCATAACATGACATCGCGAAACTTGAACATGACATCACTAAACTGCATGACATCACGCAATTACAACATGACATCAAAACCGTTGCAAACTTACATGGCACACGACACATTAACATGACATCACGACACTCCAACATGACATCACGCAATTACAAGATGACATTACAACCGTAAGGCAAGACATCGGTACACTTCAACATGACATTACAACACTTCAACATGACATCACGAAACTACATGACATCACGGAATTACAACATGACGTCGCAACCTTACAACATGACATACGACACTGTAACATGGCATCACACAGTTACACCAGAACATTTCGATATGAGATTACACAGACATCGAGTATATTATGATACCGCGGCGCTTATTGACATCGCAACGCAACATGAGATCGCATTTTTTCAACTTGACATCACACACCTTGATTATATAAAATCTCTACAACATGAGTGAGTGAGTGCGTATGATTTGAAACCGCTTTTAGCAACATGACAACAACAGCATGGCGGGGACACCAGAAATGGGCTTCACACAATGTACCCTAATGGTGAATCGAACCCGGGTCTTCGGCGTGACGAGCGAACGGTTTAACCACTAGACTACCCCACCGCCCCTTCTACAACATGATTTCACAAAATGATATGACATCAAAGCGCTACAACACAACATTATGAAATTGCAACATGCTTCATCAAAACCACATGACATCGCTCCAGTTCCACGCCGCGATACTTTAACATAACACAACGAGACAAAGACATGGCATCAGTTGAAAATTGTTGAGTGAAGAAAGTAATAAAGTAACTAACAAACACAAAAAAACTTCTTCGCGCAAGTGGTATGACATGGCACCACAACCTTACAACTTAACAAAACGGTACTTTCATGACATTACAAGAATATAATAAATTTCAACCATTTGTTGTTTTACCCCTCGGGATTTGCTCCAAACTGTTTCCCTTGATGTTTTAACGTAAGAATGCAATGCAAGATGAATGGGATAGCCCAAAGAACCACAGCCTTCCAGGTTGTGTCCCACAGCCCTCCAGGTTGTGTCCCACAGTGGCTTAAATAGCCCAATTTCATGCACTTCTTTCTTTAACCGTTTCTGTAACTTCTTCCAGATCCCCGACTTCCACACGCGCTACCTCCATCCTTCCAAGTCACCATAGAGGGCGCTCTCATTGACAGGAACTGTAGCGTGGTGGCGGAGGAATATTTCGACCTAGATTCACAGCGATCTGCCATGAAGATCACGCAGAACGGACAGATCGAGTACCTGTATATAAACATGAATACCAATGAGAGCTACCATATTACCAGTAAGCACTAAATATGGAACTATCAAATTCTATGGGTTTTGTTTGTTTGTTGTTTAACGCCGCACTCAGTACTATTCGAGATATATGGCGTGGTCTGCAAATAGAAGCGACAAAACCCTTTCCACTTTCATAAGAAATCTCTACTAAAAGCAGAGTCGATTATACAGTTGTGACTATATCATGAGCAGATGTTTGTTTCAGCAGTATTACAGCTGTATAATGTTGTTTGTAAACAAATTGGGTCTGAACCAGACAATCCAGTGATTGACAGAGCATGTGTTTATGAATCACTATGAAATACATAATAATTAAGTCTGGACCAGGCAATCCAGTGATCGACAGCAAGAGCATCGATCTATTGGGATACGATGACATATGTCAAATAGGACAAACAAGTCAGGAAGCCTGACCACCCGATCCCGTTAGTCGCCTCCTACGACAAACATGGGTTACTGAAGACCAATTCAAACCCTGATATTCCCCATGGGTTATAAGAATGAATAGAAAAACTGAAGACAATTTACTTTTGAAGGGAAAAATAAACAAATTAGAACCATTTTTGTCGTTGATATATGTTGTGCCATTTATTTTAAAATGAATATCTGACCGTTAATTATGATTCTCTGTTAAAGGTATCTTTGCAATATAATCAAATGAGAATAGCTATTAGGTGGAAACTTTGACCTGATTATCATCAGCAGCACCTTTGAGGATCAATGGATGGGTCCCAGTATCCTAGGAGATGGGGTAGCCTAGTTGTTGAAACGTTCGCTTGTCACGAAGAATTACCCAGGTTCGATTTCCCACATGGGTACAATGTGTGAAGCCCGTGCCCTGTCTTGAAATTGCTGGAATATTGCTGAAAGCGACGTGAAACTAAACTCACTCACTCACTCACAACATCCTAGACATTTGTAGGATGGTATTAAAAATGAGGATCAGATGCTGGTTGACAGCATGGGTGTATATATGCTCATTCTTTCAATCATTGGTTTGCGATATCAGGTTTACTGGACATGACATGAATATATTAAATGTGGCGTAGAACAACATTAACTAACTATAACTGAATGAGTGAGATGGGTTTTACGCCGCCTTTAGCAATATTCAAGCATTATCACGGCGGGCTTCAAACAATGTACCCTAATGGGGAAACCGGGCCTTCGGCGTGACGAGTGAACGCTACAACTACAAGGCTACCCCACCGCCCCAACTAACTACAAGAAGAGCCCATGTGTACATAAACTAACAGTGGAACGCCATTTATGATTTATTAAGACTGACTGACTGACTGAGTTTGGTTTTACGCCGCTTTTAGCAATATTCCAGCAACATCACGGCGGGGGACACCAGAAATGGGCTTCACACATTGTGCCCATGAGGGGAATTGAACCCGGGTCTTCGGCGTGACGAGCCAACGCTTTAACCATTAGGCTACCCCACCGCCCCATTTATTAAGAAGTAATTCGAACTTAAACGTACATGGTATCAACTGTTTTCTTGGGAATTATCTCTCGATGTTGTGACCACTACTTTGAACACATTAATTAACCAGAGGTTATTTCTGCTTTTGATTGCATTGGATGATGTTGTTGAAACATCGTGTAGCATGAATTATGAAGAATAAAGTAGCGTCTATTTTTGATCGGTCCTAAGCTTTCTGAATGAAAATTGGTTTGTTCTGTAGATGTTTCTCTTCTGTTTTACCAGACAACAACTGCACCGTCAAGAACCAAGCTTTGGATAGTGATGATGCCTTCATCGGCGGGCGTATGTCGAACAGCAAAATGACTCACACCTACTCAACAAGTTCTGTACTGAAGTTTGCTCAAAAGTACGGGGAGGTATGAACAAAGACCTTATTTTGGCTCACACGTTATGCCTATATTTTGTTTATTTGTTTGTTTGTTGTATAATTCCGCACTCGGCACTTTTTCAGCTATCACGGAGGTGTGGTAATCGAGTCTTAATCAGACAGTGATCAATATCATGAGCACCGAGTTTTCTTGGTTGTGCAATGCTAGCAATCGTGAAACTGTTTTCATGAACGTTTCAATTGTGAAATCCTTCAGAGGTTCACTGGTTGTAAAGCTTGTTTACATATTATTCGAGCCATATATCTGGCTTTGTCTTTGTCTATGTTTGTATTCATTAAGAAATAAATCAAGACAACATCTAACCTTTTGTCACCCGTGATCCGGGTTAGAATTGGTCTTCAGCAACGTATGCTTTTGGTTAGAGTCGATTAACGTGATCGGGTAATCAGGCTCGCTGACTATTTTGACAAATGTCATCATACCCTGAATGTATAGACGCTCATGATGTTGATTACTGGATTGTCTGGCCGAGACTCGATTATTTACACACCACCGCCAGAGGTGCTGAGTCCGGCGTAAAACAACCAATAAACAAAATCTTATATTATGTCAGATTGACTGACTGACTTTAGTTTTAGCAATAGTCCAGCAATATCACGGCGGGGAACACCAGAAATGGGCTTCACATTGTGCCCAAGTGGGGAATCGAACCCGGGTCTTCGGCGTGACGAGCCAACGCTTTAACCGCTTTAACCACGAATGTTCAATGTTTTGTTTCTAAATTTAATGTTGATTACAATTATTGGTTGTCGATTGGCTGGTTGTTTAACGCCGCACAGATTGTTACAGCTATATGGCGTCTGTCAGTATATAATCGAGTCTGGTCCTGGCAATCCAGTGATCAACAGCATGAGCATCGATCTACGCAATTGGGAGACACCAAGAAGGGGAACGTTATGCTATGTTAATTTGTTTTCTGAAGGTTTACATTGGGCAGTCTACGATTCGGGGTGTCCTGTGCGATCACTGGCAGTCCTGCATGTACTGGAGTTCTCTCGGCGTCAACTTCACCCTCGACTACTACTTTTCAGGTATTTACGACGTGTACAACCTCGATAAACTTTTTGTCAGAAACTCCACTTCCCGAAGAATTACTGTACCCAATGTCCATACACATGTACGTGTAAAACTTCCAGTTGACAACAAAACGGAACCAAACTCTGGGTATTACACCTTAAAAACTGTGAGTGAGTGAGTGAGTTTAGTTTTACGCAGCTTTAGCAATATTCCAGCAATATCACGGCGCGAATATAGTAGGAGTGAATGAACGTATGAGTCAAGTTAACAATGAAGTAATGAAGGAAAGAACACGTTCACTTGACCGTACCGATTGACCAAAAGACGGATTTTATTAATTTGAAATCAAACAAAATTACATTTTTAAATAAACACAATGGCATAATTTTTAAAACTCAAGAAACGCACCATCAACAGAAGTATTAAAAAAACATTTGTCAATAAAAATTATTGACACACGAAGCAGGAATCTATAATTATTCAATGGTACAATTGACAGTAAGTAGTTAAAACACAAAAACATCAAAAAGAAAACACACCAAAACAGGTCATTCTATATAGTAACATGTGCTATGTTTGGGATTACACTTTCTTAGTAAAAGAACAAATTCTAGTACTTTTCAGCAGGATAGACGGCTGAATTTATGTGCTGGCGAATTTGTGCTTTACTAAGAAAGTGTAATATCAAATATAACATATGTTACATTTGACCACTTTCTAACTGGCATTGTGTATTCATTATATACAGGACTTCTGAATATTCGCATTTCTTGAGAACTGTGCATCCAGGTACATTTTTCTACATATACATACATACATTACATACATACATACACACACATATGCATACACACACACACACACACACACACACACACACACACACACACACACACACACACACACACACACACACACACACTCATACACACATGCATGCACACACACACACACATACATACATACATACACACACACACACATGTAGAACAATATTTTGTAACTATTTCATGATTGTGCTATAGCCCTCTCATGGACAAGTGCGGACGGCACCGTACAAGTTCCTGTGAGAGCTGAAGTTCAAGGATACAATTCCCTGGTTGGTCCGGGTCCAATGTCAAGCTTCCATCATATATACGATTATATTGGCTTTAAAAGTTACATTGTGGACCCAACGAATCTGGAGGTAAACATAAAAACATTCCATTTACAAATTATTTTTTTAAAAATGTGTAAATGATGATTCAGTTCTATAACCATTGCCTTCATGATTACAAATGTGGTTTAACGGTGGAGACAATGGTCTTGATGTGTTGTACCTATATGGTGACAGAACCAGGGCCTTTGTCGTCATTTGCGCACGCTTTAATTACCAACTACCAAAGAAGTGGTACAAGTACTAGTGGTAGTAGTAGATTTAGGAATAGCAGTATTGGTGGTGGTGGCAGTAGTAGCAGCAGCAGTGGTAGCAGTAGTAGTTGTTGTAGAAGTAGTAATGGTAGCAGTAGCAGTAGTAGTAGTAATAGTAGTGGTAATAGTAGCAGCAGCAGTGGTAGCAGTATTAGTAGTAGTGGTAGCAGTAGCAGTTGTTGTAGCAGTAGTAGTAGTAGTAGCAGCAGTAGTAGTTATAGTAGTAGTAGAAGCAGCAGCAGTAGTAGCAGCAGAAGCAGTCGTGGTAGCATTAGTAGTAGTCGCAGTGGTAGCAGTAGTAGTAGTCGTAGTGGTATCAGTAGTAGTGGTAGCAGTAATATTAGTGGTAGTAGAAGTAGTGGTAGTAGTAGTGGTGGTAGTAGTAGTAGTAGTAGTAGTAGTAGTAGTAGTAGTAGTAGTAGTAGTAGTAGTAGCAGCAGTAGTAGTAATAGGTTTGGTGCGGTTTGGGGCGACCCTGGCACAGTCAGGCTGGTAAGGCTCATCATCAGCTCAGGGCCCTTGCCCCCTCTACACGCAGTCTAGACAGCGAATGGGACTTCTCCCAGGAAGTACTGTCAAATCGAACCCACCAAGAACTTTCCTCAGATTGTTTATAGTATGGCATACAAAAATGAAACAAATATGACACTATCATTGTATATTCATAACTTCTTACTTTATATATGTATGTACATACTTCGATGTTTTTTGTTGAAATGGTTTGGTAAAACTGTATTGCCAAATCACAATACCCAAATCGTGGCGGTGGAATTGGTAGCGGCAGATGAATGGTGGTAGTAGTGGTGGTAGCAGATGAATGATGGTAGTAGTGGTAGTAGCTGTAGAAGCAGCAGTGGTAGTAGCAGATGAATGGTAGCAGTACTTTTGTATTGTTCTTGTGTATTGTTTTTTAGTATTATTATATAATTAAATTATTTCTTGACGGTAAGGGAACAAGAGTTGCACCCCTTTAGCTGTTGGACACTTTAAGTGTCTTGCGTTCATTAGAGTTACTTCCCTTGGTGGCGTTAGCACCAGAGGGCGTTGCTTTCCATTACCATGGCGTCCGCTGTTCGCCGCTTGCACTTAGCGTTACTGCTTTGTGTGCATATATTCCTGTAAAACACCATAGAAGAATCTAAAAATGACGTACGGCCGAAGCGGAAGTCGGCGGGGAACAAAATGCTGACCTAGGATACATTGTATTCTATACAACAACTATTCATATATTAAAATCTGCACAGGCCCTATTTCAGAGTATGTTATATATATGTTCTTGTTCTTTGAGAGTTAAGTCATCATCATAATTTTATCTAGACCCAAAAAGGTGTGGCATGTCCGGGACGGAAGCATACCCGAGCGATGCCGCAGTTAAAACAACATTATCAGTATAGGGAGGAGATAACAGATCAGGATTTGAACATGGTCGTCAATGCCGATGTGAGTAAATATCCATAAGGACAATGTCCATACATGTGCAATACAATGGTAACCGAACCCTATAATATATAACTCCATAAACAGACCCGTGAAGATCCGGGTTAGAATTGGTCTTCAGCAACTCATGCTTGAAGTGCGAAGCGACTAACGGGATCGTGTGGTCAGGCTCACTGACTTGGTTGACACATGCCATCGTATCCCAATTGCTTAGATCGATGCTCATGTTGTTGATCACTGTATTATCTGGTACAGACTCAATTATTTACAGACCGCCGCTATATAGTTGGAATATTGCTGTGTGTGGCGTTAAACAACAATTAATCAATGCTGAAAGCGGCGTAAATCCATACTCACATCTTCACGCTGACGAATCCAGAAACACAAACAGAGCAAGGAGGGTTACGAGCTCACGGTCATAGGTGTCGGACACGCCTAAGGCAGGTAACTCTGTAAGACGATTCGTTTCGCCTTGGACAAATGAGTGAGTGGATGAGTTTAGTTTTACGCCGCACTCAGCAATATTCCATCGATCTGCGCAATTGGGAACCGATGACATGTGTCAACCATGCCAGCGAGCCTGACCACCCGATCCTGTTAGTCGCCTCTTACGACAAGCATGGGTTACTGAAGGTTCATTCTAACCCGGAACATCAAGGGTCTTTTTGACAAATGAACAAATGTTGCTTATTCATAATTAAAGTTTTATTCCTTGCCTTGACGTCATTTACATCTCAGGTGTGGTACGACTACAACTACAAACTCCTCCGTTTCGACACCCGTCCCACGGCACTAGCATACCCGTACTACAGCTACGACGCTGTCACCGAGATACACGACTATAACACAGGTACAGTGGTACAATCTACAAGTGCAGAAAAGAGTCTGGTTGAGGAATATAACAGGGAACATGACCCTATCAAGGGACACACTTTCTATGCAAACAGGAAAAGAAGAAATAGGGCACCGAGGTCGAAATGAAATAGACATAACATTGATAAATAATATTGCATTTTCATTATAAGTCGTTTCGGTTTTGTGAGATCAACAACTGTTTCTTGACTTGCATTTTATACACTCTTCAAAACAAGAGACGCATAGGTCATTTTTAGAAGAATTTATTGCTTTTGTTTCAGATGGATTATTTCATGCAATTTTATCGATTATTTACAGACTACACTCTTGGTGACGCTTTGGCGAATATTTCTTCAAACCCGTCTAAAACCAAGGAAAAGGTTAAACTTGCCACGTTTTGGCGCTGAAGCTGTTTACAATCACACAAAGATGACATTTTGTTTGGAAGAAATATAATATTTGTATTGTTTGTTTTTTTTGCCGCAGTTGCATGAGTCCAATATTCTCAAAATCATCAATGCGTTTCTTCTTTGTTTTGAAGAGTGTATTAGCAATAAATATTTTTTAATTCATAACATTTGTAAATTGGTTTTTTAAGTAAGCAGTTAATTTGTTTAAATTGTTTCAGGGGTTGCCTACATTATTGACAAGTCCTTCCTCAACTGTACCATAGTTCCAATTGAGAATGGAACGTGGGACGCTAGCATGAATGTCTCCCGTTCACATCAAGCCCTTGGGATGAAGAGCCCAGAACAGCTCTTTGACTTGAACCCAACATTTGCCTACTCTGGGCAGGTATGGCGTCTTTGAGTGGGATTTACAAGCTTGTATGGTGAAGAGTATTAGTTTAGTTTATGGATAGACAGCTTCAAGACGTTACGGTGTAGATGTTAACATCGTTTTTAAGCAATTTGATACACAGTATGGACAGGACGAATATATGCATGAAGTATATTTTAGTTTTTCAATTAAGTACGTTTATGTACAGTGAGAGGACATTAGTATTACGTGTTAGTAATAGTGAGCGTTATATACACTGCCAAATCAGATGCTTCCATTCATTAATCACATATTCTTTTAACGTCTGGTGTTATTGTGTATGAACAAACAGCAAGATGTTGTCTTCTCTGGGCATTAATTATATATCGAGTTTTAAGTGAAATCTTAAATATTTCTTGAAAGAGTGAGTGAGTTTAGTTTTAGGCCGCTCAAGCAATATTTCAGCAATATCAAGGCGGGGGATACCAGAAATGAGCTTCACATATTGTACCCATGTGGGGACTCGAACCCGGGCCTTCGGCGTGACGAGCGAATGCTTTAGCCAACCCCACCGCCCATGTCTTGGAAGAGCAAGAGTAATCCGTGCTATCTTATATCATAAATGAGGCGCAAAGCAAAGCTATCTATAAACCAGTCTGCGCGGAAGACCTTCATTGTTTCCCGTGATGCTCAGAATTGGGAGTTTTGTTAGTACGTGTTTGTTTACTTTCGTCAGAAAACGAAATTGGCTTACCTTAAATAAACATGCATCACTGGTGTAAAAGCATGCTGGTAAATTGTGACACAGATTTAATATTACTGTAAGGCTAATGCAAATACTGTGTACCTATAACAAATATAACATAAACAAATGTAAAATAATCTACAGATGAAGAGCCGATGAACGACGAAAGATCTTGTGTTTATAAAGAAACTTTTAAGTGCCTGGATTCTATCTAGTATAGAATATTTATTGATTTTGCAACCAAAGAAATCACTTATTTAGAAATCGCCTTCATACAGCTTATTGCCAATGACCACTGAGAGACGCCATTGTTGTCGGCAACGTCGAAACGTCGCGTATCATGCTTTCTGATTCGAACCAATTCACTTTGAACCTCCTTGAAAGGCGTGAGCGTGTCAATGAAAATTAAAATCCAAATTAAAGGCGTGAGCGTGTGAAGCACAGAAATGAACATCTCGCCAATCTCAAGATAGGTTTGGGTAGGGGGGAGCCAACACGATGCTTGGACGAACCCACTGCATTTTGTGCAAGGACGGGTCGTTGGTCTCCATATAGGTGACATACTGACAACCTATTTTCTCCCGTTTGCAAGGCGCTTTGTCAGTAATGTTTTGTTCATGGTGTGGTTATTTCATGTAAATAGTTTACATATTTGTGATATTGATAACCTTGTGTGATATCTACCAGCGGACTCGTGGAATCACTTGCGACGTCTTCACCAATGTACGCACGGACTTTCCAGACAGCGGACTTATGGGAATGCCAGTGACCTTCGATGTATATTTCATGTCGGTAAGTAGATTTAATGCGAGGGACAGTTGGATTTGTTTGTTTGTTAACGGCGCACTCAGTGGTATTCCAGCTATTTGACGGCGGTCTGTAAATAATCGAGTCTGGACCAGACGATCCAGTGGTTAATATCATGAGCACCGTGCCATTCTAGGATTCGATGCTAAGATTAACCTTGGAATGCCAAGAATGGCACGGTATCAAATATAAGAAAATCTCAAAGTTCTGATCTTATAACGACGTGTTAAGATTCTTAAACCGTTAACAGTCTGAAGTCGTTGTACATATTCTAATAATACTCACAAGAGGAATACTAACTGACAAGATGTCATAACTAACTACATGTATTTGATAACCAATGGTACATATGTCGTTGCAATATCCCCAGAATGACTGGATGAGCGACAATGACGTGGGCAACAACGAAGACAGCGTGGACACTCCGGTTCGACTTGAAATCTCGGCGGTGGGGGTAACTTTGTCTTTATTCGTTAGTTTGTGAGAATTTGGCACTCATTTTATATATTGCAAAATATGTTGAGATAGTTCAAAACACGACCTTTGTATTCGTTTTACTGATGCAGTAATAATATGACAAATTGTCATAAGGTTATGACAACATCAGTGAGCAAGTCGTGTAGAAGGCGTCAATTAGAGTTGCGTCCCTTAGAACAGGCCGCAAGGTAGTGTGTCCAGGTGTTTTTTTAATCGTCATGCCGGTGCTATAGGGTCTTTAGCAACGCGATGACATCTAAATCTTTTCCCCCTGTCAGGCATTATCTCTCATTACCATTACAAACAAAAAACATAAAAAGTTGAAAGATGGAACTTGTTGTTACCTTTCCTTGCTATCGGCAATTTGGGGATGAACCTAGCTTTGGCCGCATCCGAGTCGATACGGTTCTGAGGAATATTCATGTTAAATAAGGGCAATGTGTCTCAGAGGGTCAGCACTCGTAGAAGTAGCCACAAGCAAAGATGTGCATGACGTCGCTATTTAAGTGCATCCATCTTCAACTCGGCATTAAGCCAAGCTATGTTTTCTCAGCTCTCGTCCCTGTTGGGCTTTCACCATTTATCAAGCTAACACACTGTGTTATAACAGACCTTTAGGGCCTGTAAGTCTCGCGAGGCGCTACTTTCGATACTAAGCTGGTTCCCGGTTCCCTTTGCGCACGGCAACTTGCGATATGCAAGACGGGGCCAAGCTTACTTCCGGTACCAGATTTCCCGTGACAAGCGTATATTCAAGAACCAGTTCTGGTTCTAAATTGCGTGACCGCCAAATGTAACTTTACTAGACCGGACCAAGTGCATAACCATGCTTGGCTGTCACAGCTGTTGACAGTCGTAATAGTTGGCTAATTTGGGGATGGTAAGATCGGAAACTTCTTATTCCTGCTAGGAATCGGTTCCTTACTGTCAACTGACAACCTTGAGACCATTCGAAAAGGTATGAAACGTTGTTTGTCGCCGGAAGTGCTAAGGTCTCGCGAAGTTCCGTAACCTACTTACGGGAGGTATTGTTTGAAGATGCGTTAAGCCAAACTCTCTGGCTATGAAATTGAAATCAAAGTATTTGAAATCTTATCACAAGTTTTGACATTTGAGACGAAGGAACCATACATATGCAACATTCAAATATTGCATTTTATCTTGTTTTTTTAGAGTGGATACTTTTTGTCGTATGATTTCTACAATTTTGATCAAGAAAACCCAGTGTTGAGGCGCTTTGATATTTCAAAATGCTACACAGACCAAAATAAGATCAACTTCGAGATAACTTTCCCCGGTAAGTATTTTAAGTATTTGCATTTAGAAACATTTCCAGGAACGATATATCCTTGTTTTTGCAAATACAACCCCTTTGTTCTGCGTTTTTGTGAAAGGTGAATGTTCTTTATTTGTGTGTGTGAATACAGACATCTACCTTTCCCCGTGGAGTGCACTGTTGACAACGTACAACTGAGTTTTGCAATATCCCTATAAAACTCCTGTTTTTACAAAGGTTGTGATCCGAGTCTATTTCTGTGTTTCCCATTTCCCATCTACCTTAAATTCCTATCTTTTCCTCAGTTTTCACGTCCTTGTTGAAAATTATGCTGTGATGTAAAAAAGAAAATCTGCCATTATATACTCATAAACACCCACGTCAGTTCGAAATGTCTTCATTTTTGTTCAGTTATAACTCCCGAATTTAAGTGACTCGCCTACGTCATGCATTAATTTAAAGATGGTCCCAAGTGCTTTTAAACTTTAAAATGTAAACATAATTAGGTTGACAAATTGTTTTATTTTTCATTTCTAAGATTTGACCGATACCAGGTTAAAGATGCATTGATTATTTTCTTTAACTGAGGTGGCGAGTATCATGAACAATAGTAAGTCATGGATGTGTCATGATTAAAGATTGAACTTGGAATTGTAATATACAGTATATGATATTCTACTGACAGTGAAAGATATACACCCTAGTTGCCTGGTGGCAGAAATGAATAAAACAGAAATTGTTATGACTTTCTTTTATAGATTTTTAAAGCAATATTTTACATGCACCAGAAAATGAATATCTTACATCGACGTCATCTGGGACATTGGGGTAGCCTAGTGGTTTATGCGTTCGATAGTCACACCGAAGACCCGGGTTCGATTCACCTCATGGGTACAATGTGTGAAGCCCATTTCTGGTGTCCCCGCCGTGATATTGCTGGAATATTGCTAAAAGCGGCGTAAAATCAAACTCACTCACTCACTCGACGTCATCCAATGATGATTTGAAAACAAGTTAGTCAAGAATGCATTGATTGATAACCAATAGTGTACCTTGCACTGAAGTGGACTGACCCAATGAGAATAACTTAGCAAAAGAGAAGACCTTCAATGATGATATTTTGCTTACAGTTGTGAAATATCGTATTCAGCTTGACATGAGAAGTTTGTTTATTATCGTTTTCTTTATCCACAGGTAACTATAACGATTTCCTACTGAACTATCAGACCATTCTGGAAGAACTTGCGTTGGTGGTTCTCGCAAAGACAGCAGGTCTGTCACCTATCCGAATACAACGCCTATCATCGCACTGGGACACGAAGAACGCCTACCTCGTCGGAACCATTCTTGATAAGGCCCCTGACCTGGGTAACATCATAGGATCGGTTTTATAAAACGATCTTTATGTTAAGACGATCTCTGTGGAACTTTAACATTGACTCGAAGAGCCAAGGCCGCTCTGTGAACCTGGTCCTCTTTCCAAAGCGGTCGTTGTGCTATGGCTGTCTTAAAGCTCAGATGCAACCAAAAAAAAGAAACATAATTCAAACACAATTATCACTTATTCATAACATATAATATACATTGCTGATTACGAAAAAACAAAGAAACAAAATTATAAGCGTACAATCGCAAATCAAAAATGCAATATTTTGTACTTGGGTTTACTTCCCTCGAAACGAAGCAGCCGGGATACCGAACCCAGTCAGAGCGGGTGGGCGTGCACTTTAGTGTAACGAAAACTTTCATTGGCTGGTTCATTTGCCGATACACTAAGGACTCTTTGTGTGTGTATAGAGATGTTGGGTTTTGTAAATACATGCTCATATTTTGTGTATAACAGACACCATAACATGTCATGTGTACAAGTATCACACCTGCCTGTCTGTGTAATTACATCATGTGACAGAGACAGAACTCAGGTGCACGAGCCATATATCAATGCGTTTTGTTTATGGGTGTTTTGCCTGATAGGTGTTAAGTTCAAATTGAATTTGGCCAGTAATCGAAGTTGTGTACTGCATATTGTGATTAGCAGACAGGCAGGCAGACACATAGGTATCAATAAAACTGACTTTGAGTTTTGTATGTGACAGAGGCATATCTATATCACAGTTAGAAATTCTGACAATGCTAAATAATGACGTTGCTTTTAAGTATCGAACTGAGAAAGTGACTCGGTAAGAAGAACGTGTGGTGAAATAGTCAAATGAAATTATATAAACAGTTAAATCGGTAATCTACTGTCATAACATATAAAAAGCTCGCCTGTGAAATATCAACAAAAGTCAAAACAATAAAAAAGTAGCTCACGTCAAAGCCTACTCCGAGTACTCACCGTCAGCGAAGGTTTTCCGTCTTGAAATGTCGAACGCCTCACTGGCTGACACATAGCTGAGTAGATCTAGATCCTTAACAAGGTTCTCAAATGTAACGAGTAGATTATTTACTATTTTCTTTGTGTACACAATAAAGATTAGACTTCTCCTGCTCACGACCTTATAACTCGGGTATACGGTTTCAAGTTGCGCGAATCTATTAACTGCGCATGCGCTATAAGCGCAGCGCAGCACAGCTGTTGAAACCACTTTTCACCCCAGCTGGGGTGAATTTAGTGAATCGTTTGAACTCCTTTTTCGAAAGGAACTCCATACCGAAAGGTATAAGAATCTGCAAAGTTTCGCGTTGCATGTAAGCTTTAAGTAAGTGTTTAAGTGCAGGTGTTACGCTAGTCGCAGCACTAAATCGCTTTATTAATATGGACCCAGGGCTCCTTGCTATTCTATAATGGTGTATTGGATATAACTAGTGCTTTGGTTTAGTTTGGTTAATGTGTACCGTATTTGCCATATAGCACAAGTGTGCGAAAAGTTTCCAAATTTTGCTAGCCAGTCGGGCTAGCTATGCCTGAAAGTTACTCGCCCACAGAATAATTCACTAGCCCGAAATGTGAATGTAGAAACTAAGAAATAGATTACAAAAGCAGTGTGCGAAATTTACGCTGGTCCTGTGTGCCCTGGCTAGTGAGAATTCATCAGGACCACTAAATGATTCGTTTGCAGTGGTCCTGGTTGTCAATGAATTTTGGATTGATAGTTAGTAAATATACGAATGTTATTTTGGACCAGTGAAGTACAGACAGGACCGCTAATTATTGTCCACTGATTGGTCCTGTGGTCTAGTGGGAATTTTTGAAAGGTTTCTTTCCCTGTCCAAAAGGTAAAATACCATCATTTATCAGGTCATAATATTGCATGATATAAACGCGTATTATATTTTTACAAGTACGAGTAATATATTTAGAAAGTGACACCATGAAAATTCACTAGCCAGTCGGGTCTGTGATTGTGGAGATTTACTGGCCCGGCTGGATGTTTACTAGCCACAGGCTAGCGGTCCATTGGCTATTCTGCACACTGGGCACGACGCTGGGATCTGGTGAGCTCAACAAGGGTACTGGCATGCTGCTTGAGCTTTATTTCGTTGATGATATCGGAATATCGGAGGCTTCGCGAAGGTGTGGATTAAGTGGCTGTAGGGGCACAATTTGTGGCTGTCGTTTAACAATGAAAACAACAGTAATCCAGTCATATGGCGGCTGGTAGTAAATAACAGAACAATCCAGTGATTGGCATCATGAGCATCGATCTACGCAATACATGAACCGATGCCATGCATGAAACATGACAGCGAGCCTGAACGCACGATCCCGTTAGTCGCCTCTTGGGACAAGCATAGGTGAATGAAGACCAATCCTTTGGGAATGTTTAGGCACAAGAACACGATTGGTACCAAAAAATATACAGTTTTGTACTCTGATCTGATGGCAGTGATGCCACGGATCATAAATATAGCGTAAAGAATCTCAAAACTCTCATATTTTGCAGGCTATTATCACAAAGCTGAAACACCAGATCCTGACACTTTTAAGGGGAAAAAATTTAGAATTCTCATTGTGACGACTTGAACTATCCTTTAATAGATCAGTTGATCACTGGATTGTCTGGTCGAGACTCGATTATTTACAGACCGCCGCCATATAGCTGGAATATTGCTGAGTGCGACGTAAAACCAAACTCACTCACTCCTTTAATAGATCAATAATCTCAATAACACTTAATCTTCCAAACCATGTTTGGCAACAATTCCTTACACATGATTGCTGCTTGATCGGCATTCTAGAAGTTGGCAGTGGAAGTTCCTAATACATGGTGTTGTCTGTTTAGCCAGGTACCGGCGTTGGCCAAATCTGGTGGCGCACTTCAAAGACGACGCCACTGTACAAAACATCAAGGACGCCGTCAGTTGTTCTGCCGTCTGTGAAAAGCAGCAAGTAACTTGCAACAGCTTCGACATCTGCCCAGGACAACAGACATGCGATTTGAGTTTGAATTACACCTCTGATGGAACGGTTCTTCAAAGCAGCGACACCTGTGATCACTATTCGCGTAAGTGAAAATATATTTTGACATGTAAAAAGAAACATTATCTAAAATTAATTTTTTAAGGCCACCACGTGTTAATAAAGATCAAGTTTATTCCAGCCTGTTTGTATGAACAGGGATTGAGACCAAGAGACAGACATTCATATTCGGGGTTTCCTAGTGGTTAAAGGGTCGTGTTAGCACTCCGAAGGCCCGATTTCGATTCCCGACAAAGTCATAACAAGGCCACTTATATAGTGTTGAAATCCACGCCGCATAGACAGGTTATAAGCACATAACATAAAGGACAATATGAATAATGGACCATCGTTGTGGGACAGGACAGTCCTAAAAACTCTCAGGAGTCAACCTGCCAGACACGGTCACCCATCCAAGAACTCGCCGTGACCAACATTACTTAAAGGACAATACGAACGAAACATACGAACAAAATTTTTGATAGATTGTAAAGGATATTCTAAACGTCACCTTCCGTGATTAAAATTAAACAAAAAGTTTGTAAAATAGCAAACGTACTCGTATTTTGCATATTACGGAAACATCCGACAGTTAATGAGCAGAGGGGGTATCACGTGACATGACGTCACATGTGCCTGTTACTGATGGCTTCCTCTTTGATTTTACCTCACAACTTAACAGTGTCCATGGATTCTGAAGCACTAAAAGATGTTCCTGATGTCATTTCTGAAGTGGATGTTAGACCGTATCAATACGATCCGATTTTACATCTTCCAAGACAGTCTTCCAGTGAAGATGAAGAAGAAGAATCAAGCGAAACGAAGGCACCGCTTAAGGTCAAAATAAATTATAAAATAGACCATATCAATACTATTTGTCAGCAAAATGTGATACAGTTCCAACCAGCAAACCCACCCCTATAAATATATGACCAGTCCCTAAGAATAATTTGTTTTGAAATGTGACTGCAGTTCCTTTTGTGTCAAATGGGTGACTGTAGAGTGTCTGGGATTTTAAAACATATTAATTATGCTTCAGACGGGGGAAATTAGAAATTATCTGCTACAAAGATTACACTGGAAGTATTTTGTTGAACAAAATTAGGATCCTAGTTCTCATTAATAACGTATCAAGTCTCATTCCAAGATCCCAGCCTGTTCGAGCAGAGATAATACACGCGACGCAGATAAGTTATTCCCTGAAAACTGGTGAATTATAAAATACTAGTCATGACAATGTATGTTTCCCTAGTTTTTTTGGTTATGGAAATAGTTATGGTACTCGGTCATAGCCTTAGAATGACATTTTGTCAGCCAATGAGAATACAGAACAACTTTCACGGCACACACTACTGACAAATAGTGAGTCTGATGCCGACGTAATTGGACAAAATGGAAAACAATGAAAGCAACAAGTACTTCATGATTTGTCATCGTATTTGGCAATGTTTCGGATGGACTGCAGCATTTAGGGCTCCAAACCGAAAAGAACGTTATAGCGAATTTTAATTCAAGCTTATGTGAAATCTCTCACTGATTGATAATTCATGGGTACCAGTCAAACTGACAGCTACAAAATGCCCCAGCAAATTTGGTAACTCATTCCAATTTGGTCAATTTATTTAAAATGATTAAATATATGCCGTAAATGCATAGTTTTTGTCAACTTTGATATTAGGTTCTTCATATAAACTTTATTAGGAAGTAATATTTCTGATAAATGTTCCATTAGTAAAATCATAACTATGTATATACTTTTACATGAAGAACATAATATCAATGTTGACAAAACTTTGCATTTATGGCCTATATTTAATCAATTTAAATAAATTTGGGCATTTTGACTACCTGTCTTGGGCAATTTGAACAAAACTCCGGTGCAATTTGACCAAATTTGCTGGGGCAATTTGTAGTTGGGGCAATTCGACTGGCAATCGGACTTTAATGTAATTTATGTCAAAAATACCACTGACAGTAAGTTGTAACAGGGAATGATGGAATCTCGTGGGTACTTCTCCCTTCAGCCTAGGTTTTGGATTTTCATACCCCATGTGTGCATGTCTCTTTCATATGCGCCCGAATCGGAATGATCGGAGCATTTCTCCTGCCTAAATCTGTCTCTTTACTTGGAAAACGGAAGAAATTGTGGCTCTGTAAATAGTTCGACGATTCCGTGCACCCCCAGGCAACGGAATACACCATCGTACTATTTACAAAAACGACAGAAACAACACGATTTGTATTGCTGTAGCGCTTGTCCTTTGGCAAAATGGCGGACGCTTGTCACATATGACGTCACGAGCGGAAAGGTCACGTGAGTTCCAACGGAATATGCATAATGGCCGAAGCTCAGATAACAGAAACTGTTTTCGCGATAAAAACATAATTGCTGTAATATTGCTGTAAGCGGCATAAAAGCCCTACTCATTCGCCCAAGCTCTGAATATATTGTATCATTTGTGTTTCTATTCCGAATAGTTGTCATATTATTGACGCGGCTTTAAACAACATATACTCTCTCACTATATATCAACCTTTGAGATGTCTTCTTTCAGCCAACAAGTCAATCTTTGCAGGATTTATCGCCAAGTTAAGAATTTGGTGCCAGACGTTTTCTGTGTTCTGTGTCGTGTCATCGGTTGATGTACATTGGATATTTGATAAGTGAGAGATGAGATGACGTACAATAGTGTGATTACAAGCACAAAGGAGGGAGCATGGAAGCCAGATGGACAAAGATGCTCCCTCCTTTGTGCTTGTAATCACAACTATTGTACGTCATCTCATCAATTGTATAAACTCAACTCTAATCACAATCAATCGCTCTGTACATCAACCTCCTCTGCTGTAATCACTTATCAAATATCCAATGTACATCAACCTTGTTAATTGTATATACTCACTATACAGCTATGTATATATTCTCCTTGCTTCAGTTGTTGTATCACTTGCTTGATAACGGTGTTAGTACCTACACCGAAACGTCGCACTCATTGCAATAAAGAAGTTGACTATCCATACAAATCAGTTTTTCTTCATCTTCACAACTTCTAAAATGTCTCTCAAAGAAATTCTATAACACCGTTATCAAGCAAGTGCTGGAATATTGCTGAGCATTAAACAACAAATCAACAAACCAATGTTAAGGTTCTGGACATTTCATTAGGAAACATGAAATATTTCGGCAGTTTATCTTTTCATGGATGGTCGTGAAAGAATGGTAAAATCCAAAAATATGGCAATCACAGCGGGAATGTTATGTTTTTAATCGTTTTGTGCAACAAAATAAAATATCCGTAGATATAATATCGTATTCAGGCGGCCACCCTGCTTAAACGTCAATTTGACAAATTATCATACATACTAGTAATTATCACATCATTGAAATAAATAAATTATGATAATGAAATGTCTCGTCTGCATCCAAAGTACACTGTCGTCAGACTCACCATTGTTCTCGGTGCCCTTGGTTTGGTACCTCCTGATCTTTTGACGCAGATCAGGAGAGTGCCAGTGTTCTCCACCGGGAGTACAGCCCTTCTGACACTCTGGGTAATGCAGAACGCTGCAGTGTTGGGGAGTCTACATATTCTCCGGAAAGTTCTTGGTGGGTTCGACCAGGCAGCGCTTATTAGGAGAAGTCCCTGAGCTGATGTTGAGCCTTACCAGCCTGACTGTGCCAGGGTCGGCCCAAACCTCTCTGCTGCATTTTTTTATCTTAATTTGTAAATTTATGAATATGTTTCAATATATGATTATTGTGTTTGTGTCCAGGTGTGTTGACGGGAACAGTGGACCATGAGACACCTTTAGCTATGGCGTACAACCTCATAGCTGCCGCAGTCACTAGAGGGACGTTTGATGTACCAGTGGCGCTACCATCTGTTGGCATCGTGAGTACACGTGTACTTAAGCTCATTCGAAATGTTCAGTCGTGTCACCTGATTATCTGGTCCATCGACCACTTGTTTGCAGGGCGCCGTTTTCGTAGCAACTTATTCCGCGTCAAACACTTCTTGCGATCAGTCAAGCAGGATATGCTTAAACGTTTGGAGAACATCACTAATTTTCAGAAATTCACTCATCCGTGGAGGTCCTGGTTAGAATTGGTCTTCAGAAACCCATGTTTGTCGTCAGAGACCACTAACGGGACCGGGTGATCAGAATCTCTGACTTAATTGATGCATGTCATCGTATCACAATTATCACAACATCGATGTTCATGATGTCAATCACTGGATTGTCTGGTCCAGACTCAAATATTTACAGACCGCCGTCACATAGCTGGAATATTGTCGAGTGCGGCGTAAAACTAAACTGATTCACTCACTCCATACAATGGCCTCAAACCATGGGCTTGCTTGTCCTTATGATTGTTTTAATACTTACTTTAAAGTCTCCTCCCTATTTATGTTCCTTGAAGGGAGTACCGAGTTCTGTCTTCAAACTTTCAGAAAGAGACGTTTACGGCCACAAGCATACGAATGCTGAGTTACAGTGCAACGACACCGGGTGAGAATTCTTTGTATTATACAACATACACTTGTCAATAAGGAGCTTCAGGATTTCACTTTTGTACTGAATCATAAAATTATCATCATCATTATGTTATTGACTGAGTTTGGTTTCACGCCGCTTTTAGCAATATTCCAGCAACATCACGGCGGGGGACACCACAAATGGACTTGTACCCCACCGCCCCTCAAACATTAGAACAATATAGATTAACAGATACAAATAACCAGGAGGATTATACACTATACAGTTAATGATCATGGCAGCCTCCTTTGGGAAACTCTTCTTTGGAAATACGGAGTGAAACTATACAATATTCATCATGGAAAACAGAAAGAGAGAAACACCAGAGAAGGACTTGCTATCAGAAATAGAATCTGTTCAAGAAAAAATGGACGAGACTGCAGACATAGAATTGAAAGAAAAACTATCTGAAGATATTTTAACAATCAACCAATATCTTGGTGATATAAGTAAAAACAACTAAGGTATCTTCATAAGAGTTAAAGCAGGATGGGTTGAAAAGGAGAAAACCTACAAAATATTTTTTTAATTTGGAATCAAGAAACTACCCAAATAAAAGCTTCACAGAAATCCAAGATACCTCTGGAAACATGACAAGAGATCAATTAATTGAAGAAGAGGTGAGAATGTTCTATAATAGACTTTATCAACAGCAGGACTTTTCAGATGTTGACTTAAACCAAGTTTTTCAAGATGTCACTGTACCAACCTTAAATGATGACACAGCATCATTATTAGAAAGTCAAATCTCTACGTCAAAATTGCTAGAAGCCCTAAAAAGAACAGAAAATGAGAAAAGCCCTGGGCCTGATGGTTTTATTTCTGAATTTTACAATTTTTTTCTGGAAGGATCTCAACAAATATCTTTAAAATGATATTAATTATTATTTTGACACAGGTGAATTATCTACATGTATTACTGAAAAACAAGGACTTATAATTTGTATCCCTAAGGAAATAGACCTAAACAATTTATGAAAAATTGGAGACCAATCTCACTCCTTAATGTTTTCAATAAGTTAGCTTCAGCTGTTATTGCTCAAAGAATAAAATATGTCTTGCCACATTTGATCAATGAAGATCAAAAAGGATTCATGACAGGCCGTTTTATTGGCGAAGCCACCCAGCTTATCTATGACATCATGCATTACACTGAAAACTATCAGATTCCAGGCTTGCTTCTTCAAGTAGATTTTGAAAAAGCCTTTGATACAGTTGATTGGAAATATATTGATAAAGTATTTTCAATTTTGGCCCAGAAATAAAATGGATAAATGTACTCTACAAAGATTTAAAATCGTGTATCCCTGTGAATGGATTTGATACTCCTTTCTTTCCAATATCACGTGGCAGTCGTCAAGGCGACCCATTATCACCATACATTTTTTTTACTGTGTGTAGAAATCCTTGCCATTATGCTGAGAAATAACAAAAATATTTAGGGTGTAAAAATTGGACATATTGAATATATTCTCTCACAATTTGCTGATGACAGTACTATTATTCTCGATGGAACTGAGAAATCTTTATATACAACAATTTATTAACTAACTTTCTTCGCTAGGTTTTCAGGACTTAAATTGAACATTGAAAAAAGTAAAATTATATGGATTGGATCTAAAATGAGATCAAAACATAAACTATGTAACAAATGGAATCTTGAATGGGTAAAGAGCTTTAATTTGCTTGGAATAGACTTGGATGTAGACGTGGATGTAATGGTAGAAAATAAATTATAATGATAAACTACAAAACATGTTAAATTTAATGAAAATCTGGTCATTCCGGACATTAACTCCATTGGGAAGCAATACAATGCTGAAATCACTTGTCTTGCCTAAATTGTACCATCTCTTCTCAATGTTACCTAATCCAACTCAGAATATTGGAACTGTTTTCAATTTATTTGGGTTGGAAAGACTGACAAAATAAAGAGAGAGAAAATGCACTGTACACACAAAGATGGAGGAATTAAAGTACCACATATCTTTAAAACAAGTCACAAAAACTGTCTTGGATAAAAATAATCTTGACAAAAGACTCAAACCTCCAAAATCTTTTTTTCGTAAATCTACCTCCGTTACCAGGAAGTTTCTTTGAAATTGGCCCAAGTCAAATATGCCGACAACATGAATAATCCTTTTTGAAGCGATGTACTTATGGCTTGGGCAGATTACATTGAAACCTTATGGGAACTATCACCATGTGTAGGGAAATTTCTGACATTTCCTTGTGGTTCAACAACAAACTTATTATTGGTAATGAAACTCTTTTTTTACTCAGATTGGTACAAGAAAGGAGTAAGGTCGGTTAAAGATCCACTGGACAATGATGGAAAATATTTAGATTTTAATGAATGTGTAGCTAAATTTCATGGCAATGCCAATTTCTTATCTTATCAACGTCTGATCAGTAGTGTAAAACAGCTACAAAAAATAATAATCTTGTTACCCTTAACTCAGACCACTTATCATTAGAATTGCCTATAGTTCCTTACTATATTCATTAACTGTTAGATTCTGATAAGGTTAGGAGGTTGTTTTGTATCACTTTTCTTCCGTCAATATTCAAGAAATCAGCCTCAAATTTAAAATGAGAAACCATACTTGAATCTAACATTGATGAATCAGATTGGAGAACTGATAATATATGCCATTTAGATGTACAGAGAGTACGGAATTAAGATGGTTCCAAATGAAAATTATTAACAATATTTTAGGCACAAATTATTATTTGCATAAAATATAAGTCAGTGACTCATCACTGTGTAGCTATTGTAATACTTCTAATGAAACTATTTTCCACCTTTTGGGGGATTGTAATTTGATAAGTAGACTTTGGAAGAAAATTGAAGAGTGGCTCATGTCTGATGCTGGAATAAGGATTAAACTTACTCCACAAATCCAAGTATTTGGATTAAAGGAAATTCGAAATGATCCTTTGAATATAATTTTGCTTCTAATTAAACAGACAATTTTTCACAACCGAAAGTATGGAATAATACCAGATCAAAAGAATATTTTTAGAGTCTGCTGCAAATACTATTATGTCTCAAGATGTATAGCTCTTACAACCTGTTCATGTGATAGATTTACAAAATTTTGGTCATCGCTACATACTTTATTTGCCTAATAATGTACTACCTGCTTTGGATAAAGTCCACATTTAACATTGAACATAAGCAAAGACTGTAGACCAATATACATGTATGTCTATAGCTGTATAGACTCAGATATTAGCATCTTTACATAAATACATATTCTCTTGAAGGTGTTAAGAACATGCAATTGTTATTCTAACTTGTTGATTACATCATGTGACATATGACCTGTACTTTGAGAAAAATTTACAAATAAGAATAAAAATGTTATTGATAGTATGTGAAGTATATCTCATTCTGGGGTGTTCTGATTATGTTATTGATAACATACAGGTGTACATATCTCATTCTGTAGTACTTCAGTGACCCATGTTTGTCGTAGGAGGCGACGAACGGGATCGGGTGGTCAGGCTCGCTGACTTGGTTGACACATGTCATCGTATCCCAATTGCTTATCTCGATGTTCATGCTGTTGATCACTGGATTGTCTGGTCCAGACTCAATTATTTACAGACCGTCGCCATTTAGCTGGAATATTGCTTAGCGCGGCGTAAAACTAAACTCACTCACTCACTCATTCTGTAGTATTCCAGTTATGTTATTGATAGTTTGCAAAGATATCTCATTCTGTTGTATTCTAATTATGTTATTGATAGTATGTAAAGTTCATCTCATTGTTCTGAATTACTCTTTTGTTTTTCATTGTGTAACATGATGTTATTGAAGATGTGTCAAGTGAATGATTGTGAGTTATCAATATTATGTTATTAATGGCGTGGTAAGCGCGAATCATTGTGAAATTTCAACAATATGTTATTGATGGAGTCCCAAATGTATCAGTATATACTACTCGAACTTTGCTAAGGATCACACAAATTCACAACTTTACTTAAACGTGGATTTATAATTTGAAATTGTATCCATTTCAAACTTTATAAATAATAATATGGTAACCCCTCTTTATGCAAACAACCACTTTAATCTAACATTATGCACTTGATACATGAGTAACCATAAAAATGGTTTTCATGGCACCAAAGAAACATTTTGCACATAATTGACAAATAAACAACACATGTCAATAGCAGGTATGGGATCCACAAGATGCAATGACATACTAAAACCTAGGATCCATGCTTACAATAAGCCTAGGTGTTTAATCCAAATTTGACCCAACATAATAGTTTTCTGTTGAATCCATGATTTGATCCTTAGCAAGGTATGAATAGTATATCATACACATATCACGCTGTTAGGATACCGAGTCAGGCGTGTATCGTTGTGCAGTATCACCATTATATTATCGATAGTACTATTAATATATATCTGGGCGGTGAGGTAGCCTAGTGGTTAAAGCGTCCGCTCGTCACTCCGAAGACCCGGGCTCGATTCCTCACATGGGCGCAATGTGTGAAGCCCATTTCTGGTGTCCTCCGCCCTGATATTGCAGGTATATTGTTAAAAGCTGTGTAAAACTAAACATACTCTTAATATGAATCAGTTGAAGAAGGTGGGTATTGAAGGGTAGTAATTATGTTCTTGAAGAAGGTGGGTATTGAAGGGTAGTAATTATGTTCTTGAAGAAGGTGGGTATTGAAGGGCAGTAATTATATTCTTGAAGAAGGTGGGTATTGAAGGGTAGTAATTAATTTCTTGAAGAAGGTGGGTATTGAAGGGTAGTAATTATCTTCTTGAAGAAGGTGGGTATTGAAGGGTAGTAATTATCTTCTTGAAGAAGGTGGGTATTGAAGGGTAGTAATTATCTTCTTGAAGAAGGTGGGTATTGAAGGGTAGTACTTATCTCCTTGAAGAAGGTGGGTATTGAAGAGTAGTAATTATCTTCTTGAAGAAGGTGGGTATTGAAGGGTAGTACTTATCTCCTTGAAGAAGGTGGGTATTAAAGGGTAGTAAGAAGGTTATCTCCCTTCTTGAAGAAGGTGGGTATTGAAGGGTATTAATTATGTTCTTGAAGAAGGTGGGTATTGAAGGGTAGTAATTAATTTCTCGAGAAGGTGGGTGGGTATTGAAGGGTAGTAATTATGTTCTTGAAGAAGGTGGGTATTGAAGGGTAGTAATTATCTTCTTGAAGAAGGTGGGTATTGAAGTGTAGTAATTATCTTCTTGAAGAAGGTGGGTATTGAAGGGTAGTACTTATCTCCTTGAAGAAGGTGGGTATTGAAGGGTAGTACTTATCTTCTTGAAGAAGGTGGGTATTGAAGGGTAGTAATTATCTTCTTGAAGAAGGTGGGTATTGAAGGGTAGTAATTATCTTCTTGAAGAAGGTGGGTATTGAAGGGTAGTAATTATCTCCTTACAGCTGGGTGGTCATTGCAGCGGGGAACTGATTCTCTTGAGATATGAAATCCTATACGAATCCATTGTGTTGAACGTTCATGTTCAGACATATCTTCACTCAGTTGCATACTCTGGAAGGCTAAAGCCTTGTTACACATAAGACAACAGGACTAAAATGGATTTGCTACTATGTGTGTTATTGGCTTGTGACATTACATTGCCACAAATGATGATGGACTGTTGCCAACAGTGAGCATTGAAAACGTCTTATGTATTGTCACTCTGAACTCTCACATTGAGCCATCCTTCTGGTGTTCTGGGGCGGTCTGGTAGCCTAGTGGTGAAGCGTTCCCTCATCACGCCGAAGACCCGGGTTCGATTCCCCACATACGATGTACAATTCCCCTGTACAATGTGTGAAGCTCATTTCTGGTGTCCCATGCCGTGATATTCCTGGAATATTGCTAAAAGCTACATAAAACCACACTCACTCAGTTCTGGTGTTGTAGGAGCGACGCAAAACCCAAATCCTGGCCAGCCGACATCAAATCCTGGACAACAGACGCCCAAGCCAAATCCTGGACAACAGACGCCCAAGCCAAATCCTGGACAACAGACGCCCAAACCAAATCCTGGGCAACAGACGTCCAAGCCAATTCCTGGACAACAGACTCCAAGACCAGGAACAGGTAAACATAGCATTTGCCGGTTCAGGATGGTATGTAATTATCCTTACACATCATATATGCATGTTCCATACAATTAATTATGTTGGTCCTTAAGTAATATATGTAGAGTTTAAAGATGACTATTGGAAGAAGGCACGACATAACATCCTCTTCATCAAAGTCGACTCGCCACCAACCCAAGCGCCTCCAAAACTTCTTTAATCGTATTATATCGTCAGATAACCAGTGTGTCGAAATATTTAGGGTGGCGACAATTTTTCCAGATAGTCTTTTGGAAATTTGCTCTTTATTGACGCACTATTCCAGCTGTCAAAAATAATGTAAATTCTAGCCAAGTAAGTCGACATAATCAGTGTCTCAAGATAGCCCATAAGCCGAGAAAATGTGTCCAACAAAGTGGAGACAACAAATAAAACAATAATCAGAGGAAGTGAGTGGCTTGGCCTCCACTGTTCCCGCGTTCATCAGAACATCCAGGTAGTGTATGCCGTATGTCAGAATGTCCAGTGTCAGTCGAGATGTTGTGTTTGTAACTAGCTGCTGTGTCTCTTTATCTTAAAAAACCCCAGGAAACAACCCGACGAAGGCACCAGTCAATTGTGGCGACGTCGGAACCCCACAGAAGTCGTCGAGCAGCGGAGGTAAAACGCCTACAACAACGACATCCAGTATTTGTGAAAGTTTTATAAAATGTAAAATGCTTGAAAGAAATAGCTTACCGGCTTGTTTTATCTACTTTGGATCACAAGTTATATTTCATAAGATCACATCACATGACGCATCAATGGATCATATGGTAGCATATTGTGTCACATGACACATCAGATAGGATCGGATCACAAATGACATATCACACAGGATCACATCACACGCGATGACGTCACACAGATCACATCACAATTGAATTTCACACAGGATCACACATGACAGATCGCAAAGGATCATATCATTACATATGATCGCAGCATTCATCCTTACATCAGATGTACCCGCTTACAAGCGAGTAACATTTTCTATGTACCCCGCTGGGAATGCCGAACTCATTTGGTACTTCGTAGTAGTAACTCTTTATCTCGAATAACATTGAATCACGTATGATGTACGGAAATTACCGATGTTTTGCGAATGCAAATCGATGGAAGGGAGATAACTCTAAATTTGTTTTTCTTGTCATCTTGTCCTCCATACTATGATCCGATACCCGTGCTTCAAACAGTTCAAAATTACCATTGAGGTGTTCGGTAAGATAAATAAGTTGATAAATAAGTATGTTGCGCATGATCACATCACAGACTATTGACACCACGCCCATCCACATGACTATATGACACAGGTCTACATCACACAGGATCACATGACATAGGATCACATCACAGACTATTGACACCACGCCAATCCACATGACTATATGACACAGGTCTACATCACACAGGATCACATGACATAGGATCACATCACAGACTATTAACACCACGCCAATCCACATGACTATATGATACAGGTCTACATCACACAGGATCACATGACATAGGATCACATCACAGACTATTGACACCACGCCAATCCACATGACTATATGACACAGGTCTACATCACACAGGATCACATGACATAGGATCACATCACAGACTATGACACCACGCCCATCCACATGACTATATGGCACAGGTCTACATCACACAGGATCACTGACATAGGATCACATCACAGACTATGACACCACGCCCATCCACATGACTATATGACACAGGTCTACATCACACAGGATCACATGACATACTATGACACCACGCCCATCCACATGACTATATGACACAGGTCTACATCACACAGGATCACATGACATAGGATCACATCACAGACTATGACACCACGCCCATCCACATGATACAGGTCTACATCACACAGACAGAATCACATGATATAGGATCACATCACACACAGGGCCACATGAATCACACAGAACCACAAATACTCTTAAGAAATGTAGGAGAACTTGATTTGTAATTCAATCAATGTTGATATGACAATAATGAATGTTTTGAGAGTGCATCACCATTTGCACTTCCTTATGACCATAGTTGTTTGTACATTAATCGTTTTTGAAAGATGGTGTATGACGTGAAATTGGTACGATTTTCGATTTGTAACACACACAAAAAACCGGCTAGAAACAAACACTTACAACTATGTGATGCAAGATTATTGTCAAAATTACAGTCATTTATTGAAAACCGTCAAAATCAGAAATGACACCCCATGCACGTGTATGGGGCAACTGCTTTGCGCACGTGCATCCAGTGCGTTGTGTTTAGGGGTGGTGATAAAGAGAAATGGTGGTGCGTTCATAAGATGTCTGTCTTTTAAAAAGTTTGTTAACGCTTATACTTCCTATCCAAATTGAAAGTTCAGGTTCTCCTACTTTTTTAAAGGGTATACAAGAAAGGGTATGGATTCTGGCCTATGGTACATTTCTTTTCCAATCATCGTTTGACGTCTTCTTTCATCCAGGGACAATCGCAGGCGTCGCTTTAGCCATGTTGGCAGTTGGTGTCATCATTGGTGTCGCAGTGATGATGTTTGTCCAGCGACGACAGAAGAAAGCGGAAAACTATCAAGTTGCTTTCGTCAACAAAAACTTCGAGAACTGAAAGTCTTGGAGAAAGTCTAATGCGGACATTTGCTGCTGCGTTCCTAGTTCAATGTCTATATCCAAACGAATCTAAACATTGACATTGAAATGTGAGTTCTTCATTGTGTTTTGATCAATTATGTGTACGAGCTCGTACTTGTATTTATGTTTCGTGTAACAATTAGCAAGTATTATGTGTACAAATTACTAAGTTTTTGAAAAACTCAGATAAGACAGAGAAAAATTAACTGTGACAGTTGTTGAATGTACTAGCGACGGATTTCGAGGGTCGGTTACGGGTAAGCGAGTTATTTTGTTCAACAACGAATTTGTAACATGGGCCTGCCACTCAAGTACCAGGTCGCGTGACAGGTGTGACCCGTGTGATTTTAAAATGGGCCTTCTCATTCCACATAGCATTCCATTTCCTTTTGGTGTCTAGAAACCAGATGATTTTCGTCAACTAGTAACCCCATTTTCAATTCATTTAACAAGTGACATTTGTTCAACTTCATGAATGCCAACGTATGGTGACGTCAAGGAACTCATTGAGAAGTGACTTTTATAAGTTTCTTTTCGTAGTGGTGTCGAAGAAGGAAGGGCTGAGGGGGAGAGGGGGGATATGAGGTGCAGGGTTGGGATGGAGGGAGGTAACTCTGATTATGAATCAATTCGTGGCGGGGGGACTTAATACTCACCAGTACATATATCATGGTTTGACCTGACAAATTATGAAATATTTGCTTCATATCTTTCGAAATAACATATTCTATACACACATACATATACATAGACATGTACGAATTATTTGTTCAATAAAACATAATATTCTATAACTGTTACATTAGTTAGCTATTTCGCAGGAAGAGTATCGCATCTAACACATGTGTACATTGGATTTGTTTATTCTGAAATCTCACAGTGACTGAGACGTGAAACTGCTTTAGAACTGAACTTCAGTTTTAAAATTTGTGAGCGACATTCCTTGTTTTGGAGGTGGACATTATGTTAATCGATCTAAAATTTCACTCCCCAAAATGATGTTAAAACCGGCAGAAGAATCCTTAATCTTTCTATTTTAACAGGATGTTGAGTTGTGGATTCCACCCGCGCCTTTGCAACCTTTGACAGATCCAACAGTGATCGATCTACGGATGCTTCGTGCAACGGGAGCAACTTCAGACGAGGTTATAAACCTCAGTTCTAATTTTTATTTTGGTGTGTGTGTGTGTGTGTGTGTGTGTGTGTGTGTTGGCGTGTGTGTGAGTCAGACCTTGACTCTCCGCTATTAACCCATCTGCGAATATTCAAAGAATAAAATGTTTGACGTACTTCGAACATACCAGTCACAATAAAGACGCACATGCGCACACGCACATGGACGCGTGTACGCGCGCACACATCATAGTAAATCAACAGCATACAACAAAACACCAAGAAACTAACGCATACACACGTAAACATACATAATGACACGCTAGCACTCACGATTACTTCCTTCACATACTGAATGTGTTTAAGGGGCATCTCCGCAGCTTGTGACCACGGGATCCTATTCAAGCACACCGTGAAGATCCGGGTTAGAATTGGTCTTCAGTAACCCATGCTTGTCGTAAGAGGCGACTAACGGGATCGGGTGGTCAAGCTCGCTGATAAGGTTGACACGTCATCGTATCCCAGTTAAGTAGATCAATGCTCAGGCTGTTGATCACTGGATTGTCTGGTCAAGACTCATTATTTACAGACCGCCGCCATATCACTTGAATATTGCTGAGCGCGGCGTAAAACTAAACTCACTCACTCTCATCTAAAGCAACAGATCCTTCCAATGCTTATCATCCCCTTGCTACGCATAAACTCTTCTTCTCAGAATAATTTACTCAAAGCCATAAGGAAAATCCATGTCCGGAGCCGCAAAATACCAATCATATTTTAGATCCGTGTTTAAGGGGTGTGAGAGTGGAGAACATAGTATCATCCCCATTATTTGCAAGTGCGGCGGTAGATAAGGTTTCGATTCATCAGAAGCGCTCTTAAAATCGCCAGCATCAACATATGACACCATCTCCAAGATGTTCCAGTCGGGGCATACATTGTGTTCCCATTCCACATTGCCCATGTTGGTTGATCAGCCTTCAGATAACCAGCGTCTGGTTTTCATAACGTGGTTGATTTCCAGCCAGCATACCAGCCACTGGTTTGTCAGGGTCTGATTCATATATTTGTTGAGTGAGTGAGTGAGTGAGTATGGTTTTACGCCGCTTTTAGCAATATTCCAGCAATACTGCCGCGGGGACAACAGAAATGGGTTTCACACATTGTACCCATGTGGGAATCGAACCCGGCTCTTCGGCGTGACAAGCGAACGCTTTAACCACTTAGGCTACCCCACCGCCCCTCATATATTTGGATATAGTGTTGAGATGGCGTGACGAGGGGTTCATCGTCGTGTTCGTGATTACTGCTCTTATACAGCAGTTTAACATGGACATCTCACCCAGACAGGTCATTGTCCACTCTTCGTATCAACCCTTTAATATCGAGCTCCAGGCAGGGTAACATGAAGAAACATTTTGCCTCTTTCTTGGCATTAGGTGGCTCAACAGACATTTGCAGAAAGGAAGTTGATTTAATACTGAAAAATAATTATCATAAAATTAAACTGTGAATAAAATATATGAATAAAACCAATAAAATGACAGATGTGGCAGACTAAATTCCCACACGTAAAATATCTTTTCAAACAATCAAACGTCAACAGTAGGTTTTCCACGCACATCGTCCATTTCCACGACAGGGACTGAGGTGGAGTTCAAGAGCTGTGGTGTATTCGTCAACCCGCTATGCCCACTAATTGGTGGACTAGGCAAACCTTCCTAACCTGTTATTGCTATTGAGTGCTGACCAATGAATTCAAATTTGGAACGATACATAATAGTTATCAAATGTAACTATTCATATATAGAATTAATATAAAATCATAAACGCAAACCCGCCTGACAGTATTTCCATAAGCATTAGTTTTTCGTAAAGGAAGTACATGATTTAATTGAAAATGAATAAAATATATGAATAAAACCAATAAAATGACCGGAAGTGATGTGGCAGACTAAATTCCACACGTAAAATATCTTGGTTGATGAAGATCAAACAATCAAACGTCAACAGTAGGTTTTCCACGCAATTGCAATCGTTGCTACTGAGTGCTGATACGTGGGTCCAATAGTCTTGAAACATTTCGAAATCCGTGGGTCTAACAGTCTTTAGATATTTGCAGTCTTTGACATTTGCATACTGGCAGATAATTGTCTCCATTTTGTTTTGAAGTGAGAAAAACACAACATGGACGGTGAATGATTACTCCACAAATGGGGGTATGACTGATCTTGCAAACACTACAGAGTAGCGTCCCATAGTCGTGCCAAGATCCGCAGTCACTAGTTGGAATCAAATGGTACATGGATTGAGAACATATCACGTGACCCCTGTCATTTTTCGTGAAACGTCCACCGTACAAACTCAATTGTGAGCAATCTTTCAGAAATACCATGATATGCGTGAGATCGGCTAGCACCACAAACAAAACCACAAATAAAAGGTCAGAAACAAAACTGTCGCTAATCCCACTCAGCAAACTTTCATCATAAAAATTTCATGGCAAGAAGTCCTCTGCTTTCCTGACATCGACTTGTAATGGCAATACTGGTTTCTATGTGTGAGGAAAATCCGATAACCGAGATCATATAGATCCCGGAATATTTCCAGTGCCGTTATGTACTTGTCTGGAGGAGCGTCTGTATGTTGCAGTGAAATATGCACCTCAAATACAAACTGTGTCACGTTGTGTAACGCGTTGTTTCTCATCATTTCCGGGATCACCTTCCACTCCATATCTTCAATATCAATTTTCAAAATATCAATTGTAGTCTGAAAGATGAAAAGAAAAAGGATTAATGATGTATCGTTTTGGTAAAGTTTAAAGATATTTTGGTACCGGAGTTAAGGGGGTCTCTCGTCACGACGAAATGGGTGAATTTGGGTTTAAACGGTATTCGAGTTACGTCATGTTCAGCTTAATTTGGGAGGAAATCCTAAAGTGATGCTGGTCTCACCACGTTGGTGAAACACAGGATATTGCAAAGATATGGTGCTAACAAAAACGTCATTTTCTGATTGGCTGAGCGCTCTTCTATATTTTTCAATGGACCCCGCTTACAAGCGAGTAACATTTTCTATGTACCCCGCTGGGAATGCCGAACTCATTTGGTACTTCGTAGTAGTAATTCTTTATCTCGAATAACATTGAATCAGGTATGGTGTACGGAAATTACCGATGTTTCGCGAATGCAAATCGATGAAAGGGAGATAACTCTAAATTTGTTTTTCTTGTCGTCCTGTCCTCTATACTATGATCCGATACCCGTGCTTCAAACAGTTCAAAATTACCATTGAGGTGTTTGGTAAGATAAATACGTTGTTCACTGGTCCCTCGTGGTCCATGGGTTGATGTACCCTCGATGTTCCTTCATGTCCCAAACATAAACAAACATCGAGGGTACATCAGCTCATGTCCGCCTCGAGACCACTGAACAACTTATAATACAAAATTTGGGCGGGCCGGGATTCGAACTCAAGCTAATAGGTCCCTAGCCCCACGAGACGCAAGTCTGTCATAGCGAACGTGTGGGATATATCATTTCCGACAAAGGTACGTGTAGCTAAGATACATGGCGTTCACTGACATGTCAGTGAACGCTATGTATCTTAGCTAAGGTACGTGGTGTCCGTCTTCGTCATGTTGGAGAACATTGCAAAACGCGATGGAAAAACCTGTCCCTATTTCCGTCGCTCACTCACTACCGTTACTTACCCCCACCCGCTACCGTGCCACGCACCCGTGAGAATCTGAGTTGAGACTAATTAACTTCTGTTTGCGCCTAACGGGATCGGTTGTCATGGTTACTGAATTCTTTACTGCATGTTGTCACATCCCAATTGCGATGACCGACTCAGGTATTCAGTAACCGGGTCCATATTTGAAATTGATTATTTACAGACAACCAGCTAGAATAATGGTATGAGACGCTATAAAAAAAATAAATAAAAAAAACCCCGGTAAAACAAGGATCATAAGACAGATACCTGCGTGTGGCGAAGAGACTCGCGTATACAGTTGAGGGTTTTCATCGGCCATTTTCTCTCTGATCTGCCGTTGTAGTCCGAAATTCCCAAAGAATGAAACATTATGCCTTTGCTGCGCTGATGGTCGTCTTTACCCATACTGAGAATAAAATTTCGTATTTGAATAATAACCTTAGCTGCGGACAAATCCGAAATCATGTCCTTGATGTTTCACGTCGTGTAGTGTGGAATCTGTTTTACTGAAAATTCTAACTATGAATCCGACTTACCAGAGAAAGTCAAGCTGGAGAGAGAGAGAGAGAGAGAGAGAGAGAGAGAGAGAGAGAGAGAGAGAGAGAGAGAGATGAGAGAGAGAGAGAGAGAGAGAGAGAGAGAGAGAGAGAGAGAGAGAGAGAGAGAGAGAGAGAGAGAGAGAGAGAGAGAGACACTAGGGGAGACAGAGCCCGTGAGTAAAAGAAAGAAATGGAGAGAGAAAGAGGTGACGTTAAACAGTGTACACTAGTACATATGATGAAATATTATCGAAATTATACAGTACCTGCAAATTCTAACGTATGAATTCGACTTAGCTGAGGAGAGAGAGAGAGAGAGGGGGGGGGGAAGAAAGAAAGGGAGAGAAAGAGGTGACGTTAAACGTATGAATTCGACTTGGCTGAGAGAGAGAGAGAGAGACTGAGAGAGAGAGAGAGAGAGACGCTAAGGTCGACTGCAACCTTATTACTCTATGTTGAGGATCCGCAAAATTAGTTGTACACAATTGCTTCCCTAAGCACGCCAGACAGAAACCTATGAGGCGTGTATCCCCGTTCACCCCGATTAATCTTTCATGGTTTGATAGCAAGGCCATGTAGGTCATGTGGAAGCACAATCATTTCTCATCTCAAGTTTCACTGAACCATTCTTTTAATTAACAGAACAGTTACAGAGCTAAAGGTTACTTTATACAAGAGTGTAGCAGGAATGAGTGATGATTTAAACATCAAATGAAAATGGGTTCCTTCATAAATATGCAAACTCGAGTACATCCTTCGTCCTTCATTTTCTGTTTCGTTAGGAAATAAATGCAGCATGGGGTTTTATGAACTGGTATTTCATACGGAAATAAATTATGAGGATTCATGATGTTATGTGACATGTGAACCGACGGTTCGTGAAACACAACAGGAAACCGTTAGACGCATGTTCCCTAAAGGAAAGATACAAATTCAACATTGTCATCTACAGTTCTTACCTCGGATCAAAAGAATGAATTTGACATCCGTATTCCAGTTCCGTCGCGTCGTCGAAACTGAAGTCGTTGTTGATGCTGGAAATATAATATATATATATGCTATTCAAATTGTTTATAGTTTATATATTCGTATTTACCAATGCTAATGCAGAATTTCTTGCAAAGTGTATATACTGTCAGCTGGCGGTGTGCCGACATGATGTGGACGTGATACGCTATATATTCAGATAATATGGGTGTGATATGATATATGTTCCGATATTTAATGATATCACAAACTCTCCTTTTTCGCATGTGAATCACGTCCCCGAATCATTTGTCAGACAATAAAGATAGGATATTATAATGGAGGAACATTCTGCTATTTACAACCAACCAGGAAATGATGGTGAAGCGGCATAATCTGGTTCTTGGACAGTTTATGTTACTATTCACATGTTTGCATCAATATAAGCTGAAGGTCGCGGGTTCGATCCCCGACCGCGTCAACCAAAAAACGTTAAAATATGGTACTTGTTGGTCCCTGCCTGGCGCTCGGCATTAATGGGTACTGGTCGGCTCGGAGTCAGTATAATGTGTCTGAGTGGGGTATTCATGCTTCACTGCGGCATGGTATCTCAGTGGGCTAGCACTATAAAACCAGCTTCAGTCTGGGCTAGTACAAGCAGCCGCACATACACATAAACACGCACGCACGTCGTCATATGAGCGAAATATTCTCAAGCACGACGTTAAACCTAACTTCACTTCACCTCAGCGCAATATAACGTTTAATGTATCGTATGTATTGCGATACAGGGGTTGTAAATCGATGGATTGTATCGTGAACTGCGATCAATTACCACACCACTACTGTGAGCGCATTGGATTTATTCGGGTTTCAGTCTTACGTGGTGCAGCCCCTCATCAACCCAGCCCCACGCCACCCGCGTTATGTTAACAGTGTGTGAGTTAAAGTACTCTCGGAAATGCTAGAAAAATGCTTTTTAGCCTTAATACTTTGATAAAGGTGATAAATGTACTATGTTGTCAATATATCAACTCGCCTATAGTGTACCTAATTTTTTTTTCAATCGATTTAACATTCCCATGCATTTAAAGGGCAGTTTACAGGAGAGAATATGGTACCAAAACAACAACTTAAGATTTTTTCAGAGTTCAACAACAGAAATCTGAAATAGTCTTTACATTTATGCTAATAATACAGGTGGTGTAAAAATATGAATCAACGTTTTTCTTTAACAAATAAATGTTGAATGTTTGTGTTACTTTACTTAATTATCGTTTCTTTATTGAAGAAATATTAATATAAATGTTAAGTCTTGATAAATAAGTTTCCCGTCATGCATGCACATCTTTATCATAGCGTCCACTATGGCCAACTATTTGCAGTCAATTGTTGCAAAGGTTTATTAGTTTTTTGTGCTTGAAAAAGAAAGAGGTAAACCTTTCATTAGTTTAGAAAGGGTTCATTACAGAACTTGTAGAGCTGTTGGTATGTCTTACCAACAAGTTTACAATATTGTAAACAAATCAGACAAGACAGGGACCGTCTCAAAAGCAAAACCGGGACGTAAAACCATCCTTGACAACTTTGAAAAGGGAGTACTTAGACCGGCGGTCTAAAAACTGTTGAGAAGAAGAATATATATATTCTAAAGAAGCTACACCAGTGACTTCGTTCAATCTTTGGCCAATGTTCACAACTAAATTAAACTGACCGAATTACATCCATATTTTTGCAATGAAATATACTGTTGACATGCAAAGCACTTATTAAAACGTTGCACATTTCTACAATCAATCGATAAGATAACACAAGTGATAGGATTCTTTCCAATGTACAGTAATTCGTATGTTTATTGCAAAACAAACACACATACACAAATGATCCCTTACATAACCAATACGTATACTATACGTACACATATTCAACATTTTGAAGACAACATCTATTGAGATGACCCTTCCCCCGAGCGTGTACTCAGGTGTCAATTTCACCTGTCGATACCGTGCATGCTGATGACGTAACACAGGCAGGTAATGTTTGTATCAAATAACGTCCCACTACCCGTTATTTTTCTAAGTTTTTGGTATTTTCATCAGTAAAAACACATTTTAGGGCATGTCTCAAAATTTATTCCCTCGGTCTACATTAGGTAGATGTTTCTTAAAGTGATATTTGTTATTTAAGTAACTGTAATACCTCTGAATTTTAAATATAAGTCAAAAAGCATTTTTCTAGCATTTCCGACGGTACTTTAGTATGGTCGGGGATCGAACCCGCGACCTTCCGCTCTCCGGGCGGACGCTCTAACCACTACACCACGGAGGTGGTCTGTACCAATGTGGTGAATCGAACCCGGGTCTATGGCTTGACGAGCGGACGCTTTGACCAGTAGGCTACCCCACCGCCCCTTGTATTGTATGATATATATTTTAAGTAGGCTACAATTATATATTGTGGGGGGCAAAGTGGCCATTCCAGGAAACTGTGTATTCGCGACTGGGAGGGGCGACTCTTCACAGTTAATTGTACAGTTTTGTTGTCGCGGGTCGCCTCTGTAAATACCATCAGTGATGTAGTGAGTGTGTATTGTTTTACGCCGCACTCAGCAATATTCCAGTTATATGGCGGCGATCTGTAAATAATCGACTCTGGACCAGACAATCCAGTGATCAACAGCATAAGCATCGATCTACGCAATTGGGATACGATGAGATGTGTCAACCAAGTCAGATAGCTTGACCACCCGATCCCGTTAGTCGCGTTTTACAACAAGCATGGGTTACTGAAGACCAATTCCAACCCGAATCTTCACGGTCTTCAGTGATGTAAAGTACTGACTTAACATACCAGCGTGTGTATTATCCAATAAAATATTTCTGGTTCAAGAACTTTGTTTTCTTGTAATGACTGTGCTACCAGATAACAACATTAAATCGTGTCCTCACCCGAAGGAATAGACCAGACACGGTTTCTTTGGTTTGACGAGGGGGTCGTTACAGATCTCCCAGCCGCCATCTTGCTGAAGCCCCATTCTCTTCATGTCTCCACACGCCACCTGGATGTTTTCCACGTAACTACAAAAAAGACGTAATGACGTTGCTACATCAAGGTCAAGGTCATTTAACACAACGCGTCCCACAACACAACCTGATGCTCTCCATTGTCAAGATCATACGACTTGCACGTTGGTTGTCGTCACAAGCCACTCTCATGTTCTCCGCGTAACTACAAGTTCAAAGTCATATCCAAAGTCTCAATCCTAATATTTCCACCAAAATGATTCAGATCAGAAAGGATAGAGGTCAAGGTCAAGGTTATATCAAGGACGAAACAGTATATATGAGTTTGTATGATCCCACTCGGCATGTTCCTTCCGCATTAAGACAGACAGACAGATTTTATTGACGCAAGCCACATGGGCCTCTGGCCATACATACAATACAATATAGATAATATTTATGTTGGATGGTGAGGATGACATTATTAATAAGTTAAAAGTTGTTTCTTACACGGAATGCTTCATACACATATCTGCCTAGAGAGCGTTGAGTATTAATATTTTCTGATGATAATAACTGTATACATTTATAAACTGAATAATTTTTACAATAATATTTCTTTAAATGAATAGATCTTTTACAATAACATTTCTTTAAATGAATAGACCTTTTACAATAATATTTCTTTAAATGAATAGATCTTTTACAATAACATTTCTTTAAATGAATAGACCTTTTACAATAATATTTCTTTAAATGAATAGATCTTTTACAATAATATTTCTTTAAATGAATAATCTTTTACAATAATATTTCTTTAAAAGAATAGATCTTTTACAATAATATTTCTTTAAATGAATAGACCTTTTACAATAATATATCTTTAAATGAATAGACCTTTTACAATAATATTTCTTTAAATGAATAGACCTTTTACAATAATATTTCTTTAAATGAATAGATCTTTTACAATAATATTTCTTTAAATGAATAGACCTTTTACAATAATATTTCTTTAAATGAATAGATCTTTTACAATAATATTTCTTTAAATGAATAGATCTTTTACAATAATATTTCTTTAAATGAATAGATCTTTTACAATAATATTTCTTTAAATGAATAGATCTTTTACAATAACATTTCTTTAAATGAATAGATCTTTTACAATAATATTTCTTTAAATGAATAGACCTTTTACAATAATATTTCTTTAAATGAATAGACCTTTTACAATAATATTTCTTTAAATGAATAGACCTTTTACAATAATATTTCTTTAAATGAATAGACCTTTTACAATAATATTTCTTTAAATGAATAGACCTTTTACAATAATATTTCTTTAAATGAAAAGACCTTTTACAATAATATTTCTTTAAATGAATAGACCTTTTACAATAATATTTCTTTAAATGAATAGATCTTTTACAATAACATTTCTTTAAATGAATAGACCTTTTACAATAATATTTCTTTAAATGAATAGATCTTTTACAATAACATTTCTTTAAATGAATAGACCTTTTACAATAATATTTCTTTAAATGAATAGATCTTTTACAATAATATTTCTTTAAATGAATAATCCTTTACAATAATATTTCTTTAAATGAATAGATCTTTTACAATAATATTTCTTTAAATGAATAGATCTTTTACAATAATATTTCTTTAAATGAATAGATCTTTTACAATAATATTTCTTTAAATGAATAGACCTTTTACAATAATATTTCTTTAAATGAATAGACCTTTTACAATAATATTTCTTTAAATGAATAGACCTTTTACAATAATATTTCTTTAAATGAAAAGACCTTTTACAATAATATTTCTTTAAATGAATAGATCTTAGGTGAGTGTACGATGGACACCTGAGTAAAAAGTGAAATTCGTCTTCTATGTCATTAACATTACAGTTAGTACAATTTATTTCATCCCGTGGGATTTTATTACTACCATGTCTACCAGTTTCAATTAATAATGTATGAGATGATAATCTTAATTTGTATAATGCAGACCTGTGGTTACAATTTAAAACATTAACTAAATACATTTCAAAGCCAAATTTTACCTTAAATTGTTTGAATAACATATAAGTAGTAGATTTCATCATCTCCTGGCACCAATACGTAATGAATTTATCTTGTAGTCGTTGTTTTAATAAAGACATGAAAACTGGAACATTTACCTCTAAGGGAGACAACCATGCATAATAAAAACCGTTGCTCAGGGATGGACAGGGATGCTGTTCTAGCTCACTCACTCACTCATTCACGCACGCACTCACGCACTCACGCACTCACGCACTCACGCACGCACTCACGCACTCACTCACTCACTCACTCACTCACTCAACGAAGCAATCAATCAACCAAACAGTCAGTTGAGACCCTGACTAATTAGCAGATAAAGCGATCCGCGACAAGTCTCACTCTGTTTTAACGTTTTAACATTTTACCTGTGGTATATTTCAGTCAATTGACCAGGTTCAAGTGTTCGTATCTCAGATCGTGTAGGGGGCACATGACCTCTGCGACACTCTGCCACAGGGATGATTGGTGTATCTGTGTAAGCATTATCCTGGAACAATAATCAATGAGTATTAGATCCTAATTCTTAACTAAATCATAACGCATTGAACTTGATCCCTTAAGATCAGAGATTTCCTCGGAAATGAGTGATTGAGTTTAGTATTACGACGTTTTTTATCAATATTCCAGCAATATCACAAGGGACATAAAAATAGGGCTTCATACATTGTACCCATGTGGGGAATCGAACCCGAGTCTTCGGCGTGACGAATGAACGCTTTAACCACTAGGCTACCTCACCGCCCCCAGTCGGAAGAAAAGAAAGGTCCATTTCCTCAGTGATGCATCCTTCATAGTTAAAATAGCACCATTTACAAAGCAGTAGGATAAAATAATTATTGTTTTCCACGAAGACATTAGAATTTAAACAATATTGGTTTATTATTACGTAAGACTGACTGACTGAGTTTGGTTTTGCGCCGCTTTTAGCAATATTCCAGCAACATCACGGCGGGAGACACCAGAAACGGGCTTCACACAATGTACCCATGTGGGGATTCGAACCCGGGCCTTCGGAGTGACGAGCCAACGCTTTAACCACTAGGCTACCCCACCGCCCCTATTACGTAAGAAGTATTAAACAGTGTTCTTAAAAGTAGCTGTCGATGCTCATGATACCTGTCTCTATTATGTCAAGGCCGCTGTCTTGTAGCTGTAATATGGCTTCATAACAAACAAGCATACAAACTAATGCTCTATCTTGAACACAGTTTACAACGGCATATACTGAATTCGCTTATTCACGCAATAAGATACACACGTGTATGTTTCTTTCTTTTTTTCTTTCTTGTTTAACGCCGCACTCAGCAATATCCCAGCTATATGGCGGCGGTCTGTAAATAATCGAATCTGGACCAGACAATCCGGTGATTGTCATCATGACAAGCTAGTCTACGAGCCTGACCACCAGATCCTGTTAGTTGCCTTTTGTCAAATACTGCTTCGTCATGCAGCATGGGTTGCTGAAGACCAATTTTAACACGAATCGATCTTCATGAGTCAAACTTGTGTAAACTGAAAAGGTAAGATCAACACCCACTGTCAACGAAGCATACCTTTTCATACTTGTGACTTTGACAATTCTCCTCGTAGATGACTGGCACAGGCGAGTTGCGCTGGAACAAGACAGGTCAGCGGTTATCATTTATGAAAACGTTTCATGTATGGAAAACAGCTTTCCCCCATAAGCTCACGGACACAATATTTATAGAAAACAGCTTTTTCGATATTCTCACGAATACAATAGTTCTAGAAAACACCTTTCCCCATATTCTCACGAACATGATGTTTATGGAAAGGAGCTTTCCCCCAATCGTCACGAACACAATATTTTTGGAAAATAGCTTTCCCCATATCCTCAAGAAATGCAATATTTAAGTAAAACATATTCTCATGAACATGATATTAATGTAAAACAGCTTCTCCTGTATTCTCACGAATATAATATTTATGGAAAACAGCTTTCCACATATTCACATGAACATAATATTTATAATATGTAAAACAGCTTTCTCCATTTTATCATGAACATGATGTTTATGGAAAACAGCTATTCTCAATCGTCACGAACACAATGTTTTTTTGGAAAATAGCTTTCCCCATGCATATGCTCACGAATGCAATATTTATGGAAAACAGCTTTCCCATATTCTCACGAATACAATATTTATGTAAAACAGCTTTCCGTATATTCTCATGAACATGATATTAATGTATTCTCACGAATATAATATTTATGGAAAACAGCTATCCTCAATCGCCACGAACACAATATTTTTGGGAAAATAGCTTTCCCCATCACCGGTACTTTTCCACATATTCTCACGAATATTTATGGAAAACAGCCTCCCTATATTCTCAAGAACACAATATGTATGGAAAACGGGTTTCGCCATATTCTCATTAATCCAATCCTAAGAGAAAGCAGCCAACCATATATTGTCCTGAGCACCATCTTTAAATAACCAAGCAAACGACATATTTTTATGACAATTTCAGTGAGTGAGTTTAGTTTTACGCCGCTTTTAGAAATATTCCAGCAATATCACGGCGGGGGACACCAGAAATGGGCTTCACTCACTGTACCCATGTGGTGAATCGAACCCGGGGTCTTCGGCGTGACGAGCGAACGCTTTAACCACTGGGCTGCCGCTCCAACAATTTCAGGGTTGTAATCCCTTGGTATGTTAACCAAACATACCACAAAGCACATGGCACTGGAGCTTACAGCAAGCAGAGGGAAACACCCATAATGTCTGTATATATTTGTTTGTTTGTGTAACGCCGTACGCTATATGGCGGCGGCCAGACAATCCAGTGATCAATAGCATGAGCATCGATGTACGCAAATGGGATACGATGACATGTTTTCATCCAAGTCGACTCTTACGACAAGCATGGGTTGCTGAAGACCAATACTAACCCGAAACTTCACGGTTCAAACAGCAAAGAACAGTAACGTTAAAGGCACAATGTCACACACTTTCGACAATATTATGGCCTATATTATATATATTGGGGCATATGCACTCACTTTAGCTTCCTATTGATGCAATAAAAGACTTATTGTCCCTTACGACTTGCTTGAAATCGATAACTGAAACTTCGAGGCGAACAGTTTTCAAACAGAGGACACTTGTAATATATGGAATGTAAACAATTGCTCCGTACATCAAAACCTGTCGCACGCGGTGTTGTCGGTGTTTGCCGAAATGGTTTCAATCACATGTGTTTGTAGGATATTCGTAAAGAGCGCTCCAAGGGGCAAAACTCTATGGGGTTCGCTTGAAATAATGTTCGGGCAGTAGAGGGCGCGAGAGTCGATTTAATGCAACGGTGCATGAATTCATTCGAACTTTTTAATTCAATATTGTAATCCAAATACGTATTTTGTTTTTGGAATAAATTATATGGTAGCTTCTCTGAGGGCGGATAGTTAGTATCATTGAGAGAAATGCATTATTGATTATAGAGAAATGTGTTGGGATATAGTGCCTTTAAAAGCATATACAAATATAAACAACAACATTATATGTACAATTACTGCAAATATATAACGTTGAGACCGTAAATAATCACTCCAAACTGTCCGCCTAAACACATTTCATCAGAGATACTGGCAAATTAGTGGTGAAAAATTGTATGAATTGGACACATGGAAAACAGCGATATGACCAGATGTAGGCCTTAAAACGGAAACAGCTGTCACATCAAATCTATTTCTCGGATGTATTAAAAAAGAATAGTATAAATGATCAATGGCATATATTTAGTATGGGACACGGTCTCTCGAAGTAAATGTGGCGTAAAATAAATCGAAAGCAGTAACTTTCCAGCCCATGTTAACAGATACAGCCACCATAGATGCTATAATAGATGTTTTTGTACACCCAAAAACAGCTTTATTCTTCCTCTAACTGTGTAGACTCTATGTACTAGCAAATACCCTGTGATTTGACAACAACAACAACCCCCACCCCCCAAACCTACCCCAACACCATCCACCCACACATTTCCCAAATACACATGGATCAGTGGATAATTAGTGGATAATGAATAATTGAACGTTTTACGTTGTTGGGGTTCGCATTGCCAGCAGGTCAGGAAAGAGTGCTTCCTGAAATAATCAAAAGGCTAGTCGTCACGTGACCCATGACTGAGCCTCTTACACAAGAAGCCCGATCTCTCAATGGGATGGGAATGTATTTAGGGACTGGTAGTCTGTCGTACAGACCCTGAAGTAAATATATCCAAGAAAGCCCACGCAAGTCTAGAAAATGTGGCAAGTCTAGATTTCCTCAGCTTCAGGTGAATAAAGTCTAAGGGCACCTTTTCATTATATATATTTAATTTTTTTTACTATGAACTTTTTTTCAGTAAATTATGTTCATTTCAGTGACTAGTTGTTAGTCTAGGGGACTGGGAACAGGATGTGATAAGGGACTACTATAGCTATATAATATATACAGTGTCCTTGCCCTGTTGTCTGCATTTTCCCATGGTCAATCGTTTGGCGTGGTGTACGTGTAAGATGCCCCCGGCAAATGGTGCTCCTAATCGACAGTTCAATCATGGAGTGATTTTTACTTCGTACGGCTGAATGGTTTCCAGCATTTCAGGAGGTCCAAAATGAGGTTTTTTATCGATTGACCTCACCTTCACGTGCACGTTTTGAGTAGAAGCTGACGGGATAACAGCAACACACACACACACACACACACACACACACACACACACACACACACACACACACACACACACACACACACACACACACACACACACACACACACGTGTGTGTGATTTCACTCGGTATGCATGTATTCTACTATCCAACCGCCATGTGCACCTAGTTATCTTTCCAACAACACGCCATCTATCTATAGAAACATGAATGTTACCACAAAAACTTATCAGTCTGATGTTCACGATGTTACTCACCAGAAAAAAGTCTCCAATTTCTGTATGAAATACGATAATTCCAACTAACATGAACGAGCCGATCGCAAATCCAACAACCGAGCGCTTCATTTTGGACAGTGTGCACCGTGAACACAATGCCCTAAATTGATCTGTGTCTCTGTTACTCAACGCTATACGGTCAGCTTGTGTTGCCAAGCCGACCCGGACGTGCATGTCAAACCACACGAGGAGGACAAAGCAAATGAGACTTTTCCCTCCTGCGGAAGAGCTGATGATTAACAAGATGGCGCTTGTTCAAGCACAAGGATCGCGAACAGTCCCGTTCCGCTCTGCTTGTTTTCACGATCAAAATTTCTTACAATGGTGGAAAGAGTTTTGTTGTAGTTGCATGGCCGCTGCGGTCTATTTGTAGTTGATAGGTAAGCGTAGATGAGTACAAAGATATGTATTGATTTCTATACAGGAAATCCATGCATTTCGTCAGCCTGTCTACATCCATCCATCAAGCTTTCTTCATAGATGTGTGTGTGCTTCTTGTGGTAATGTCAGGTAATGCGATTATGTTCAGTGATTCATACTACTCATAATCATCTTTAACATATTGAGCTGAAAAATTATTTATACATCTAACAAATCAAGCGAACAATTTATTTTTATGCATCATAAATCCCAGCCGAAAGTTAAAAATATCCCCTGCTTTCTGAAAACGCTGAAATATCTGAAACACAATTAAAACTCAAGGTCCTGTGTGCGGAAAGGGAAACAACCACAATGTACCAGACTGTTTTTTGTATATTTAATGAATAATGTTTATGTACATGGACGGGTTAGAATTGGTCTTCAGTAACCCATGCTTGTCGTTAGAGGCGACTAACGGGATCGGATGGTCAGGCTCGCTGATTTAGTTGACACATGTCGTCCTATCCTAACTGTGTAGGTAGATGCTCATGCCGTTGATCAGTGGATTGTCTGGTCCGGACTCGATTATCATACTGTCGTTAGACAACAAACAACCACAGCAAGCCACACACGACTTCATCTACAACGTAACCTTTAGTGTTCGAGCCTACTATATATAGGAAATCTATACTCCAACTTGATTCTGTTACAGGAGATAACACTTCGGGAAGTAATTAAACCGTCTTCTCAAACTGCGTGTATCGACTAACAACAATATAGACCAATGCCCTTGGGACACATATGCCGCGGGTGAGTAACAGCCGGCAGGCAAAATAGATATATTCACACAGCTGGCACGATTTTAACAATAGGCTCGCCAATTGAGAACCACGAAATACCGCTATTATTGATTAACCTCTTGGCGTCACTAGATCCTCTGATTTCATGCAAGTGAGTAAAGTGAAAATGGGACAATCCTTGTAAATGTTCACTCTGTTCTCACTCGTCGTTGACAATGGGGCAATACACGGATCTCCCCCGGTCTTTCTCATGTCGAGCTGCCTTGAACTGTATTTTTATCCATTTTGTTTGCAAATTGATATCTTCTGTTCGCAGTTTATGTGATATCTGCTTTTTCTTTCGTGGGTAACTGTGCTGCATAGCTTGCTCTTTAGCATTGAGATGTGTTTCTCAACTCGCTCCACTAGCAATTGAACTTCGCAGCTGTCGAAACTTTTGTTTCTGTTTCAACGTTTTGGCGGATACGGGATGGCCTAAAAGTCGGGCCGGGCCGGGCCAAGGCGGGCCAAATCTATTATTGGCTAATAAACCCATTAACGAAAATCATGCCTACAATTAATCAATGCAACATACACTCATGATAATAATGATCAATCGGAAGCCACAAACGCGTACCATAATAACTTTATTACGAGTAAATCGGCTAAAATCCCGGAAGACGAGAATCCTGTGAACTGGCTGACCGAGGTTACGTCTAAAAGTGGAATCGTTAAACGAAACGGGATTTAAAACGTATAAATACTTCAGCCAATTCCGATACACATTTCCGTTGGCCCGATATTTTTAACAGAACAATTTGCTTCGACAGTCCATAGAGAATTCAGTTTTCTTTCTTCAACAAAACTTGATAATGTTGAATTTTCTTGAAAATTATTATTTGACGTAAAACGTCATATTGTAAAAGACGGTCACTTTTAAACATTCCCCCCTTATAACGCCTTTAATTTCAAGAATGAACTGCTTTGTTTGTGCTGTTGAGTCGTCGCGCCGTAGTCATAAGTTTTTGAATATATATTCAGTTCGTTTGTTTGTTTGTTTTTTATTTGTTGTTTGTTGCTTAACGCCAACCTCAGTAATATTCCAGCTATATATGGCGGCGGTCTCTGTAAATAATCGAGTGTGGAGAATGAGCATCGATCTACGTAATTGGAATACAATTACATGACTATTGTCCCAACCAAGTCAGCGAGCCTGACCACACGATCATGTTAGTCGCCCCTTACAACAAGCATGGGTTGCTGGAGTCTAAGTCTAACCGGACCTTCAAGGGTCTCGTATATAGAGAGTTAGCAATCCTGATTCATGCCTGTGATGCCGATATAATGACCTGGTTATTTATTTCATCTTCCCAATGAAGCGGGCGCAGTGAGGTAACCAGGTGGTTAAAGCCTTCTCTTGTCATGCCGAAGATTCAATTGGAAATGTGCTTCTATAAGATCCTAAAACATTGGTGTGACAATGCTCACACATGTTCAAATGACAAGCAGACTTTTATTTGACCTTTTCCTAGTTTGGCGTTTCAAAATGATTAAAATCATGACTATACATGTGACTTTATGCGCTTAGAGCATGTCCCTGGGTGATGTGGATGAGGCGCTATAAAAGTAATCTTTTTATTATTATCATTACTTAAATTACTGAGAAACACCCCCATTTTTGCGAAATCTAAGAAATATGGTGGCCAATTTTCCGAAATCTTTGAAAAATATACATATAAGAAATATGGTGGCCAAAGTTAAATGTTGTTATCATGTTTCTTGTTAATATAAAATACACCATAATAATTTATTATTTTCATTCTTCTTGTTATCATGTTTGTAATGTGACATAAGTTAAATGTTGTTATGTACATGTTTTTTCTTGTTAATATCATTTTTGTGATGTAACCATACACCATAATAATTTATTATTTTCATTCTTCTTGTTATCATGTTTTTGTAATGTGATATACTTGTAATATTTTTTCATTTTTCTTGTCACCATATTTGTTATGTACCATCATACTTGTAATGTTTTCAATTTTTCTGTTATCATGTATGTAATGTCACCATATGCTTGTTTCATTTTTCTTGTGATTATGTTTGTAATGTACCAACCTACTTGTAATATTTTCATTTTCTTGTTATCATGTTTGTAATGTAGCCAAATACTTGTAATGATTTTCTTGTTTTTTCATTAATGATATCATGTACTTGTAATGTTGTCAGGTTTTGTTATCATGTATCTAATGTTACCATACATTTGTAATATTTTCATTTTTCTTGTTATCATGTTTGTAATGAAACCGAATACTTGTAGTGCTTTCATTTTTTTATATCATGTTACCATATAATTGTAACGTTGTCATTCTTAAGAACATCTGATTGATTTTTTTTGTGCTCAAATATTTGAAAAACGTTTTCGAAAACCTCTATAGCCTTACCTTCACATTAAGTGTTATCAGTTCAAACATGCAACTGAAATATACAAATGTTCATTCTCATCCATATGAATATATCCGAATTTTCAGTTCAAAGAGGTTTTGCCCATTTCTCAAATTATGCGTACCCCATTTAGGAACGATGGGGTAACCAAGTGGTTAAAGCGTTCATGACGACAGTCTGTGTTTGATTCCCCACATGGGAACAATGTCTGAACATACTATTCTAATTTCACACCATTGTATACTCATATATTGTCTGCCCATGTTTGAGGTCCATGCAGGTAGCCAAAGTACTATAAATCCCAATGGTCTTTAGCATGGTGATCTACCTTCAGTTGCTGATGATCTATTGCCCATTTATATATTGCATTGTCCTACATTATAGTATAAGTTTTTAGTTACATGCTAGTTCTATATCTATATCTGTGATACGCTAGTAGTTTTACTGTTCATCGTAAACAGTTTTATAGCTTCTAATATTATTGATCTATATTGATATTATTGATATTTCTGACAAGTGACTTCCAATCATCCGTACCTGCCAACTTATATAGTTGTACGTCACGATATGTGGAAAGGCGCTATATAAATGGCCTAAACATTATTATTATTATAATTATTGCCGATGTGACGATGAATATGAACTCACTCACACTCACCCATGTTTGAGCATATTGATGAGAACGTACGGATGTACATATTTCGAGTGAAGCATCATTCCATTTATGTAGTCATACAATACAATGACATCATACAATAAGATAACAATACATTAATACAATGAACAAAAATAGCCCTTGTTAGAATTGCATTTATTGTGTAAAAGAGGAACACCCTATTTGCTGACGTTCGTGACAATTAGTTAAGTGAAAATCAGAAGCAAACGTTTATTGCTAAGCAATCAGTTATACACTTGAAGAAATATATCTCCAACAATGTCCAACTACGCGTGTTACACGTGGAAGCCAATTTTGGACATGTATTTAGTGATAAAATATAGCATTAATCTGAAACAATGATATCTCACTCGAAAACGATAACGCTTCTGTCTGCCTGGTTGATACTATGGCTTGAAGAATAACATCGTGAAGCTTTGTGTTTTCTATCAGAGTGGATAGTGAAAGTTGACATTCGGATCTTGGCCGTTCATGAAACTACCAAATTTGTCAGAGAACGAGATAAGCAAAGCATTTGACCTGAAAAGTCAAATATTCTGTGCATATAAACTGGTGTAATTTATCACCCTAGGAGATCGTGTTCATGCCGGTTACAGTCAGCGGGGATTGTCAACGAGGCCACGTGCTACCTACTAAATCAGAGATACGCAAGCTTGACATCCGGCAAATGGCCCAGCTTTATCACAGGTTAGTGAGAGTGAGTGAGTGAGTTTAGTTTTACGCCGCTTTTAGCAATATTCCAGCAATATCACGGCCGGGGACACCAGAAATCCCATGAAAGTAGATCAGTCAAATGGCTAATATTTTTCACAGATAAGGTCAGTAAAATGGTCAATTTTTATCACAGATAAGGTCAGACAAATGGCTATTCTTCATCACAGATAAGGTCAGACAAATGGTTCATCTTTATCACAGATAAGGTCAGACAAATGCTAATCTTCATCACAAATACGGTCAGACAAAAGGCCAATCTTCATCACAGATAAGGTCAGACAAATGGCCAATCTTCATCACAGATAAGGTCAGACAAATGCCTAATCTTCATCGCAGATAAGGACGATAGATTATTATTGTATCAAGTCACTTTTCATGTATTTCTCAAAAAGATCATTCACATCTCAGATGTTGATACATAAAGTCTCTGTTATGAATGAGTCCACTTCCTTGATCTAATGCTGGAGCATCTGCTTGGAGAGTAGAAGGTCATTGGCTCAATCATACCAGAAGATGGTATTTGGTGAAAAGTTTCTGTACATAAATACTGTTTATCTCAATTTGCACGATGTCGTTTATGCTGTCAAAATATTTGGCGACATTAAGACATATTGCTTGACAATTTATATGAACATTTATATAGTAACACACAACTGAACAAGCTTTGTACACAGTTAATACAATACAATCACACCCAAAGGTACTTTGGCAAGGTTCTTGATTATGTTTACTTTTCTAGTTCTTCACATTTCTGGAATATGTTGATATTAGGGAAAGGTGTATGTTTAATTGAAACAAAAATGGATCTGGATCATTGAAAGATTCACATTTAAACAGATAGTTCAATTCATTGGCTCAAGCAGATGGCATACACAGTTTACATGTCCTGAATTATCTATGTATTCAAAGACAAAACCAACAGGGGTATCGTTTAAATATACATCATAATACATTTTTGTATATACATCTCCAATACTGATAGAACTGATGTTTGAGAGTCTTTTTCTACCTAAGCGGTTAGCCACTGGCTTGAAACACTATGTAGGTGATGAAATATATATAAATGTTTCAAGAAGATTAAAGACTCACAAAGCGAGGATCACCCACGACTTATTCAATGATCCTGGGACACGCTTACCACTGTTCTCAGGTTAGCAAGAAAAATATCGATCTTTATCCGATTCTGATCTGGTCATTTTGATTCTGTACGTTGGGACGATGCCGTCTTTGGTAGCCCTATAGGTCTGTCTCTAGCACTTCCAGTGAGCACCCTGACCCCCTCGAAACTAAATGCTAAACCTTAGTGCTAAACAAATACTGCCTATCAGCATGTTGACCCAGCTTGCAAAGGTTATCAACCATAATCTCTGCGTGGTGATAGGCAAGCGATAAGGTCAGGAAATATCCCCGCTTTAGGCAATATTCAAGCAATATCACCAGGGAAACGCCAGGAATGGCATACTGTAAAATATGGAGTGGAGTCTTCGAGTGGAGCCTTGGAGTGGACTCTGGAGTATGGAGTATAAGTGCACTTGTCACTTCTGTAAACACTGATTACTGTCTAGAATATGCCATTAATGGTTCTTCCCAGTTGTCGTTTATGTCGTGTTACTTATTCGATTATATAATAAAATACCAATATGCATGCAAATATATTGAAATATAAGAAAACAAGTTCATGGAAAACACGGGCTTCCACGAAATTGAGAAACACGTACGTCACATACCGGTAACCTTGTGAGATAAACATCAGCCCTAATTCGGAGTTTCCTGCTACATTGACCTGCTAGATTTAAACAACATTCCTACGTTTTCATTATACATGAATGAAATACTTACCAAATAAACACCAGCATGCCGTGAAGATGTTGAAAAAAGAACGATATTGCGTTGAACTGATAACGACCAACTGCCTTTGCGCGCGCGATAATTGTGCGCATGTCCGGACATGACCAAACGAAGCGATCGAAAGGTCAACATCTGCATGTGTTTGAAAGCAAATTGTCGGGAATTATATAATTTTGAAAATATCATATTTAATGCAATTCGGATAACTGATGACTTTATACTTAAAATCATTGATTTTTTCATTTTCTATTGCAATTTACGTAATATTTCGGTCCGTTGATCGATGCACAATCAAACAATATATTAGATTATATCTGTCACTAGGTCGATCTGGATCTTTTATGAAATTAATGTTCAGAAATGATAGTTGCTAACTTGGATGCCTATTACCAATATAAATTATGTATAAAATTTGCCAAGGAAATAATTAGTTGACATTTTGTTGGTTCCTTACGTTGAAACAACGTTGAAAACTAAACGAATCTCGACTAATTTTCTTTGGTCGTATAATAAACGTTGAATCAACGTTTATGAAAGGTTTATCAACCAAACGTTGCCTCAACGTACGTGTGCCCACTGGGGTAGTGATTTGACCTTGAAACTCCTTCAAAACGAATGAGGAGTTCCGAAAGTTATCTGGATTTTTATAGCCAGACAGTGCATGCTCTTTGCTGCACAATTTCAACTGGAAGGTGATTTCTGTTGCGTTGTGGCGATGCCTTTTTAATCATTGTTAGAAAACTCATCAAAATCAACATTTTCAGGTAAAGTCGGTTTTTTATTACTTGTGCAATTATGCAAAATCATTTTATCAACACTTTTGTTACATATTTTGACGATTGTTTGAACAATATATGTAATTAATAGATATCTAAAATACAAAATGCCGATGCATTTCTTGTTTTGGGATAGTATATTCTGTATGTGATCACAACTACCCCATAAACGGATCGAAACACATTTAACCGAAACACTACTTTTAAACCATGTACCTAAACTTAACGACGTGTAACTGGATGTCAAATGTGAAAACGGATTCCACTGTTACGATTAGTGTCAAATTTATGAAACAATGAAGATCATTTTTTTTATTGAGAATAGTTTTTTCAATATTTTCATTATTTAGACGAACAACCACAACAGAAGGAAGTTGAAATATTTAAAAAGCAGATTGTTTCATGATTTTTTCCCTTCTAATGTAACAATATGTTTTACTCAGTAGATATAGTTCAAGACAGTACGAGCACAAGAAACATTCATTCTGGCGTCATTTAGTCGTCGTCAATCCTTTAGTTATACGTGTCATTGTGTGAGTGTATATACTCGACGAAGCATCAGTGAGGTTTTAAAACGCTTCATAGTAGACTTGTGGAGGACACGTCCAAATATGACGCTACTGGGACAAGAAATATGTCCGATATGCTATTCCTATTTTGACTTTTACCGTACGTTCCTTTGCTGTTTTCAGCTGAACAATTGACAAGCCTTTGCATGTGTTTATGACCACTGCCACCTGACAGGCAGAATGTTCTCACACCTGAACAGCTTATATTATTACAATTTCATAGTATTTCATAAACACATGCTCATGATATAGTCAGAATATTACAATCGACTCTGCTGTTAGAAGAGATTTAATGAAGTGGAAAGGGTTTTGTCGCTTTTATATTGAGTCATATGAACATATCCAACCCATTGCACGTCAGAAAGGCATACTGATTCTTTAAACTTTAAGTTTCCGTGGGACAAAGATGCCTTTACCATATGCTGTAGTTTGCAATATCAAGCAAGTCATACATGTGAGTTACTATTCCAGGTCATTCGGATAAGTAGACCACCAATACACAGTTAATACCGATAGGACAATGCTTCATCACTCATTGTGTCATCATTGTCATCACAGGGGTTTGGTTTCTGCTTCTTGTTTTAGACGGGTGGTGGGGTAGCCTAGTGGTTAAAGCGTTAGCTTGTCACGCCGAAGACCCGGGTTCGATCCCCCATATGGGTACAATGTGTGAAGCCCATTTCTGGTGATATTGTTGGAATGTTGCTAAAAGCGAAGTAAAACCACACTAACTCACTCAGCCTCTCTTGTTTTAGAATTGCAACGCACTCCGCTGTATGACGTCAGTCTGTAACGACCGAGTCTGGATCAGATGATCAAGTGATCAGGAGTATAAATTCTCCCAGCTGTGGAGATGATCTAATTTTGTCATATATGACCTAATGAAAATATCCTAGTGGCCAAATGGAACGTATTACATATTTTATGATTTGTTGGTTTGTTGTTTAATGATAACGTATAGAATGACCTTGACAAACATGTTGTTGATGATTGAAGAGCGTAGACACTAAGCATCACACGATGACACGTGGAGAACGTCGGGATGACGTGTTGGAATGTAATGTATTTGACTTTGACCTTGCTATGTCATGGACATCTTTGGATATTCTGCATCATACATGACCTTCAACTTGTTACACGGAGAACGTCCAGGTGGCGTATGGCGGCAACCCGAAGCACCCATGACATTGACCTTGTTTCTTGAAGTGTGGCGATTCCAAATCATATAGCGAACATCCAGCCCTGACGGTTAACGTATTACATATGTCCTTGACCTTACCGGGCTAGTTACACGGTAGAGACATTAACACACAATGCACTATTAGAAAGTTGTCAAATGTTAGAAGTGTTAAATCTGTGATTAAACTTTCTAAGTGTGCTGGCCATTTGATGCTTACTATGAGAGTTTGGGTTCGAATCCCGGATACTCAATTAAGAAAGTCTACTCCCAAACACTTGTAACGTCATGAACGTCTTGAACGTACTAATGACGAGATACTGTTTTCACACGTGACCTTGACCTTGCAGTTACGTGGAAAACATCCAGGTGGCGTGTGGGGACATGAGAAGAATGGGATATCAGCAAGATGGCGGCTGGGAGATCTGTAACGACCCCCTCGTCAAACCAAAGAAATCGTGCCTGGTCTATTCCTTCGGGTGAGAAAACGACCACAGAACTGGTCCAAGCTGAATATGTCACAATGCGTTTGTGCTGTCTTGGCCACATCTCTAAAAAGAGGCAGCTTTCCATCTTCAGTGACTCTTCAGATAGCAGATCGTCAGGAACTTCTTTTTGTCTGTAATGCAATTGTGTGGGTTTTTTTGTCTACTAACAGACTAATGTACTTTGTCAATTGTCCTTTCTATGTAGGTGCATGTAGTCCGCCTACGGTTTTTACATGTTGTATAATATTCTTCTATTATGAAGATCAATGCTTTCGTTTTCTCATCAGTTACCTTCACATTTGCTTTGGTAGTTTGTAAAGTACCGGGGTTTGTGAAATAGTTTGAAAAGTGTCATAACGAGTCATATAATTGGTAAGTCTTATAACTTGCAAAGTATTCGGCATTTATAGGTGATACACATAAAGGCATGAATTTTATGGACTTCAGTTTCTAAATTTTTATGAAAACGATGTTTCCTTACTCTTTCACCAAGTAAATGAAACGTCGTGTTCCTCAAAATAAAGAAGCTGACATTCAAAACGCTCTTGCCTTTGTTAGGGTTACTTGGACACATTGCATAACTTCGATTGATTTGCATTTAATTTAATTGACTGAAACTATGAAGATATGCTTTAGAAACCGTTCTTCGCGTTTTTCAGCACACTTTGTAACATTTGATTTTCCAGCATCAACAATGACTTCAGTTTTGATGACGAAATGGCCAAAGAATATAAGTGTGAAATTCACTCGTTTGATCCAAGGCAAGTACACACAACATTCATGATATGAACCACTTGTTCTCTAAATTACCTGTTGATGCACGGATGTCTTTATAATTATCAATGATAGGATGTGATGCATGTCTTGATATAAGGGTACGTGCATGTGTCTTAAAAGTGGCTATAATGGTAAGATAAACTTGCACATTTCTAAATTAAATGACAATTTATTTCTATGTACAGGGAAAGTCGTATTTTTCTTACGTTGGTGGGCGATCGATCCAAGTATGGGATATGCACTTTAATGAGGGTTGGAAAAAATTGGCTATATATATTTATTTAATTGTACATTTGTAAATTGTAGGACAATATCCTTCTGTATTCAAGGATAAAATGTATTTTTCTAACGTTGATGGGCGTTCTAGTCTATCTTAGTACGAGATGTGTACTTTTTATGATGTTGGGAAAAAGTGGCTATAATTCTAAGATAAAATTGTACATTTGTAAATGGAATGACAATATACTTCTATATCCAAGGTAAAGATGTATCTTTCTAACTTTGGTGGACGATCTATGAAGGTGTGAAAAAAGTGGCTAAAAATAAGATAAAATGTACATTTACATGAGGGTGATACACTTATTTCCGGATTTCAGGATAAGTTACATACATGTTTTATTGTAGAGCCTTAAAACATATCTCAAAATATACTTAAGGATTGTAATTTTAGGTGATAAGCTATGGTGTGTCTATCTGGATATAAGGGCCAGGCCCGCGTTTCACAAAAGCCTCCTAAATTTAGGAGGTCGTAGCCCATACGACCTTGTTTACGACCCTCTTCCGACCTCCTTTACGACCGTTTCACAAAGACGTCATATCCATGTCGTACGACGCGGTCCTAAATCCATGTCGTACATTGTATAAGAGGTATTTTGTTGCATAGCAACGCATAAAGCGAGACCGAACGGGTACCCGCTTATCTTGTTATTCCCAAAGTATTTCAAAATAGAAAAAAAGTTTGAATAACAATGCAAATGTTATGTTTTTAATTCTATGTACAGGTTATCTTATCGTAAAAAAATATCAATAAATGAATTATTTTGGATTCCCTCACAAAATTCCATTGAAAATTACAAGATAAAATTGTATAAATCATTTCCATTAATATTATCAGTTTTACTTATAAGGTTTGAATTAAATCGCTGTCCATTAACTTGTTCATTTGAAACTGCAATATTAGTCCCAATGTATTGAATATTGCACACTATAGGACCTAAAGTTGCAGTTATGGCTACGCTTGATCTACTAACACTTGTGTAAAGGTTTAAAATATAGTGTGATACTCTAAATGTGTCAATTTCTTTTGTAACTTTTATTCAAACGAGAAGACGAGAAGGTTAAACCCAAATGTTTATGAAAATTATGCAGCAATCAAACTTCAAATTAATGTCCTTTCGGCCATCTTTCGAAGTAATATAGCTCCAGTTTTTTTCTTGTGTTTTTATTTGGACTATTCCATTATAATGTGTAGGTAACAGGTAGTAGCTAATCTGTTCATTGAACCGTAAATGTTGTTGTTTCAAGGCGTCTGCGAACTGCGTAATGGAAGGACAGCTTTCAGGAGATAAGAGAAGGGTGTATAACTTGGAGATAAGAGAAGGGTGTATACTGTTTTAGATAAGAGAAGGGTGTATATTGTTTTAGATAAGAGAAGGGTGTATATTTTTGGAGATACGAGTAGTTTGTATATTTCGGTGTCCTCCCATTACGCATAAGAATGTATTGTTACAACTAGGACACTGATTAGTATTAATCTTAACATACATCAATTACTGAAAATCAGAATCTTCTCAAATATCTACATATCTATATCTCTCAAACAAAACGTTTTCTCAGTACATATCCTATTATTTGGAGAGGAATTTTCTAAGTTGGATAACTTGTGCCCAATCATTTTCTTGGATGAACAAAATATGCTTCAATCAATAAACACAATCAAACCTCTCAGTGACAAACCTGTTTTTATATTATATATAGTAAGTGATAGTAAAAACAATTTTGAGAAAAGAAGACGGATTATCATTTAATCACAACAAAGTTCTATTTACACACAATCAAACTTCTCAGTAACGAACCTATTTCAGGCTCACCCTACTGACCAGACAGTGGACTGTTCCATCATTCCCGTAGATGTTACCCTAATTAACCTTCTAGTTCAGTGTCTGTCAATCGACTGTATGTCAAATGGGTGTCTGTCAATTGTAAAGTAACCTATATTTATGGAGATAAGGGTTTGATTATATGATCAAGATGAAAGTTTGGGATAATTATTCTGAATATAAGTGGTGTATTACATGTTTAGATTAAAGAGCGAAGATTATTATTCTAGATATATAATCGTTAGATTATATTTCTGGCTGAAAGGTTGGAGGTATATTCCGGTTTATAAAGATACTTTGTATTTGTCGATATAAGGTCGGAATTAGTTTAGGATGTGTATTTATGAATGTACGTTTCAGGGTGGTATTTGACATAGTGGTAAACCAAAATGTGGCTTCGTGTAATGGAATGACACACGACTTCATTGTACCGCTATATCATTCTGCTTATGGGGTGGCCTAGTGGTTAAAGCGTTCGCTCGTCACGCCGAAGACCCGGGTTCGATTCCCCTCATGGGTACAATGTGTGAAGCCCATTTCTGGTGTCCCCCGCCGTGATATAGCTGGAATATAGTTAAAAGCGGCGTAAAACTGAACTCACTCACTCACTCATTCTGCTTATAGTATGGGTCAACCAGACCATCATCACGGGGACCATGTCACGTTCCACTCTTTAGGAGTGGCTGATTATAACGGTAAATCTCCCAAGAATTGGCCAGTGAAGACTCTCGCAGATATACGTCAGTCCCTCCATCACCAACAGGTAAATCCGGAACGTAATTCTCTTCCGTGGCTAACGTGTGGTGCAACTTCTTATTCCATTAAACTCTAAGCTTATGACTTGATACTGGGGCGGTGGGGTAGCCGAATGGTTAAAGCGTTCGCTCGTCACGCCGAAGGCCCGTGTTCGATTCCCACATGGGTACAATGTGTGAAACCCACTTCTGGTGTCCCCCGTCGTGATATTGCTGGGATATTGCTAAAAGCGGCGTAAAAAACATACTCGTTCACGAAAAGCGGTTTAAAAACATACTCACTCACTCACTATGATTTGATATTGGTTGTCAGGACGGATTCCTGTTGATGCGAAAGGTCACCATTATCAAGTTCCTATTTTACAAAAACATTAACACGGGAGTATATGACAATTCTACACTTCATATTCCGATCATATGTATATATTTTATATTTATTGCCTAATATATGAGACAAATTCTTTCAATGTGGACTAAGAAACAAGGATACTTTTTATTGTTGCGTTTTATGAACATTGCTATAATACATAATGCCTCTGTTTCTTTCAGACTACAATCGATGTTTTGAAAGTGGATATTGAAGAAATGGAGTGGCAGGTGTTTCCGGAAATAATAAGAAACAACGCTTTACACAATGTGACTCAATTTGTGTTTGAGGTGCATATAACACTTAAAAAAGACGATCCCCCACAAGCAAAGTATTTCACGGCTCTGAACATATTCCGTGACTTATATGATTTGGGATACCGGATATTCTACACTCATAGAAACAAATGGTGTCATTACGAGTCCAAGTTAGCTGGAAAACAGAGGACTTCATGCCACGAAATATTCATGATGAAAGTTTGCTGACTGATATTGGACGCCGATGAAGAACACTTCAGCTTTTAGAGAATGTACATCCGTTAGCATTGGCATATTTTTGCAATTATTTTTGGAGGTTTGAACATCTTTTGAAGTAGCAGGCCAAAGCATTGGGGATGGACATGGAAGAAGGTTGTTTGTTCAAATGACAATAAATGCATATGACAATATACAGATGGCGATAATGAATCACGGTAAACGAATAGTCCTTGATATATGACGATGTCCTGGAGGAAAAACCAAGTTCTATGGTCAGTCAACTTCTTTATCGCAATGAATGTGACGTTTCGGTGAAGACACTAACGTCGTTATCAAACAAGTGATAACGGTGTTAGTGTCTACACTTAAGCGTCGCTCCAAATGCAATAGAGAAGATGACTGTCCATAGAACTTGATTATCTTTCATCTTTACAACTTCTACGAATGTCTCTCAAGGAAGACAATGTCACACAATGGTTGAATATATTTTTCCAAATTAAAAGCAATGTACGAATTACTTCAAATGAGAGAAAGAGTGCTTTTAAAACTCAAATTTAAACATTATTTTCGATATTTCACAGAAAGATTTTATTTCACACAAAGGTTTGATAACCTTCAGTCCGGGTATGTGGGTGCCAGCTCAAAGGTAATAATCAATTGAGGTTTTGGACTCTTTGGATTTTTGTTGATAAGGGAGGTAACTCTTCACAACGAATTGCATAACTGATCGCAGACCTGTGTGTATTCCTGAGAATATGAGACGCAATGTCAAATTCATTAAGATATTTTTAAAGTGAAATCTGAAATGGTTTAAAAAGATTGTGCATGTCAGACATGGGTCGGATTCGGCGCGTGCTCTGCCGGCTTCCCCATTCGCAAACAAATGCGGGACATGAAACAATTTATAATTGGAAATAAATTGATTTTTGCCATGATATTTGGGATCAAAACATGCTTATGTTTATGATTGGCCAAAAAGTCACGATTCAATGGCAATCAATGATTCCATGTAACACAACTCTTAACTATCACCTTCGGCGTCGTGAACCTTTGAATAGCTTCAACAGTGTGAGCCCAACAAGCAGCGAAATAAGCCTTAATCAAAAACAAATGCTCAACACTGAGTGGCAATTACTGAAAAATTAGAACTTATTTGCCAAATCACCTTCCAAACTAATGTCAAGAACTAAAAGAATTTCAAAAGATAAACATTTATGTACTCTATGCAACGTGTGTCATTGAAAAGATTTCACGGAGATACAGTTTCCTTTGAGATTACAAGTTTTAATGTGCCCGGTCTCTCGCAACCTTATGACACCAACAAGCAATTATTCCCCTTTAATTAACATAGTTCCGACATTTGAAGATATTTGAAGGAAATAGTATACCGCTTGAAAAAGAGAGGACGTTCTGTTGCGAGCTGGTTAAACACACGAATGCAATTTTTGTTTATATTTCCATGTAATCACGGCCGTGAAAACCTATGCAGTAAAATCTGTAATCTAGTGGTTGAGGGAGCGAGGGAGCGTAGGAGGGAGAGCAGGGAGGTGTGTGTGTGTGTCTTGGGAGGGAGGAGAGAGAGAGAGAGAGAGTGAGTGAGAGAGAGAGAGAGAGAGAGAGAGAGAGAGAGAGAGAGAGAGAGAGAGAGAGAGGTCACTTATAATTAATGCCGTTGGAAGTTTTGAACAATTGCAGTTTATCTAAAATATTGTCATTTGTAAACATCACTGGCTTCCATTGAGTGTGAAGGTATTTGGGATTGCATTAAGCCAATTACTTCTTCCTACAAAATTACTACTACTACTACGACGACGACAAATACTACTACTACCACCACTACTACTACTACTACCACTACTACTACTACTACTACAACTACTACCACTACTACTACTACAACAACTACTACTTCTATTGCTGCTATTGCTACGACTGCTACAACCAATAATAATTATGAATTGATTGCCATATTCTTATAGATTTATTCTTGCCTATTGTCATCTGTGGTCAAAATGAATAAAACAACTTTAGCCGATTAATAACATGGAACGTTGGAAGAAGGCAAAATTGTTTGAGGCCGGTATGGGACTTGAACCCACAACTCTTGCCTTAGAAAAGCATCGCTCTATCCATTTGGGCTAACCGGCCGATATTTGGACTGTTTTAATATTACATTATATCCAAACGATCTGTGCATGACGCAAATTACCCATCGTCAAAGAAATACACCGGCAGTGTGGTGCAATGCATGTGAAGCGCGGTCATACGATTAAGGTTACAAGAGTTGTCTCCCCTGAAACCGTTCGCACTTCTTTCCCTGAACGGGTTTATTTTCATAGATGCGCAAATATCACCAGCAATGCGTGATATTATTGAATTCATATTTCTTGTGTAGTGCGATTTTTAATCACCTTCGGCGATTATAATACTCTAAAATCAACTTCCTCTTCTCTAAATCATCCATGCTGAGGATCACTGAAAATGTCGTCTGCTAGCAAGTAAACAAAGGGGTGTAACTCTTCACAAACTAATGAAAAAGGATTAACGGAGTTGTCTCTCTTCAATGAAACCAAGCACGTGATAGCTGGTCAAGGTTTTTTATACTAGAAATCAAATTAAACATATTCTTAAAATTCTCAATAATTTCTGGTCATACTATATAAGGGCACGGGTACAAATGAAAATAATTTCACTTATTCTCAATTAGGATCAGACCAATTGTTATTTTTTCATTGTAGTAAAGTCACACGCGTTTGAAAACGATTCATGGATCCTTAGCAGTTATCTTTCCTTCTACTAAGGGCGGACATCCTTATGGTGATGATTTGGTATAACAGCAACAGCAACAGCAACAGCATCAACCAACGACGACGACCACAACTAACAACCAACAACAATCTTTCAACAAACTATATCAACTAACAACAGCCAAAACGAAACCAGACCAAGAAACAACATACGCAACAAACACGAACACCAAGCAAAAACGATTGATGTAATTTTATCAGTGTACGTAGTCATACAAGATCCCACATTCTCTTGTCGCTTTTATAATTTTGGCCGAAGGGGGAAAGTGTGTAGCCGGTGTGGGACTTGAACCCGCAACCCTTGCTTTCCAAGAGCATCGCTCTATCCGTTTGAGCTAACCGGCCGATATTAGATGAACGTCATATAACATTCTATTCAATCGATCTTTGAATGATGCAAGGTACCTATCATCCCAGAAATACTGCGACACGCGTGTGCAATACAAGCGAAGCGCAGTCGTGCGATTAAGGTTACAAGAGTTGCCTCCCTTGACGCGCTCCCTAAGTATTTCAGCTCCATTGTTACATGAAAGTAACACGGCTGATGTTTTCTCCATATTCTTCCAGACCGGGTGTCATATTATATCGAATAAGAATGTCGGGAATTGGGCCCTCGTTTCCGGCGCAACGAGTGAAGTGAGGTGAGGTGAGGTGAGGTGAGGTGAGGTGAGGTGAAATGGGGTTTAACGTCATACTTGAGAATATTTCGCTCATATGACGACGTGCATGCGTCTGTATGTGTGGCTGCTTGTACTAGCCCAGACTGAAGCAGGTTCATAGTGCTCACTCTGAGTAGCTCACTGATATACCACACCGTAATTTAGCATGAATACCCAACTCAGACACTCCGAACCGAACAGTCCTTGTTGTACCCATTAATGCCGAGCGCCAGGCAGGGACCAACAAGTACCATACTTTAACGTCTTTTGGTATGACGCGGCCGGCGATCGAACCCACGACTTTCCGCTGTCCGGGCGGACGCTCTAACCACTACACCAAGGAGGCGGTCCGCAACGAGTAAACGTAGTACTTAAGTACTTGGGCAGTATGAGTTCAATATTCCAGCGATATCACGTTGGAAGACACCATAAAAGGGGCTTCACACATTGTACCCGTGTGGGGCATCAAACCCTTGTCTTCGGCGTGACGAGCGAACGCTTTAACCACTAGGCTATCTCACCGCCCGTGTTATTTAAAACCGCAGGGAAACTACAGTGAATGAAATAGCTTATGACCTCTTAATAGATGTGATAATAAAATGGTAAAGAAATGAGATGGGGAAGAACAGTCACGTGACTTTTGCAGCATCATGCCAGGGACCCAAAGTTTCTGCTTCAGACACTGTATCTTCAAGGAAATTGTTTGTATTGTCACTGGTATGTCGTATTTTGGCACATACCATTCACTGATATGGTTGCTTGATTCATATCATTGTATCCCAAATCTCGATGTTCATTATATCAATCACAAAACTGCCTGGCTCAAAACTCGATTAGTAACAGACCACTGCCATTAAGCTTGAAATATTGCGCTGGACAGCAATTAACAACGAAACAAACTTTAACATATTTTATTCGTTAAATAATAAGTATACATTATCTCAAGTCAACATTCAAACGTTGGATGGTGAAATCAAAACGAAACTGGGTCAGATATCGATTTATCGATACACCTTGAACACCTTCTAAGATGAACTCAATCAAAAAATGAATAAGTTATAGATTGCCTAGATTATATCGTAAACACGAACAAAACATGATATTGGAACGGTGAAATGTATGTATGCTCTTATTAGTTTGTTGTGACGAGAATGAGTTTGAATCGTTCCCATGTGTACTTCGTGCAGAAGAATCTCCATAATTACAGAATCGTTGGTGAACATTATGTACAGAATTTTCTCCTAAGTTAATTGTTAAGTTAATTTGTAAAACGAATGCAGTACGTTATCCACCAAAATCAACGTTTTGCCTCAAAAGGAAATGGTATGTAAGAGACACGCTAGCTATTCTCGGAATAGTACAGACGTTTGCCATTTTGGTGAAACACATTAGTACGGTTATGGTGCCGAGATACCTAGAAATGTAACCGGAATTCTGAACCATAATCATAGGTTTCTTGTGTGACCAAGGGACGCAACTCTGCGTCGCCCACGAGTGGCATATGACATATTTGTGTATCATATCTCTATCCAGTGATGATATTCACCGTGAATATATTCGTTTCGTTTTGAGTCCGATTTTAACACAACGCTTAACACAGCATCCAATCCAATTACTCTCACGAGAAAGAGAAATTCTGTGGTAATGAAGAATGTGATCTCATTTGAAAACGAGGGGGCGAATCTGGTCATGGTGATCATCATAATAATCGAATGGAGCCACAAAGTCCCATGTAATCAGGGATGCTTTTGTGTGAGGGTAATGGCAATGTCGGGTCATGTGATAGTCACGTGTACTGGTGAAACCAATGAGCATTCATGGGACGGATGACGTTTACTTCAACACTGTACTGCCGATGTAGTTTATATTTATACTTATACTGGAGTTTGAAAATGATATTGGTAATGTGTTCGGATTGAAAGGACACTTTGGAATCTTTAAAACGTTACATTAGCATGTTGATATCAATGTTGGAACAATATTTCAAAGAAGGAATCCCTAACAACTTAATTTCAACACGGAAACAATGTAATTTGCCTACTGAGTATACATAGGTAATCCACGAACCCATTTCTCAAGGCCTGTCGCAATACATTTTCCGCCGTGGTTTGAAAAAAATGGATTGTGAAATTTAGTAACATGGTACTGTTATGAGTGAGCCGTTTTGAACATAATTAATTACAGGTATATCACGACTGTCAGTTTCATCAGGGGTGGGGTAGAGGTCTTTATCACTTTGGCGAGACCCACCTTAAAAAATACGTAATCTGTGAATCTGGGATTCTACAGCCAAAGATTATATATTTTGAGCAAAAAATAAGGGACACAAATCTGCAACGGAACTGCCCCTCTCCGCAACCTGCAGGAAGACAAGTCCCCTTACCGACGAAAGTAATTAATAGCTAGTGGGGGTGATGATAAGCATGTACAATGTGAATCCCCCCCCCCCTAAAAATATGTACAAAGGAAGTGACCCCCCTGCATGTCATGTACAAATTCAATGCCGACCTCCCACCCCACCCCACCCCACCATGACCCCCTTACCCTACCTCCCTACTATAATGAACAGATGTGGTCAGCCAACCGAGGTAAATGTTCTCACTGGCTATATAATTCGACGGAAGTTGAATGACAATGGACATCCTACTAACATTATGAGTGAGTGAGTGGAGTGAGTGAGTGAGTATGGATCTATGCCGCTTTAAGTAATATTCCATCAATACTACGACAGGGGACACAAGAAATGGGCTTCACAAATTGTACCCTTGAAGGAATCGACCCGGCACTTCAGCGTAATGGGCAGATGCTTTGACCACTACCCACTACCCTACCTCCCTACTAGCATAATGAACAGATGTGGTCAGTACCGAGGTAAATGTTCTCACTGGCTATATAATCGACAGGAATGAAAATTTAAATATATCCTTAGAACCCACGTAAAGACCATGTATCTTCAGCTTAATTCGTCCCCACCATCATATATATTTGGGGGCAAAGTCTTCCGATGGCGACAGGCCTAAGTTGGGATTGTATGGAGGGCATCGAGTTCTTAAATCCCCTGAGAGGGTACGTGAGTCCCAAAACATTCAAAGTCAATTTAAATCTATCCAACCTTTTTAATCGTAGAATATGTGGGTTTTTTTAATGTACAGTATGGTTAAATGTGTCTAAACTGCTAACGGCTGAAGGGATGGTGTAAATCCAGCTAGGGCCCATGCAGGAAGCAAATGTACTGTAAGTCCCCATGGTCCCTAGTATGGTGATCTACCTTCAGTTGTTGGCAATCTATAGCCTGTTTTTACATTGTCTTGTCATTTCTAGCTAACATGTTTTAGATTTCGTCACTAGTTTAATTTGGATTTCTATGATATACTAGTAGTTTTACTGATCTTCGTCAACAGGTTTTAATTTCTAATTTTATTGATATATGCTATAATCAATAATTGTTCTCGTCACGATATGGCTGAAATACTGCCGATGTGCCGATAAGTATTAACTCACTCACTCACTCACTCACTCACTCACTCCATGATGTGCATATTAACATCAAGATTCGTGCGTTTACGTTGCCGTTGAATCAGGAATAGACATCCAAGTCCTGCAAGCGTACCGACGATCAACATGCCCACGGCCATCCCCGCAAGGCTACCTGTTAAAAACAGAACGAAACAATAGTCGCCAACACATGGGAAATTTATGAGAAAACGATTACTTGGGTTTCTACCATATATGCATTTTTTTTCTACTTTCAACAGATTAATCGATCTGGACATCCGTGTTGTTTATATCTTTCTCATTTCAAAATTCAACCAGCAACAAGCGGGCAGGCGACAAATACATACAGATAAAACAGTTATAAATAAAAACCTTTTCATTAAATGAGTAGCATATTTTTATATTTAAAAATAAAATGGTCACATAGTGATAGTCTTTAAAACAATTCATAATGTAGATCGAGTCGCTTGGCTTCAGAAATATTTTCCTTTTTACATTAGATGAAAAAAGATCAAGCTGACCTGTTTTGTACGAGTGTGCACGGTACAGAGTATTTGTTATCACACCAAGGTATGACGGAGGTGAAAACCGAGGTATGAAAACTTGTTAATTATTTGAGATGGGATCAAAATTCAATGATACGAGAAAAACACACACACACACACACATACACACACACACACACAAAACCGTACATAGAGCGTACAGTGAGTTAGTGGTAACATATTTCAGGTATATTTCACCCAGCACTGAATGGGTACCCGGTGGGATAAGATTGCCAAATGACCGTTAACCTTCTCGCACCTCACGCCTCAAATGTGTTCTTTGCGCCACTGAGCATCTTTGGGGTGGATACAAATGCATTATAATATTATATTATATTTCGGTGTGTCAGCGTCTTGTGCGAAGATAACATGCAGTGTTGCAGGTCTACCACTTTGATCAAATCCACGAGCACGGACTGGCTCTCACAAACAGGGCCCCGTTTCACAAAGCTATCGTAGCGCTACGACAGTCGTACCTCCATACTTACACTAATGCTTAGTCTCTGAATATATATTATTTTGATAGTAACAAACAAGCCCATTTAAATTGAAAAGGAGCCCCAGGGAGACCAGAGATTCAGAACCTGAGGAAATCTAGACTTGCTTTATTTAGACTTTAGCATTGCAGAGAGGGCTTGGCATTAGGGACTGTGAGACAGACTTCTCCATACTGTAACATAGACTTACGACAGTCGTAGCGCTACGATAGCTTTGTGAAACGGGTCCAGGGCCCCGTTCCTCAAAGCGATCGTAGCGCTACGACAGTCGTAAGTCTATGTTAAAGTATGGGAGTTACGATCAACTTTGCGCTACGATCGCTTTGAGGAACGGGGCCCAGAGCCATAAACCGCACGAATGTGAAATTCGAGCAAGATTGTATCAGTATAATTATTGTATGGTTATACTGAAATTCATGGGTGAATGTTTAACTAAATTGTGTTTGATTGATTGACTGTTTCTTGTTTAACGCCCACTCAGCAATATTCCAGCTATATGGCAGTCTGTAAATAATCGAGTCTGGACCAGATAATCCATCTGATCGACAGCATGAGTAATTGAGTATCGATCTACGCAAATGGGATACAATGACATGTGTCAACCACGTCAGCGAGTCTGACCACCCGATCCCGTTAGACGCCTCACACGACAAGCATGGGTTACTGAAGATCAATTTTAACCCGGATCTTCACGGGTGTGTAACTTGAGATTTACGCGGCTTTTATTCTTCAGTATACACAACCTTGTGTCATCTGTAGGACGAAAGCCCGAATTCGTGCATGTCTTACTCGTGTATCTAGATTTGAAAATGACCGTTAACCAACATGGTTTTGAATACACTGCTACCATTTTGTTCTTTCCTGAAAGTCAACACTATGGAATCCTAGAAGGGTCATTTTCGCGTTGTCGTCCATTCGAAAACAAAAGAGTGTCAAAAATAACCATCTTGGATGGTGCGACAACGCGACATTTTGGTCATTTGTCGCATTTTCGCACTTTGAATACTATTTTCCATTCTATCCAAGGGCGACAATGCGCCATGGGGACAGTTTCCAAATATGTCGGCTTGTCGCATTGTCACGCCATGTAAGGTGTGTTAAAAAAGCTTCAAAATGCGGAACTTCTAATGTTCCTTCTAGGATTCCATACAACACAGAACGTAGAGTTAATAGTACAGCGTTTTAAATTAGTTGCACATCCTTAATAGCATCCGATTCAGACAAGAATCATTACATGGCGTCTGACCTCGATCCCGGGTTCATATCTGGTTTTCCTGGTCCAGGCTTTAATATTTACACGTCACAGTGCCATTGCTCACACATTGCTGACTGCGGCGTCAAACAACATGCATATGTTAGATGAATCCCCAACGAGCCTTAATGACGTTTGAGTGGACTTACGACCACGGTCTGAAACGTAACCTTCTTGCACTAAGTGACGTACGTTATCCAATTAAATCAGAATATAATAAAAATATAAATTATAAGCAAGGTCTCAGGTACCCTGACTGTATCGGTGAGTGACGTACCTCCAGTATATCCCGACGACCCCAGTGGTTGATGGTCAGGGGTTTGACCACCCGGTGGTAAAGGTCCTACAGGAAGAAACAATAACATTATTGTACATGAGTGAACAGTTTAAAACATCTCAGAACATGTGGTTATAAATAATGGACAACATGCATCTTTCTAGCATTATCAGAAAGGAAGTGAGTGAGTGAGAGTGAGTGAGTGAGTGAGTCTTTTGTCAAGTATCAGACATCACAGTCATCTAAAGCGCCGCAATTGGTTATGCAGAGTTGCGTCCCCTGGGATCGCAGGAGCCTATGATTGTGAGTTCGAATCCCGGTCGCCCCGATTTTGTCGCTAGGTTTGTCAGAAGCATATCCGTGCTCATGGGTTTCGTCAAAGTGATAAACCTCTGTGGTCTGTATCACCCGAGGCGTTCCTCTCACTCCGACATGAGTGAGTGAGTGAGTTTAGTTTTACGCAATATTCCAGCAATGTCACAGCTGGAGACAGCAGAGATGGGCTTCACACATTGTACCCATGGGGGAATCGAACCCGGGTCTTCTGTGTGACGAGTGAACGCTTTAACCACTTGGCTACATCACCGCCCCTCCAGCGACAGGAGATAATATAACGAACAAGGAGGCTTTAAAGTACATTAACTTACTCCTTCTAACAAGTACCGCAATCACAATAATCTATTCCTGTGACAGGCCGAGTCATATATTGTTTGCACAAGTCACAATGGAGTATTTGTATCATAACATAAATAAAACCCCTACCCCCAAAAAAATTCCCCAGAATTAACACCTTACATCTGTCTATCGTTGTTGTGTAGACATCGGTATATATATTCTTGCAAAATGAAAAAAAAAATGAAAAGAAAAATTAATATTGTACACATTTTTGCTCTGGGTTTTTAATTTTGGACAAATATCCCACCATATGACATCGGGGATGCTGAGAATGGCTTTCCCGCTTTATCGAACGAACTTGGGGCGGTGGGGTAGCCTAGTGGTTAAAGCGTTTCCTCGTCACGCCGAAGACCCGGGTTCGATTCCCACATGGGTACAATGTGTGAAACCCGTTACTGGTGTCCCCGGCGTGATGATTCCTGGAACATTGCTAAAAGCGGTGTAAAAAGCGGTGTAAAAACTGTAAAACTCTACTTGAAGTAGACAAATAGAAAAGTCACCTGTCCAATGGTATGTAAACTCATGTTCCCCCACCGTGATATTGCTGCAATATTGCTATAAGTGGCGAAAACTAAACTCACGTCACCTTTCCACCCATCCCATCAACTACTGTATTTCTTTTACGCCGCACTCAGCAATATTCCAGCTATATCACGGCGGTCTGTAGACAATCCAGTGATCAACAGCATGAACATCTATCTACGCAACTGGGACACGGTGACATGTGCCAAGCAAGTCAGCGCGCCTGACCACCCGATTTCACTGGGAGTCTCTTACTAAAAGCATTGGTTGCTGAAGATCAATGCTAACCCGAACATGACGGGATTGACAAAACTAATATCAGTGTTTCAAAACTATAATCGTCCACCTCATACTGGAACTAAACGAATTCTCAAAACAAAGACATCTTACGTTTATAGTACTGACAGCTAGATTTTGGTTGATGGTTAGCGACCTTGACCTTCTGCGTTGTACCAATCAAACACGCCTTGGTATTCAGGCAATATTGGAAGGAAATGCACGATGCGCCCTCGTGTCCACACATGTCCGCGCATTTCTGAAGACTGACGCCATTTAAAGGCTTAAAATTGCTATTAGCGGCTGGTGGACCTGTTTGCAAGGTGAAGTCATCGAGGAATTGTCCTGTGTGGATGGAGATAATATGTTGATAATCATAATACTATTATAATATGATAAGTCAAAAGAAAATACTCGAAATTTCGAGTTTTTAAAACTTGAAATAACGAAACAATAATTGAAATTGGGAAAAAATATTCGAAGCAACGAGAATAAACTCGAATTTTCCTGTTTGGAATGAAACTTAAAATAACGATTATTTCCATAAACTTTAAACACAGAAAATGATTAGACGCAATGTGAAAATATACTCTCCCAAAAAAGAAACGCATCATGAAAATAGCAATTTCATGTAGCAATGAATTAAAACGTGATTCATTTTACAAAAGGTTTTGCTCTGTTTATGAGTCCTATGGTGTTTATGTTTTGAAACATCACAACAAAACGCACCATCCGTAAAATACCCGTATGTAACAGCATGATTTTCAATTTCGGCGTGTAGTGTCACAGAATACACAATTCACATGCAATGCACGTGAAAGTTGGGGATCAGATAGTCTCAATGATGGGTATGAAAGGTTGATCGCTGTCTGTCGATTATTCACTGTATTTGGAATATTGTTGACGAACGCAAAATGCCACGTCTAAGTGAAGCCAACCGTCATATCGCCATTGGTTTGCTTGAAGCTGGCCAGTCTCAAATTGCAGTTGCCCGACGCATGAATGTTCACCAAAGCAACATTTCACGGCTCTGGGAGAGATATCGCCGGCAGAATGCGGTAGCAGATGCCCCTCGTAGTGGGCGACCTCGAGCGACCACTGCGGCGCAGGATCGCTACATCCGGGTACATCATCTGCGTCACCGAACAGCTACGGCAACCAGTACCGCTCGACAAATACCCGGATTGAGGAGGTTTTCTGCACAGACCGTCAGGAACAGGTTGAGAGAGGCTGGTTTACGTGCCAGAAGACCTTATTTTGGCCCTGTGCTTCGACATCGAGTTCAATGGTGCACCAACGTTCAGGCCTGGAACCTACCGAATTGGCGTAGAATCTGGTTCAGTGATTAATCACGATTTCTATTGGAACGACGCGATGGAAGAATGCGGGTGTACAGACGTCGACGTGAACGTTTCGCCGACGCTCGCGTTCCCCAGGTGGACAGATTTGGCCGGGATGTGGGGAGCGATCACCTGCCGTAGGAGAAGTGATTTGGTGATGATCCAGGGCAACCTGACAGCTCAACGGTACTGTGACGAAATCCTATGCCCACACCTCCTTCCAATCATTGATCGCCAGAGGGAGTTGTTTCAACAGGACAATACCAGGCCCCACACAGCACGTCACACTAGAGACTTCCTCCAGAACCACAACATCAATGTGCTCCCCTGGCCCTCAAGATCACCGGACTTAAACCCGATCGAACATCTGTGGGATGCCCTGGACAGACGGGTGCGACGCCGTAACCCTCAGCCCCAGACACTTCAGCAACTCGCACAGGCACTACAGGCAGAATGGGCTGCGATTGGGCAACACGAGATTCTGAGACTTATTCGTTCGATGCCGAGGCGATGCCGTGCCGTTCTGGATGCCCACGGTGGTCACACGAGGTATTGACTTCAGCGCCACCACACGTCTCCATGTGACACTCCAACTGACTTTCCTCGAGTTGGTGCCAAAGCTGCATTCCCAGCGTGCTATATTTCATTGACTCATAAAGCCTACAAGATGTTTCAAAATAAACATAAAAATACAGTTGAAATTCCTATATGCGTTTCTTTTTTGGGAGAGTATACTGAAAAATGAAAAACAGTGTTACGCCTAATCAGGTTTGCTGAGGATCAACCATTACGTGAATTGTCAGAACACACATGTCCCAGGCGATTGCATTCGTGACCAACTCGTGTTATTCCGGGACAAGCCGAAATAGCTTCTTGGAGCATTCGTGACCAACTCGTGTTATTCCGAAACAAGCCGAGGTTACGGAAAGGAGCGAATGGTGACGAATGTTTCTTGGAGATTACGGAAAGGGACGAGTGGTGACGAACGCTTCTTGGAGGTTACGGAAAAGGACGAGTGGTGACGAATGAGGCGATTGTAAAAGATAGGGACTATTTTAAAAGGATGATCTACGAGGTAATTCACAAACGAACTCATCCACTCACTATTATAATACGGACAAGTTGTATTGATCTTCAAGGTGAGTGGTACCGGTAGCAGCCTGTTGTCCATGAGGTTGCATATTTTGTTGGAGGGACAATACTGGAAGGCGGTGCAGTGGAACTCCGCCTTTTTGGTACACGCCTTGCCACAGGCCCGGACATTTGGAATCAACTCCAAAGCAGCTTTGGCGATTCCTGGCACTGTTGACACGGCCACAAGCGTATACCCACTGACCACTGTGCCTGGACATACACACACAGACGGTCAAGACAAAATCGATGATTTTGAGACAAAATGCTTCCTACGCCTCGCCTTGCAAAGATAGAAAATGGCTTCTCCAAATACCGCCTATAGTGGTATATCGAAACTGGAATGCTGAGACATTTGATATCATAGTTTGATAGTTTGTGTTACAAAAAAAGAAGGCTAAATACTTCTGTATAGTCTGTTGTTTATTGCTGCAATATTCCAGGTATATGAAAATAGCATGTAAATAATCATGTCAAGATATCATGAGCACAGATCTACGTATACGCAACTGTGATATGATTGCACGTATCAACCAAGTCAGCGAAACTGTCCCGTTAGTCGCTTCTTACGGCAAGATGGATTGTAGAAGACAAATTCTAATTCTTCATGGGTCTGAATCTGTATAATCTTTACTTCAAAGACAGAAATCAAATTATATATATATATATGTGTGTGTGTGTATATATATGTATATATATATATATATATATATGGAGGTTCCCACCTGTCGGGGATGTACTAGTACTTGGTTGAGGCGATGGCGTAACTGTTGTCGTCCCGTTCTTAGGAAAGTTGGAAGATACTGAAATGTGGGAAAGGTCAGACTACTAGAGTAAAACTGTATATACAATCAAACATCTTTGACCTGTCCAACTGACGGTTGTCTCGAGGTAAAATTGTCAGTTTTCGTTTAACGCCACACTCAGTAATTTTCCAGCTACATCACGGCGGTTTGTAAGTAATCAAGTCTGGACCAGACAAGCCAGTGATCCACAGTATGAGCATCTCAAGCGGGATACGATGACATGTGTCAACTAAGTCAACGATCCTGACCACCTGGTCCCGTTAATCGCCTCTTACGACAAGCATGGGTTGCTGAAGGCAAATTCTAACCCGAATCTTCACGGATGCTCAACGACCTTCTTAAAGTTATGATGAACTCACGTGAATATATATCACACCCGGATTGAGGCTTCACGAGATTCTCGTGCGTTGCAACAGACGTGTGGCTGATGTCACACTTATGCTTGTGAAGACAGAGAGTGACTGTCTGACACAAAGGGTCCTCAATACAGTCCTGTAGACACTCCTCTAAGACGTCGACAATCTCAGCGTGGTCAGTTTCGTCGAAAAAGGCATCCGTCTTGTACCGTTTGAAGTCTGTGTTTCTGGCTAATAACAAAAGTAAATGAGTTAGTTGGTTTTAACGCCGTACAGTATTACAACTATTTTGCGACACAGAATGTCTGAAGGTATACAGGTTCATAAATTTACCACCTTGGTGAAATCCAAGGGCATGTTGTTACTAAAATCCGAAATATAATGAAAACGAATCGTGAATCGAAGCCATGATCATAGGTTTCTCGAACGTTGCTTTGAACTGTATTTCATTCAGTTACATTACGCTTTTTTAAAGTTTTTGAATTCACGAGAAATAATAATACGTGTATTTATACCGTGCAGGATTCCATTCAAAAGTGTCTACTCAAAGCGCTACATATAATGGCGATTGGAGTGCTACAAGACATAAAACATATTCACATAAAATGGTTGAAACTTTTGAGGATATGTTTGCTAATCACTGTAGTACTTTCTGAAGAGGAATGTTTTTAAGGCACATTTGAAGTAATCAAGGGATGTTGTTAGTCTGTGTTCGAGTGGCAGCTGGTTCCACAGTGTTGGAGCTCCATAACTAAAAGAGCGGAAACCAAAGGATTTTAGTTTACATCTTGGGATGACCATTATATGTTGATCAGCTGATCGTAAGTCTCTCGATGGAACATGTTTGGTCACCAACTGATGTAGTCGGGAGCAGTTTCATGATAGCACTGGTGGGCTAGACACAGGAGTTTATACTCCACTATGGCTCTTATGGGCAGCCAGTGTAAGGCTCGAACACTGGGGAGATATGTTCTGTCTTGGACCCTTCTTTGACAATGCGAGCTGCTGAGTTTTGTACCCTTTTTGAGATGAGTGTCTGACAATCCGTAGTAGGCAGTTTTGCAATAATCCAACTTCGATAGCACTAGGGATCTAACAAGTGCATGAACAGCTGGCATTGTTAAGGAACGTCTGATGTTGCTGACATTTCTTAGCTGGAAATAGCAAGATTTGCAGATGTTGTCAATGTGTCTCTTTAAAGTAAGTTCTGAATCCAGGTGAAGCCCAAGGTCTTTAACGCTGTTGGAGAATGGTATGATGGAGTTGCATATTGGGATTTTAGTTTCTGTGACTCGAGATCGAAGTTATGAGCTACCAAGATGCAATGCTTGCAGTTGTGGCAGGGTAAACCAAAATAGTAATATAATCAAATCGAACAGGGATTTGAACCAACTATCATCAGCTTCAGCAACCCCACCACCGGATCAGACGGGTCCCATTATTAATAATTCATATTTGTTTCTTCCTTCCATATACAATAATTCTAGGTAGTAATTAAATCTTAAAAGTTTCACCAAATAAGGACCTCGTCCAAACATTTACATACCATAATCTTTTAATCAAATCGATTCAGTATAATTTAATTTGTCACATGTATTGATGAGTAAGATTGTGAGCTGCAACCATTACCTTGACTCTCCGCATGTAACGAATTTCTTTAATATGGTGTAAGTCGATACACGTCCAGAAAAACAGTTTCATACAATATTTTTTTTTAATATGATATAATCCCTACAATCCTAGTTCAATTCAAGAAATTCCCAACGGAAGTAACATGCCAGTTACTTACTTGTGGTCAGTGGCATTGTAGTTTGTGTCGTCCGCGTTTTCGGAGTTGTGACCTTAGTAACTGGAGCGGAACTTGTCACTGATGGAGGACCCGATGTCACTGAAAAATAATCGTCAGTTCATCAGTCAATAGTTAAAAGTAGAGGCTGAATAGTCTGACATATGCAAGAACTGAAGCTACTAGCCTATGTCCATTCTCGCGTGAGTTTGGTTTTACGCCGTTTTCAGCAATTTTCAAGCAACATCACGACGGGGACACTAGAAATGGGCACATTGTACCCATGTGCGGAATCGAACCCGGGCCTTCGGCGTGAAGAGTGAATGCTTTAACGACTCTACTACCCTACCGCTCCTAAACGGGTTCAGACTTAAACTTCCTCATTGTTCCATGCATGTGGGGAATCCACCCCGGGTGACGAGAAAACGCTTTTACCATTGGGCATTATCGTGTGAGTGAAGGAGTTTGGTTGGCCGCCGGGTTATATAGCATTTCAGTTATATCTTGACGTTTAGGCTGAGGAAATATATACTAGTATACAGATATATACATTCAACACTTTGGTGAAAACCACGTGCCAGAATTGGTGCTGATTTACATAGCAGTTAGAAACATAATCAGGCGACTCTGAGATTCGTGCCAACGACTACAAGTTTCCATCCAAGGGAGGCAACTCATGCCAGTAGAAGCAGGCTGGGAAAATTTTACCTTCGGGTGAGGTTCTGGGATTTTCCGTCGATGTCTCGGGATGACTGGATGGGGTATTCGACGCTGCAGTTGGTGTCGTCTCTTCGGATGTTGATGCTGCAGCTGGTGTCGTCGCTTCAGGTGTTGACGCTGCAGCTGGTGACGACGCATCGGTGGAAGACGTTGCAGTTCCCGAGGACCCAGATACATTGTCTGAAGCAGGAATCTGATTAATTCACTACATTGAACCGGATGGGTTGTCCTACCTTGTTACTGCTCTCAATCTATATAGCGAATGTTTGTGAGTGAGATAATTCAGCTTAACCCTGTTTTGAATATTATCCAGAACAGTATCATCAAGCGTCAGTTTAAAACAGGAAACAAACCCAAGACGTTGACCACGTTAGTCAAACCGAAGACCATCAAGTTATTGACATCATCAGCAAACGTTGACGTGTCAACCATGTCAGCGAGTTGTTTGGTCGGCATTTTGGTGAGTCAGAAATTAATCATACAACTTGGATGACAACTTCTTGTTTCGGGACCGTTCATGACTTATGGTTAGGGGGTGATGATGATATTTTTTATGGAGAAGCATAAAATTTATGTACAAAGTAAAGGACCCCCTGCATGTCATTTACAAAATCAATGAGTACTACTATCCTGACAGGTACCCAGCCGATGACTACAAAAACTGCATGTTCGCAGTGTGAGAAATAACCACTGGCCCGCTACTCCGTGTCTAGTAAAAATCCAGTCGGGCCAGTAAATCTCCACTATCACTTGCCCGACTGGCTAGTGAATTTTCATGGGGTAATTGTTTATATATATCACGCTCGCCGACTTGTTAAGTTATAATACACTTTTAAATCATGCAAGATTTTGGCCTGATAAATGATGGTATTTTACCGTTTGTAATCTTTTGCTTAGTTTCTTCATTCAAATTTTGGGCAAGCGAATTATTTTGTGGGCTTAAAACTTTCAGGCATAGCTGACTGGCAAGCAAATATGGAAACTATTTCGCACACTGCATGTTCGATGCCTACGTTTAGATTGATCACACGCGTCTACCAAGGATAATCAGCTGAAAATTCCCAAACAATAGAATTATCACAAACTATATTACAAGGATATTATTCCCATAAAGTTTGCGTCGGAAACAAATGAACCCGAAACAATTGAACATGACACAGTGATTGAGTTTAGTTTTACGCCGCTTTTAGCAACATTCCAGCAATATCTACGGCTACGGAAATGAGCTTCACACATTGTACCCATGTGGAAATCGAACCCGGGCTTTCGGCGTGACGAGCGAACGCTTTAACCACTAAGTTACTCCACCGTCCCCACGTTGTGTATATCAAATTTTAACCTGCTGGATTAACTGTCTCTGGTTCCTCTAAAAACGCCTGGGACTTAACATTACGAGGCAATTGTGTCTTTGTTTGTTTGTGTGTAAATGGATAGTTTGGGAACGTTCTCTTGGTTTTCATCTGTAGGCCCGTCGCAGACTTATCAAGCCAACACCCACCTTGACAGCTCTGTCTCCATATATCGTCCTCTACAACCTCTCTAGCCAACAGCCCGAGACCCTGTCAATGAAGAAGGGTTTCGCATATTATCTCATGCTATGAAAGAAAACTTTGTCTTTTGGTTTGCGATAAACACAATGTCGTCCAGGTAGATCGTGTTAGATGGGTTGCACAGTACATGATCATAATATGCAGGTACATGCAGGTAACACCTACCTGGTCACGGTGTGCAGGTACATACAGGTAACACCTGCCTGGTCATGGTATACAGGTACATACAGGTAATACAGGTAACACCTGGTCAAAGTGTACAGGTACAGGTATACAGGTAACACCTACCTGGTCATGGTGTGCAGGTACATACAGGTAACACCTACCTGGTCAGGGTATACAGGTAACACCTACCTGGTCAGGGTATACAGGTACATACAGGTAACACCTACCTGGTCAGGGTATACAGGTACATACAGGTAACACCTACCTGGTCCAGGGTATACAGGTACATACAGGTAACACCTACCTGGCCAGAGTGTGTAGGTACATATACAGGTAACACCTACCTGGTCAGGGTATACAGGTACATACAGGTAACACCTACCTGGCCAGAGTGTGTAGGTACATATACAGGTAACACCTACCTGGTCAGGGTATACAGGTACATACAGGTATACCTACCTGGTCACATACAGGTAACACGTACCTGGTCAGGGTATACAGGTACATACAGGTAACACCTACCTGGTCAGAGTGTGTAGGTACATATACAGGTAACACCTACCTGGTCAGGGTATACAGGTACATACAGGTAACACCTACCTGGCCAGGGTATACAGGTACATACAGGTAACACCTACCTGGTGTGCAGGTATACACAGTTAGCACCTACCTGGTCAGGGTATACAGGTACACACAGGTAACACCTACCTGGTCAGGATATCCAGGTACAGACAGATGGAGAGTAAGACTGTCATTCGACACTAAAGTGTTGAAGGCAGACCATGCAGCTTGAAGATCGTGATCAGGAAGTCCCTTTGGACGCTGGACAACAGCTGTAGTTAAAATAGTCAAAGAGACAGCGATAGTTCCAATAGGTCCATAGTGCCCCTGTAGTCTAGAGGATTGAGCCGCTGCCCCAGGAGAGCACGGACGGGTTCGAGCCTCGGCCGAGTCACACAAATCAGTTGAATATGTACTTGATGGTATGTACCCTGTCTGGCGCTTGGCATTAGGGAATATAACAAAACTGTGCCTCGGGTTCAGTATTATTTGTCTGGGTAGGCAATCCATGTTGAACCAGTGGGCTAACACCATAAAACCAGCATTCGTCCATATTTGTACACCTCTCTCTGGTCTGGTTTGGTTTGTTGTTTAACGCCGCACTCAGCAATATTCCAGCCACATGGCAGCGGTCTGTAAATAATCGAGTCTGCACCAGACAATCCATTTATCAACAGCATGAGCATCGATCTACGCAATTGGGATACGATGACATGTGTCAAGTAAATCAGCGAGTCTGACCACCCGATTCCGTTAGTCGCCTCATACGAGAAGCAAGGGTTACTGAAGATCAATTCTAACCCGAATCTTCATGGTTCACCTCTCTCTGGAACATAACTTTCACTCACCTGAATATCTGTCACATAGACCTCCCAGGTCTGGGTTAACCGAGTACTGCTGCACGACGTGTGAGAGGTAGCAGATGCTCCCACAGACAACGAAGGTGACACAGTAGGTTTCGACGTCGCAAAACGCAGCGCATTCCTCGACCGACGTGACGTCGTGTTCAGCGTCAATAACCTCCATCGTCTGGTCCGGTATCACATAATACCGGGCTGCAAAACACATGACAGAACATGTCAGGACACGGTTAAACATTACACATTATCCATATCAAAAAAAATAAATCACAACCATCGATGCAAACATCGCATGAAAATCATGACAGGAGTCAACACGAACACTTCTGGTTTTCTCGGAACCATCGCTGACATCAACAGGGTCATCGCATCAAGTCAATGACCTAGGACAATTCACTGTATAGGGTTGTGTCCCTTGTTCGTGTCAGGATCAGCTTTTCGTTGTTTCAAATTCAAATTTATATTGATTTGTTGGTTGATGCCTGCCAGTACCATACAAGTTCACGTGACTAGTTTCACGGAATATATATAATGTCCTTGACCTGCGCATTGGAGGTTAATGTCTATCTGTAATAAATTATGTTAAGGTGGCACTGGTGGCACAATTGTCTATGGCGACCTGTGCAAAGTTGTGTCCCTTGGTAAATCCAGGAACCTATGATCACGAGTTCGAATCTAAATTCCCCCCGATTATGCTTCTTGGTGTGTCGGCACCGTGCTCGTGGTTGGTACCAAAGTGGTAAACATAAAAGGCTGGCGTCACTTCCGGTATTCCTCTCACATCATGGTGACGTACTGTAGTACTTTCGAAGCCGCTTCAAACCAAAAATACATTCACTCAGTGATTACTTTAAGGTTTTGAACACAGGGGTTTGTAACGCAGACAACTGTCATCAAGGTATATACTGCCACTGACAGGGTCTTGGTACACTATAAAAAGAACCCTGACAGTGTATATCTTGATGGCGTTACAAGCCCCTGTGGCTTTGAACAGAAGCAAATCTTTACGAATACAATCCTAACCAAATGGAATAATGCTCTTGACATTTTCACGACACTATATTTCTTGCCGAACATGACCTCACGAATATGACCTCCATTACATCATTGTTACAATTATATATCAACGGCTCTTGATCCTGAGGTGATAAAAACCTGGAAGATACTGGACCGTGTTAACAATATAATGACGTCTCATGTTTGTTCTAAGCTACAAACCCAGCAGAGGAGGCCGGTCCAGCAGTTTCCCTGAAACGTAGACGTTGTCGTCGTCGGTGTGCACGTGGAGATGTTGCAGTCGGGTCGGCTCCAGTTGAAGCCCCACTGAGAGCTCCTTCAGAGCCTCGTTTTGGATCTGGACGTCATACGGAAGTAGATCCGGGGCCTCAGAAACTTCAAAACAGGAAGTGATCAAACTCGTTTCTCGTACCCCGACATATTTCTAATAGTTTCTTTTTCTTTTCGTCTATTATGTTTTATTGACATTGAAAGGTCAACTGGATTAGGCAAATGTCGCCCAACACAGCAATTCTTCAGATATATCTGTTTAAATATGAAAACGTTGAAGTAAACAGAATTCATGTGTGTGTGTGTGTGTGTGTGTGTGTGTGTGTGTGTGTGTGTGTGTGTGTGTGTGTGTGTGTGTGTGTTGCTTAACACAGCACTCAGCAATATTACAGCTATATGACGTCAGTCTGGACCAGACAATCCAGTGATCAACAATGTGAACATCGATCTACTCAGTTGGAATATGGTGACATAAATCGTGTTCAATGTTCATAAAAAGTGCGACACTGTCATGAAAATAGTAACATTATTTATTAATAAAATTAGAAGAATCTATATCTGTGATGAATGGTGTGTACTAGCTACTTGGGGAGAGACTGTAAAGTACGATATAATAAAATTGGAAGAATCTATATCTGTGATGAATGGTGTGTACTAGATACTTGGGGGGAGATTGTAAAGTACGATATATATATATATATATAAGAATATATATCTATGATATATATATGTACTAGATACATATTGGGGAGATTCGTAAAGTACGATATATATATATATATATATATATATATATATATATATATATATCGTACTTTACAATCTCTCCCCATACTTGGGGAGAGATTGTAAAGATTGTAAAGTACGATATATGTATACAATCTTTCGGTTGACAAGTTCTATATTCGCACACTTTTGAACCTGATTATTCTATGTAATAATGAACTATCACAATGTATTGCCAGGAAGGGAAGGGTCATTCAACTCATAAAATATTTCTAAGTAAAACGAAATACGTGTACATTAAACTACGGAAACATGGCCTGACTGTTGTTAGCTACAACGGCCTCAAAAGACATTCATTTACACTGCAGGGGTGGTGGGGTAGCCTAATGGTCAAAGCGTCGGCTCGTCGCGCTGACGACCCGGGTTCGAATCCCCACATGGGCGCAATGTGTGAAGCCCATTTATGGTGTTCCCCGCCGTGATATTGCTGGAATAATGCTAAAGGCGGCGTAAAACCCAGCTCACTCACTCACTCCTTTAAATGCACTTGAGAGGACCCATTGTCTCTCACCCGTAGAGGCGGCAAGGTATCCCAGTGGCTAAAGCGTCCGTTCGTTATGCGGAATACCTGGGTTCGATTCCCCACATGGATACAATGTGAGAGCCCATGTTTGGTGTCCCCCCTCGTGATATTGCTGGAATATTGGTAAAACCGGCGTAAAATTAACTCACTCACCTGGAAATCTGACGCTGAATCCAATCTGCTGTGCGTCAGTGAAACATGGCGTCAGGTCAAATGTTTTCACGGGGTCGGGATGACCGAAGTCGAAGTCATAGAAGTTCATTATGGTGTGTAGTTGAGTCTGGGAGAAAATGATGATGACGTTAACTGATATGTGACGTTGCATATGACGTCAGTTTACTCCTGATGAATATGACATTTATTATTTATATTCTATAATTGTGACTCATACCTTCTAGTGCAGTGATGTGTATCATGTATTATCATGTAAGCTCTCTGACGTATATGAGGTGGTCGAATGGTTAAAGCGTTCGCTTGTCAAGTCGAATATATTGGTTCGATTCTCCACATTGGTAAAGCCCATTCCTTGTGTTCCGTGGCATGAATGGATAGAATAACATACACTCACTCATCCACTGATGAGTAGGGTAGCCTAATGGTATAAGGCGTTCGCTCGTCACGCTAAAGTCCCGGGTTCGATTCTCACGTGAGTACAATGTGTGAAGCCCATTTTTGGTGTTCCCCGCCGTGATATTGCTGTAATATTGCTAAAAGCAGCGTAAAACCTTACTCACTCACTCACTCACTCAGTAAGATCAGACCTGGTTTATGTAGGTGATTATCTGTACAATGACGTGCGAGTAGACTCCCTTGTCGCCGGGAACACCCGTGTCAGCGCTTTCGTTGGAACTCTGAAACAAACAAGCCTACAGCTCAACCACAACAGAATCACCGTGTAAATACAGTAGAGCTAATTAACAGAGTTGTAATGACGACAACACAAAAAATATATTGTTTCTCGTTCCCGCTCGGATTACTTTCATTCCGCTTTGTGTTTTTATATGAATCGACAAAAGGCGTAATGGGGTGACTTAGGACTGGGGGAGTGGTAGTGAGGGATCTCTTTTGGAAAAGAGAAATGTCACAGTGAAACAATAATTTGTCCTCAGGATTCACTAAATCTGGTTAGGGGCGGTAGTATAACACAGTGGGTAAAGCGTTCGCTCGTCACGCCGAATGCTTGGGTTCCATTCCCAACAAGGGTACAATGTGTGTAACACCGTGACATTGCTGGAATATTGCTGGAATAGTGCTGGAATATTGCTGGAATATTTCTAAAAGCTGTGTAAACCCAACTCACTCACTCACTAAACGTGATCTCAGGAAAACATGAAACACATCTGTATTGCGCAGATTAAAAGGATCATTCGATTATCATGTCAGCATATTTAACGGTCCTGAGTCAATACACTGTGACATTTCTATGGAAAACAATCTAGGCCAAAATCCATAATGCGATTCGTAAATTCTCGCTAAATATGTTTACTTTTCAAAAGACATTTGAAAACTTCATTAAAAATAAATTATTAACTAGGTATCTCACAAATTTCCCCCCAACCCACACACCACCCCCCCACACCTTTTGCCATGCATTAAACAGTCAAGAAACGTTATAAGAAACTTGAAAACATTGTGTGTGGCCGGTTGCCATAGATTGTCACAACGCAGGCGAAGCTTTGAGTATCGATACACCGTGTGGGAAAATGAGTGATTTTTGTACTTTCACATATGTTGGTTGGTTTGTTACTTAACGCGGCACTCAGCAATATTCCAGTTATATGTCGCCGGCCTGCATATAATTTATTCTGGACCAGACAATCCAGTGATCAACATCATGAGCATCGATCTATGCAAATGGGATACGAGGACAAGTGTCAACCAAGTCAGCGAGTGTGACAACCCGGTCCCCTTAGTCACCTCTTACGGCAAGCATGAGTAGTAGTAGTAGTAGTAGTAGTAGTTGTAGTAGTAGTAGTAGTAGTAGTTGTAGTAGTAGTAGTAGTAGTAGTAGTAGTAGTAGTAGTAGTAGTAGTAGTAGTAGTAGTAGTAGTAGTGGTGGTGGTGGTAGTAGTAGTAGTAGTAGTAGTAGTAGTAGTAGTAGTAGCAGCAGTAGTAGTAGTAGTAGCAGTAGCAGTAGTAGTAGTAGTAGTAGTAGTAGTAGTGGTAGTAGTAGTAGTAGTAGTAGTAGTAGTAGTAGTAGTAGTAGTAGTAGTGGTGGTGCAGTGGTAGTAGTAGTAGTAGTAGTAGTAGTAGTAGTAGTGGTGGTGGTGGTGGTAGTAGTAGTAGTAGTAGTAGTAGTAGTAGTAGTAGTAGTAGTAGTAGTGGTGGTGGTGGTGGTGGTTGTAGTAGTAGTAGTAGTAGTGGTTGTAGTAGTAGGTAGTAGTAGTGGTAGTAGTAGTAGTAGTAGTGGTGGTGGTGGTGGTGGTGGTGGTGGTGGTGGTGGTAGTAGTAGTAGTAGTAGTAGTAGTAGTAGTAGTAGTAGTAGTAGTAGTAGTAGTAGTAGTAGTAGTAGTAGTAGTAGTAGTAGTAGTGGTAGTAGGAACCAAGTTAGCGAGCCTATCCCTGATCCGGTTAGTCGCCTCTTACGACAAGCATGGGTTGATGAAGACCAATTCTAAACTTCACTTATCTTCACTTATGTGGAGTTTACCATTTCCTACCGGTATCAAATAAAATTAAAATTAAATCAATTTTATAATTGAAGAAAACACGGTATTGCCGTCTTCATATCTATCCAGTTGAGTATTAGCACCTAGTATAGAAAATTAAGTTTTAAGTTATGTTTGCATATTCGTTTATTTTGTTGTGAAGATATTTGGATATGTTGTTGTGTTATTATTTATGTTCTAGCTATAGGCCGTCGGTTGGTTTAGAAATCCCAGTGATTGATATCATTTGTTTGTTTGTTTGTGTGGTGACATTCCATTTGAATGATCACGGTCTGGATATAATCTGGACCCCACAAACCAGAGGGCGATATTATGAGCCACATGTCACAACGTCGTGACGTGACGACACGCAGTCACCTCTATTTACCCTGGTTCAAGTTGTTGCATCTTAGCAGATATTTCACCACAAGGTCATGTGAATGCTCATGTCATGCTTTCACACTTCGTGCATACCTACCCGGGAGAAATAGGCTTCGACTGTAACGTTGTCGGCCGCGGTGTTGGTGTAGAAGACTGCACTCTTGCCCGTCACCGTGGCAACAAACAGGTCGCAATTCAATCCACGTACAGTCCGCTTGAATATGTGATACAAATATAAGTTGCTATGAATGCATCCAGTCGTCCATGAAATGAAATTGTAATGGCACATTAAATACTCTTAAGTACTTTTATTCTTTGCAAATTTCTATTGTTTATCGCTAAAGTACATTTCATGTCAAGATGTAATATGTGATGAACTAAACTTAATAACAGTTCTTTCAATTTCCAAATGCCTAAGAAACAAACTCGTTTTACGCTCTTTTGTCCCGTCACGCATTGCGTTTTTGCAGTGAACAGAAATTGTTATTGCTGTAAAAATATCCTAATTGCCCTTTCTCAAAATATTCCGTTTGAGTAAATGACTGTCCCCCATTTACTATGCACTCAATTCATTTTAAAACTGTGCATGTCTTAACATAAATATAGATAAAGCACACATGTAGCTTGTTTAGATAAATTAGCCTTTGTTCTTCCCAAAATTACATGCCCCTCAAAAACACAAAACTCTGTTCAACATAAGCACAATTATCTGATGCACATGGACATAATTATCTGTTCCACGTACATGTTATTACCTATAGCACTAACTGTCCCACATTAACACAAAATTACTTGTCCTACATGAATATACACGTCAGTCCCACATCAATCCAATTTTCTGTCAGCACAAAATATTACCTGCGCCACATAAAACAATAATCTGTTCCATATAAACGTATAAAAATATGTCCACCGTGAAAACAAGCAGCTGTCCCAAATAGACATAATTACCTGCCCCATATAAACATATTATCTGTTCCCCTTAAATGCAACACAAATTGACTGTCAAACATAAACTAGAATCACCTGTTCCACATACAATTAGTAATCTGTTCCACATGAACACCTGTTCCACATACAATTAGTAATCTGTTCCACATGAACATGTTTACCTGTCCCACGTACAAAATACCTGTCCCATATAGATAAAATTACATGCCGAACATAAACAAAATTACCTGTTGCACATGAACACAATTATCTGTCCCACATAAAAATACTAATCTGTTCCGCATGAACCCAATGTCATACATAACTATACTTACATGTCCCACGTACATAATAGCTGTACCATATTGATATAATTACCTGCCAAGTATAAACAAAATTACCTGTCCTACATAAACAAAGTTGGCTTGGAGTCGGAGGAACTCAAGTGGATCGAGAAGTTCCAGGAACCAGTGGTTGTCCTTTCCCACTCTCTTGCTATCCACTACAGTGTCTGGGAGTGACGTCATGCTGCAGTTGCCGTACTCCTTGTCAATGGTGTAGCGGGTACCTGTGATTGTATATTCATACCCATGTATATTTCTGATGCTGGATTTTGTCACAGTTATTAAATCCTTTACTCTTTTATCAGTATGAAGCGACGAGTGCAGAGTTGTCTCCCTTGAGTTGAGAGTCCTAGAAACCAATGATCGTAGTTAGAATTCAAACTTCGATCAGATATGTTTTATGGCACCAGTCCAGGCCCCTCGCGTTCACTATAGCTAAATGTGGTTTATCATAACTATGAGCTTTACATCTTTAAGGAATCTGACACGCCCTGTTGTAACTAATAGGCACTGCCAACATCAACCTCCTTATCAGTATAATGAGCAGGTTTTTGTCACAGACAGTTTAGCTTGACATGTGTTAATTATGTCTACGCAATGAAATGAAACTCAGATACCACAGTCAAATAACCTTGGATTTTTTATAACCTTTTACAGAAAAGTCACATTTAAATATACAATGGATAATTCTCCCATTGCTTGCAAACGTTTTTCAAAGGGAGACGTTATATATTCATAAGGAATCATGAAATGCACAAGTCCATCGACAGAAAATAATCTGTCTTGATTTTCTACTGAAACAATATTTTCGCAAAAAGACAACGGAACTAAGTTCATGTGACGTGCTGTATGTCTTGAAAACTTCCAATAGAAAATATTTATTTGCCATAAGTTCTTTGTTTGCTCAAAGTTCGGAGTACGATTTCCAGGAATAATCCTTTTGAAATTCTATTTTGAAGGATGGAAAGGTGGTGGCATACTTGAAATGGGAACTACGCGCACGTTGATGACGTCAGTTCAGAAGATTCTTTCTTCCAAATCTAAGTACAAAATGTTATGTTGAGAACAGATGACGTGCCAACACTTACCCCTATTAAAGTCGTCTATGTGGATAGCGGGTCGTCCCTGGTCGGGGTAGTCCATCCGTATCACTTTGTACTCCTTGTCGTACCACGCCTAGACAGAAAAGTCATTGTACATGTAGTCACAGCCCCTCGTGTCTTTGCAAGGATTAAAGATTTTAAAATATTTATATATATAAACTTGAGATGACCCCCGACTCGAAATGCTTCACAGTACAATACATTGTGACAAGGCCGGATGTACTGTACTGTGAAGCATTCTGAGTCGGGGGTCATCTCAAAAGCAATATTTTACTAATCTTTAATCCTCGCAAAGACACGAGGGGCTGTGCATGTAGGGGCATTGGTTACCTGTATCTGATAACTCAACTGTCCAAAGACAGCTAGTTATTACGACACTAAAAGGGGTGAACGTTGTGGATGCCAATTTCCGTAATATGAGGAACACGACGTTTCGGAATATATTCTTACTCCTTCATCTGGTGAATGAACTCGGAGTGAGTGAGTTTATTTTTACGCCGCACTCTGCAATATTTCAGCTATATGGCGGCGGTCTGTAAATAATCGAGTCTGGACCAACCAATCCAGTGATCAACAGCATGAGCATTGATCTACGCAACTGGGATACGATGACATGTGTCAACTGAATGAACTAGGAAGCCGATAGCTATACATGTACATGTGATAAATAACAGTGATGAGATAACAGTGGTGGGTACTCAAGTTAATTAATTGTCGCTGACTGTAATGACAATAAGCAAATAGAAGCCAGGGGTTCATCCAAGTGTAAAAGTCGAGATAGGTAATCAAGTCTTTGCCCATTACCTACCATTGCTTGATTACCTATCAGACAAATTACGCCTGGATGAAGAATATAATCCAAGGCGTCGTGTAGCGAACCTTTTATATGCATCACTTCTAAATGCCATTCAAAGACATCAGTCACCTTGAAGGATACAGATCAGGGAATCCACTCGAGTGATGCCATACATTCACATTTATTTTGTGTAACATCAAAGTGAACGTGGTATTTAATCATTATACAGAGTCAACATAATCAACACTTCAAACTTTAAAACATAATCAGCAAGCACACGGTTGTCAGGTTTGTTGTTGATAAGTTAAATGTTTTTTGAATGTTGTTGAATTATTTTATGCAACGATTTCCCATCCAGCAGACAAACAGAATGCATTTTCATAAAATAACTGTTAATATTTCTAGAAGGTCCACATACACACTTCTATCGGTTTATCAGAAATAACTAAGTACAATCGAAGGAAGATTCAGACAAACTCGACAGGGTATCTTGTGAGTTTTTCACCTTCTGAAGTCTTAAAATCCTCCATACCTACAAATCGTCTTGACAGTGAGTAGGTGAGTTACTGTTAGCACTTGTTTCACAGTATTCTACAACACGACACATCCAATACATGATTTCACATACAATTGCAGAGATACACCCTCCACATTTGCGTCTCTCTTGCTTGCCGGGATCCTAATATTAATATGAAGCCAGAATCAAACTCATATCCACCCTTAAATCATTTAAGACATGCCTCATCCTCCCATTTCAACTTTTATCGCCATCGTATAACTGATTATATGCCCAAAGCGGACCCAGTTGAACTCTACACTACCTCAACGTTGACCTTGACAAACATAATGACTTTTCGAAGACATTGTTCTAGAAAAGCGAGCGCAGCGCTACGAGTGTCGTAAATCTATGTTAAAGTATGACAGTTACGATCATCTTATCGCTAAGAAGGCTTTATGGAACAGACCCTGGGATGTTGTAAAACCTCATTGTCAGGTTTGAAGTAGAAATATATAGTTGAAGTATTTCCTCAGCAAAATTCATTCACATGTATATGTTTAATATTTGTGATGACAAATATGTATAGGTATTTTGAAGAGTATGTCTCACCTGTTTGTTGACTGTGTGAGCATCCGGTACGTTAGTGTCCTCCAACCGGAAGTAAAACTGATTGGCTATCTTCGGTATCAGTTTGAGGCTCTTCCGGTGTGGGCACACAACATTTTGCGGTGTCTGTATTTGGAAACAGACGTGAATACCAGAGAGTAACCACTCTTCAGTTTGGCGTAAATGACACAATAACAGTGACAATTAAATGAAAGGACCACTCTACATCAATGATGACACCAGGTGTTCGACAAAAGTAATAATAATAATAATAAATACATCTTACGCTCAAGCATAAACAATACAGTATGTTAAGTCTTTTAAGAAGAAGTTCACGAAGTATTGATGTAAATGCAAAAGATAGGTTTTCTATCAAAAGTGACGGAATGAAAAACGTTTTACCTCAAAAACAGTAAGACCAGGCTCTATCCCCGGTCGGAAGTCGTAATAATCGTAAATATGATGAAAGTTCATCTGACCGGAAGCTGTGCGCATAATTCCTGTGACATCCGCCCGAACTGGAACTTGTGGATATGTCATTGAAGTTGTCCAGTTGAGAGCTGCTCGCACGGTTAAAATGAAATACATCCACAAGTGCCAGTTTCTAAACTGAGAGGCTAACGCAGTACGACGAGTTTGTCTTTTATGCAATTATAATCTGTTTAAAGTGATTTCATTATATCTTTTTAACCATCACCCGTACCTGCAACTGTTTATGAAAATATATCTGCAGCTGTATCTGGTTCAATGAGGAATTAAACTGACAGCCAGATGCCCTAATATGTTTGAGATGCAAATGTCTATCAAGTCAAGTCATATATTTGTAAAACACGTCCAATATTTTGGGTTTCCTTTCCTCCATATAACTGTAGATCTGCAATTCATGTGTAATATGTCAACATTGCCTATGACATATTTTACCTGAGAAATAGTAGTCGAGTGTGAAGTTCGCCTTGAAATAATCCCAATACATGCAAGTTCGCCACTTGTCACAGTTAATACCGCGTACTTCAGATTGTCCCAGGTAGGTCTAGAAAAAAAAAAATAAGTGCATCATTAGTGTATGTAATATCGGTCTGCCTTGCACATACCTAACTCCAAAGCAAAATGAACAACCCAGCTGTTTAACAAAGTTACGAAAGCAAGAAAAAGTAAACACATTCAGAGCCATTGAAGAAACCAGAGTATCCCCCAGCTAACACGATAACATCAGTAAATATTACCTCGAATATAGAGAAGGTCGCTGGGATAGCCTAGTGGCTGAAGCGGTCGCTCGTCACGCCGAAGGCCCGGGTTCGATTCTCTTCATGGGTACAATTTACGAATCCCATTTCTGGTGCCACCGCCATAATATTGCTGGAATATTGCTAAAAGAAGCGTAAAACTACAACCCTGAACCCCAGGGAGGAGGAGGATTTCTTAGCCTATTTTGGATATAGTTCCCAGCATACTCACTTCACCATAACGCTTTGCAAACTTAATGATGTCGTTTGTTGAGAAGATGTGACCGGTGCCGTTAATGCCGATGTCGCCAAATAGGTACAGATCCGCAGTGTCATTGGACATCGTCTTAGTCACACAGACGCCATCTCATAAACGCAAGAACGTTTACAGATGTCACATTTGTATCAATGAGCATGTAGTTTTACAGCGATCGTATCAACGAAATAGGTGATACTAAACTGACGGACAAAAGGAAGTATACACAAGAAAATTGTATTGGCCCTAAAAGAATAAACATCATTACATGGCTGAAAATGTAGAATACTGCACACTTAAGGACCAAACACAAACCACTGTGAAAGATGTTGCTATTTCTGAGAGGGGGCGGTGGGGTAGCCTAATTGTTAAAGCGTCCGCTCGTCAAGCTTAAGACCAGGTTCGATTCCCCACATGGGTACAATTTATGAAGCCTATTCCTGGTGTCTCCCGCCGTGATATTGCTGAAATGTTTCTAAAAACTGAACTCACTCACTCACTCACTTGCATTATATTAATGGCTTATTTGTGGTAGCTACAGTAAGATTTCATGACGTAGCATTTGTCAGTTACGCCACCTGTTTCTGGTAGCGTACGTTCAATAATTGGGGTTGTGTGGTTACTAAGCAACCGCAGGTGCAACTGTCCGAACGCTTACCGTGCACCGTGTACACCTGGCCTGCCTTGTAGTCGAACACCACGTCTGTGAAGTCTCCCCCTCTCACCAAAGTCAACGCTGCTCTGTTGCCGTCGTCGTCGGCATACTCTGCAACCTCCATGGTAAAACCCTGGTCGATTAAATTCGCCTCCAGGCGGGTCTGGAAGCTCCGGGGCAGATCGGGAAACGGTGGGTCTGTCATGAAAAGGTCGCGTTGTTTTTATGACCGTGTATCAGTCTAACATAACGTAAATGGATTACTAGAGTATCGTTGTGGGTAAATCTCAGGTAAATACTCGTTTGAAATGATCAGATTTGAGTTAGCGAAACCTTCCTATCATTGCTGCTCGTTTCAGAGATGCTACGAAATAGTTCTAGTCTACCGCCAATGATTTTTAAAAACACACGCAATAATTGGTTGACTTGTACTGTAGTTCTTATTGAAAGGATTGCCTCACATAAAATCCTTGGGTGTGTTGTTAGGGAGTTGTGGTTGGTGCGTAGTAGTGGTAGTGATGGGTGTGTGGTCGGTTTGTGGCAATCCTGTGGCACCCACCAACACCACGTCGATTCGCTCTTCGTTCTTTCACTTACTGACTCACTCCTTCACCCCTTCACTCACTCATAACTCCTTCACTCACTTCTTCACTATTTCACTCACTCACTCCTTCACTCATTTGTTCACTCCTTCACTCTCTCATCCACTCCTTCTCTCACTCGCCCCTTCACTAATTCATACGCTTTTTCACTAACTCACTCCTTTACTCTCTCACCCTCTCCTTCACTAATTCACACGCTTTCCCACTCACTCACTCCTTCACTCACTTCTTCACTCCTTCACTCACTCACCCACCCATTCACTCACATAAATACATACCGGTCGGTTTTGACTGTGTTGATCCGGATGTACAGTAAGACCCGTTTGATGCTGTGCTGACATAATGTGCTACAGATGCCAGCAGCAGAATTGCTGCCGTAATCTACAACGATTTCATAATTGGGATCAAAAATTCCAAAATAGCCTGCGCTAAATACAATGAAATTCCAAGCACATACATCACAAACGTTGGTCTTAATACATTTGCTACTTTGTTACTGGTAACTGTCTGTGATAATCTGTCTGAGTGGGTGACATTCCAATGCAGAACGTCCCTGTCCACTTACTGTGACGTCATTGTCACGTCAGGGCGTCCTGTTAAAGCAGGGCACCCAGTCGTTGCCGTATCCGCTGTGCAGAGTTGCGTGCCTTGGTCACGCTGGAAAACTACTGTCTTGGGTTCGAATCCAGGATTTTTTTTTCTTGGTAAGTTAGCGTCCCGTACTCAATGGTTCGCCAAAGTGTACACATCTTTCACCAGCATCGCTTCGGGCTTTCCTCTTTCATCAACTAACACTAACTCAAATGTTACACGTAACTACATTTTATCACTATGATTACTATATATGCTAACTATTGTAGCACTGTATGTTTTCTTCAATAATGATATCACATTCGTAACTACTCGTGTCATTCCGGCAAGCCGGATGGCGTCTCGTACCCCTCTCGTGGCCATGTTTACGACTGGGACCTGTCTAAGCGCAAAAGGGCATGGAGATGAAAATAGTCTAGTACTATTACCAAGGAAAGATAACTCTGAATTTCCAAACATGGCTCCTAGAATATCCTATATCACGTGGGAAAAACAGCAATACAGTCATCCCCTTTGTAAATATGTTTCAGTGTTTAAAGTTTCTGATCCTTTAGCTCAATTTTTAGTTATGCTTTGCATAGTTTTGCGACGTTTCAAACTTTAACGGTGCCGCCATTTTCCTGCTTCGAAATGCGTTTTACTACGCGCGATTTGATTGGTTTGCCACGATTCTTGGCAATAATGGCGTACGATAGGGGTACGAGTCTTCTTGTAGGTCAGGGAAAGAGGCGAGAATTTACGAATGAATGATATCAGTGAAACAAATTCCTATTGAAACGCATCTCTGTGCTTCAGAAGCTTTATATACTAAGCATCAAAAGTTTAGACTCACTTAAAGCACTCACTATACATATGTTATGGATATTTGTATGGTTACATCGAAGATGATTTTCTCCACTAACTTGGGGGAACCGACTGCAAACCTTATGCAGATGAATTGAACGAGGATCATGCATCAAATTGCTGAAAAGCATGTGGAAATATCGTGCATGTGAACAGCTGCTTTTTGGTGTAAAGTTTTGTTAAGAATTCGTCAATTTTCATCATTTATTGAACTCATGACAATTATCTTTTCAACGTTACGAATTTGTTTTACAATACATCAATTCATGTGTAAACAGCACCTTTAAACAGTATGGAATATTTTGCAAAATTTAGTTTAGAACGGTTGACTGGAGTAAGTGTTTACGTGTACACTAATGAGTCTAAACTTTTGATGGGTAGTATATTATGTGAAATATGACTGAAAAGTAATGCAAATGTAAGGCAGTTGTTCACCTGAGAAAACAGTTTTTAGATTAGCCCGATTACTCAGGTGTACGGTTTAACAGTACATAAGTACAAGAAGGTTGTATTTTGCTGAACTTTTCGCGAAGTTGTCCTAGTTTAAGTAGAAGATTCACTTGTCCAACAGTATGTAAACCCTCTTAGAAAGTTGTCATATATTCCACGTTAAAGATAAAATTATAACCTTTCACTATATATAACGCTTAGAATATATAGTTTAAAGGTATTTAAAAAAGAAATTAAACATTTGTTCACTTTTAAAAAAAAATGTATAGGTATGTTGATAATTAACCTTAATATTTATAGTGTACCCTACCTCAGATTTCCTAAGTATTGTAGTATGTAATTAATCAAACATGTTTGAAACAATTTAAGTCTTAAATTGTTTAAATTCGATCTAAATTAAATAAGTAAACAATTTGTTTCAGTTGCACTTTATTTTTGGCCCCTCCTTTGGGGGATCTAAATCTGCTGGCCCAAAATGTAACATATGCTATGTTTGGGATTATACATTCTCAGTGAAGTGCAAAATGGACTTTTCAGCGTTGAGTCCCATCCTGGATTCGAACCTAAACTATAAGGTTGAGGCAGCACACTATGCCAACGCCAAAAGTCAGTGTTGTAACCCACTCACCCATCACGGCATTCGTAACTACTCGTCCCTTTCCGTAACCTAAAAGTAGACTCGTACCTCACTCGTAGCCATGTCCGGGAGAAATATTCCCCAAGCCAATCAGAATGCGCGTATGTAGAGAAGAAATTGGGTCAAAAGAGGTCTTTGAAATATTGTTCATTTCGGCTTGCATAATGTTTTCCCCAGGCAATTCAAGTATATTCTAATTATTGCATAGTCCTCCTGGGTTTCCTGAATTTTTATAACGAGGATAATTTAACATTATGGCGTAGGAAAGTTTTCAAGCATGTTAAACATACCCTTTGAGGCAATTCCTTGCCGTGGATGCCATGTGTGTTTTCCAAGTAAACTAGAGTTACATGCCCTTGAAAATAGTTCGTCGACTAGACTATTTCTTTCTCTCTGCAATTTTTGCGCTCAGACAGAGCCGCGTTCAATACAATGGCGACGAGAGGGGTACGGAAAGGGACGAGTAGTTACGAATGCCATCACGGCTTCTAAAATGGAAGCCAGACAGCTGGCAGTCTTGATCACGTATATTGCGTCACCCTCTAAAAGCGTATATGAGCACAGCTGCCAAGGCCGATAACTGTGTATACACAATGCCTCCCAGTAAGTGGTTTGTAACATATGTCTGACGTGTGATCAAACTTGCTCAGTCGAGTATAGATCGCAGAGAGTGTGTGCTCTGAGAGTGTGAGTTCGAAAATCGTTTCTTTACTGGGAAAAGGTTATTCAAAATACAACATATGTCTTGAAGTCCTAGTTCTGTACTTTAAGCATATTTGTAAGGTCATGCTACTCTTTCTTTTTAAAAGCGTTCACTCGTCACGCCGAAGACCCGGGTTCGATTCCTCAGATGGGTACAGTGTGTAAAGCCCATTTCTGGTGTCCCCCGCCGTGATGTTGCTGGAATATTGCGAAAGGCGGCTTAAAACCATACTCACTCTCACACTCACTGCTCTTTCCTTTTGCAAATTTTGTGCAGATATATTTCACTGACTTGCCACTAAATTATCAGATGGGACAATAACCAATGCCTCGCTCTGCAGTGACTGACTGACTGACTGAGTTTAGTTTTACGCCGCTTTTAGCAATATTCCAGCAATATCACGGCGGGGACACCAGAAATGGGCTTAACACATTGTGCCCATGTGGGGATTCGAACCCGGGTCTTCGACGTGACGAGCCAACGCTTTAACCACTAGGCTACCCCACCGCCCCGCTCTGCAGTGAGATACGAAACACTAATATCACACACCCCAGGAAATATGGAGGTCTGCGAACTAGTGGATGACGGCATGAATAGACTCCCACTCCTCCATGTCACGATGAGTGAGTGAGTTTACATATACGCCGCTTTTAGCAATATTCCAGCAATATCACGGCGTGGGACACCAGAAATGGGCTTCACACATTGTACCCATGTGGGGAATCGAACCCAGTGACGGCGTGACGAGCGAACGCTTTAGCCACTAGGCTACCCCACCATCCCTTGTCACGATGTCACGTTATCTACAACGTCACGTTGCATATGTTAATGACAACTGTTGGTCGTTAGTAGTCTCACACAACGATCCTGGAGTGATGGGGATCTATTCTGGCCCCGTGTAGAATAAATGTGAAAGTACATTAAAATTGCATTATTTTCTGCTGCAAATGAGCCTGGTTATCGAATTGTTGAATAAATGGGTGAGAGCATTTTGTTTTCTGTTACTATGAACTGTATTTTATTTATATTAGCTATTGGTTAGTGGAAGCATCAAGTGAGTGAGTGAGTTTAGTTTACGCCGCTTTTAGCAATATTCCAGCAATATAACGGCGGGGGACACCAGAAATGGGCTTCTCACATTATACCCATGTGTGGAATCGAACCCGGGTCTTCGGCGTGACGGGTGAACACTAGGCTACGCAACCACCCAGGAAACACCAAGCAACGCAGGTCTTAGAAGTACATTTCATATTTGCGACGTGTAAACTTGTGTGTGGAAAATTGAAATCCCGTAGGTCTCAAACGTTTACCGCTTTGGTGACACCTACGATCCCGGAGTGTGGTACTGTCGAACCAAGAAACATACAGGAGCGAACTAGGATTCGAACCCAGTAATATGTTTCTAAAGGGACCAAGGGACATAACTCTGTACAGCGAAATGCGGCGCCTTTGACAATGAACTTTTCACCCGATATGTTTATGAAAACAGTTAAGTTCCCACATGCTAGCAATGTGTTTAAACCATTCTTGATGTCTCGTCTTCTGTTGTTTTCGGCGTGAGGTCACAACTGCTTGTCTGAGTGTGGACCTTATTGTGACCAACACGATACACGACCGTGTTTTCATTGTTTATAGCTCTAATGTGAATGTAGACTAAATCATCCCTCTTCCTTAAATACATATATACCATCTTCAGTACATAACGGGTTACGGGGTGAATAATATACATTAAAACAAATAAAGTTTCGGGAGATGTGAACATATTTACCTTCATTGTCCCGTTATTCTACCACGATATCACAATTATGCCTGACCCGACAGTCAGTTATAATAATTTATTTTACCGTATTGTCCTCACAATGTTGAACGTCTATGTGATTGTTTAATTAAATATCCCTCTTACTCGTTCGATTCACGAACATGATGCTCATGATGTATATTAGCTCACATGAAATTATAAAATTATTATTATAAAGTAATTATTGAGTAATTCAGACACCATCATAATTCGATGTTTTTGATACAAGGTGTAAGTATGAGGCGTGCATTAAGAAGAGAGACTATGGTATGCCAGGAGATAGAGCTGTCGTCGATGTTGTTCAGACATGAATGTGGTGTTATCACAGCCGTCCTATCCCCGGATATCTGCACATCAAAGGTCGTTTGGATTGCAACACTAATCAGACCATTTCAAAACTACATTTCACAATGCAAGAGCATTGTCATCACAATTGCATTATTGATAGGACTAACAGGCTCAGTCTCCAAACTCCCTTGTTCCATCCTCACGAAACAAGGGCGCTATGTGACTATAAAAGTCCAGTTTCACCCTGGCCGAAAAGATATTCTAAAAATCTTTCTTACTTTGAGTTAAAGTGTTCATGGAAATGTGTCTATAATGTCGAGGTAAGACCCTTTTTCTACAATATGGATTTTGATTATCTGGTCAGATTGTGGTGATCAGGTGCCGCCATTTTGTTTAAAGCTAATCAACGTCATATGACGTGGGATCTGATTAGTCAAAAGGAGGGACACAGAAGGTACATAACTCGTAATAGCTGGTAGAGCTACGATCGAGCCACGAGATTCAACATTGTTCGACAGGGTTGGAAGCTGGACAAGTATATTTATTAAGTTAAATACCTTGACAAGCGACAATAGCACACGTCCAGACATATCACAGTCATACGCAATGCACACATGCACATACATTAGATAGACACACATATTGGACGAGTGCTACACACGCAGGCACGCACCAATCTACTCACTCACCAGCCCTCCAGTGTCACTCGAACACTCAAAAACAGACATACACACGGATATTCTATTTGCACATATGCCGAGGGACACGAATGGATCAGCATCTATTCAAACAAATTGAAAGGGCATGTAAAGACAAACAGGTAAGCTGTGTGTCAGCTTCCTCTGAAACGTGCCCTGGTTGATCCTAGCACAGTACTAGTCAGGCTGGTTGGCCTTAGCACAGTACTAGTCAGACTGTCAGACCTAGCATAGTACTAGTCAGGCTGGTTGGTCCTAGCACAGTACTAGTCAGGCTGGTTGGCCCTAGTATTGTTACTAGTTACGCCGGTTGGTCCCAGCACAGTACTAGTCAGGCTGTTGGTCCCAGCACAGTAGTAGTTAGGCTGGTTGGTCCTAGCACAGTACTAGTCATGCTGGTTGGTCCCAGCAAAATACTAGTCATGCTGTTGGTCCTAGCAGAGTACTTGTCAGGATGGTTGGTCCTAGCACAATACTAGTCTGGTTGGTTGGTCCCAGCACAGTACTTGTCAGGCTAGTTGGTCCTAGCACAGTACTTGTCAGGCTGTTGGTCCTAGCACAGTACTAGTCTGGTTGGTTGGTCCTAGCACAGTACTAGTCAGGCTGTTGGTCCTATCACAGTACTAGTCAGGCTGGTCCGCCCCAGCACAGTACTAGTCAGGCTGGTGGGCCCTAGCACAGTACTAGTCAGGCTGGTTGGCCCTAGCACAGTACTAGTCAGGCTGGTTGGTCCTGGCAATATTAGTGAGGCTGGTTGGTCCTGGCAGTATTAGTGAGGTTGGTTGGTCCTGACAATATTAGTGAGGCTGGTTGGTCCTGGCAGTATTAGTGAGGCTGGTTGGTCCTGGCAATATTAGTGAGGCTGGTTGGTCCTGGCAAAATAAGTGAGGCTGGTTGGTCCTGGCAGTATTAGTGAGGCTGGTTGGTGCTGGCAATATTAGTGAGGTTGGTTGGTCCTTGCAATATTAGTGAGGCTGGTTGGTCCTGGCAATATTAGTGAGGCTGGTTGGTCCTGGCAATATAAGTGAGGCTGGTTGGTCCTGGCAATATTAGTGAGGCTGGTTGGTCCTGGCAATATAAGTGAGGCTGGTTGGTCCTGGCAATATTAGTGAGGCTGGTTGGTCCTGGCAATATTAGTGAGGCTGGTTGGTCCTTGCAATATTAGTGAGGCTGGTTGGTCCTGGCAATATTAGTGAGGCTGGTTGGTACAATTCAAAGGCTGGTTAAAACCCCACACAGCAGTAGTCAGGCTAATAAGGTTCATCAGCTCAGGTATCCTCGCCCCTTCTACACGCAGCCCAGCGAATGGGACCTCTCCCAGGAATTGCTATCAAATCGAACCCACCAAGGACTTTTCAGAAAATGTGGAAGCTATCCAGCGCTGCAGCTTTCTGCATTTTTTTAAGAGTGTCAGAGGAGTCAGAGTGTCAAAACAGACAACACTGGGTAATCGGACGACTTTGGGTGCAATAAAACCCCATTTCAAATGCAAAGTCAGCTTTTAGACTGTTCGTATTTTTCCCGTTTTTTTCTCTTCTCTCAACTTTCCCCACCTCTCTGGAAAAGCTGTGCCTGATGTAATTTTTAAAAAATACTATAACCCGTCTTCACTTATAGAAACATGCGGGTCAGCTTAAACCATCTTCATCTAAAAAGGGGGGCGATGGGTTAGCCTAATGGCCCGTCACACCGAAGACCCGGGTTCGATTCCCCACACGGGTACAATGTGTGAAGCCCATTTCTGGTGTCCCCGCCGTGATATTTGTGGAATATTGCTTAAAGAAGCTTAAAACCATAATCACTCGCTAACTCAAGCATCTAAAAAGAAATGTTTCTGAAGCGAAGCGACTCGTTCTACATCATAAATTTATTTCAAGACAATTATTAAATCACCAACAATTGTGTAAAATTAGTGACACAAATAGTGAAAAAAAAATCTGTTTATATACTTTTTTTCTCCCGCTTTTTTCGCTGCCTGAAGTTGGAGATGAGAAACACAAAAAACATGGATGGCCAAAGAAGGCCATACTCTGTCAGTGGTAGACGTGGAATGACTTAAGCAGGTTGGCCGGTCCACCAACAGTTACACCCTACAAGCACTAGTGTGATTAGAGAGTACAGTTTTTCATATTGCCTTGTGAGGGTAGGGTAGCCTAGTGGTTAAAGCGTTCGCTCGTCACACCGAAGACCCGGGTTCGAATCCCCACATGGGTACAAGTGTGAAGCCCATTTCTGGTGTTCCCCCGCCGTGATATTGCTGGAATATTGCTAAAAGCGGCGTAAAACTAAATTCACTCATTGACTCATATTGCCTTGTAACTTTTGGCCAAACCAGAAACTGACTTCACAAAGTCAAATACCTGTTTTCCTGAATTTGAAATATGCAACCACGTAAACTGATGTCTTTAATTTAAGTGACATTGTCAGACGAAAATTTGTTTCTAAAATGTCCATTTTTTTAAAATTTCAGGAACCACAAAAAAGATTTCTTCTCATGTAAAAATACAATGCCACAGAGGCTGATAAAAATCAAGTACGCGTTAAGTTCCGGTTGTCAACAACATCTCTCACAAGGCGATGACTGGTCTGGCCCATTCGTCACCACTCGCCCTTTTCCGTAATCTCAACGGAATAACACGAGTGGGTCACGATTGGAATGTGTCCAACAGGATCAGACTACCAATCATTCTCATGATACACTGACTTGAGCAGTCGCAAATTGAGGTATGGCAATTCAGTTCGCCTTGTTATAAATGTCAAGCCTCACTGGTTGGACCATTGATTTACCGTTACGTGTTTGGACAGAGATAATCCAATATGGTCTCTAGTTTAGATGACACTGCTGTTGACATATACGGGCGTTAACCACGAAAGCTGAGCGAGATAAGATTATAATGAAAATAATAGCACCTGGAAACAGGTTTGTCGGGCTTATCACAAAGGGAGTATTATTTGCGACGAAAATAACACATAAAAATTGTATTTATCTCGTGTATTTTTTTCACAAATGTCTTAGAACAACAAAAATTGTGGTCTACATTATATGTATATTTTTGAAAGCGTGTGAATTATAACAAATGACATGTTATAGATGGGCTAATGGCGTGTCTCTACACTGATCATGTCGTTTTTTCACCAATCAGGGATTAAATCAATGAAGTTCTGGTTAATTACATGTGTCTGAGAAATGTAAACACTAACATGTGCCAATTTAACATACCATAGTCCTTTCAAGTCAAATTATCATCTAAAATTAGCTTTAGTATAATTTATGCTTGTGGGAAAAGACCTAGATAAAACAATTAATGCTTGCAAATGTATCATACATTTAACCATTCAGTAAAAATTCAATATACATGTATCTGTGAATTTTCACAATGGTATAAATGCCCAATATGATGTTGGCTATGTCCCCAGCACATACAGTTTTTTATGGAGAAATGTCGCGTGACCTGCTTGCATATCAATTGGAAGAATGCATGTGCCAAAGTCCGGATATACCTGGCATGCCGCAAGTAAGGTGGGCTGTTTAAGCCATCATCACAGATAGTGACACAAAGCAGACTAATAACATTTCAGCCTGTGATATAAACAACAAACAAGATAATAGATAAATAAATGTATGATTCTGTATGTTGTTCCATGGATGTTGATAATATATAGTCTTAGAATAGATCGTTGTATAAATAATAATAATAATAATAATAATGAGGTCAAAGCCACCAATACTTTTGCTGTGCCAGTCCTCTCCTATTCCGTTGGAGTAGTTGACTGGACAAAACAAGACATCCAGAGTCTTGACCGTCTGACCAGAAGGATCATGTCTGATAACAGAGCCCACCACCCCCGTTCCTCTCTTAACCGTTTATACATGCCAATCAATTCTGGAGGTCGGGGTTTGATTAATGTGGAGGCTCTTCATGATAGAATTTTATTGTGTACTTTTGCACATATTTATTTATCGGATGATCCTCTAGTGATGCATGTGAAGACTCATGATGAAAGCAAGGAATTCCACAGCTATTTTAAGCGTGCCAAGGTTGTTGGACAGAATCTGAGATTTGAGGTTGATTTTGTTGATGGCGATGTACTGCTGGACGGTACAGTGATGTGAGTAAACCAGGTGAAGTCCTTTACCAAGTCTGCCCAGAGTCGGTCTGTTGTGGAGAAGCTTTCTGAGAAGCCATTACATCGTGTGTACATGCAGTGTGTTGAACAGAATAGCAATCCCACCGACTCCTTCGCCTGGATGAAGTCGGCTGGTCTTAAATGTGAAACTGAGGGCTTCCTTTTTGCTGCTCAGGACCAGTCACTTCCCACTCGCAATCGCCAAAATGTGATTCTTAAAGAAAATATCAATATGAAATGTCGACTTTGCAATGAATTCACGGAGACCGTCCAACACCTTGTCAGTGGATGCCCTTCCTTGGCACAAACAGCATATCTTAAACGACATGATGGCATGGCTCGTTGCTTTTACTACCGTCTCCGACATGCCTGTGGCTTTGACTCCGAGGTCCATCCATGGTACGACCCTGAACATGTCCAGGGCGTCATGGAAAATGATGCTTTCAAACTTCTGTGGAATAGGCCCATATACAGCCTCAGAAGATTTCCAGCCAACAAACCTGATCTTGTCCTTTTTGATAAAGCCAATGAATTTATTTATATCATAGAATTTTCTGTCCCTTTTGACACCAATGTGATTGGCAAGATTAAGGAAAAGCATGATAAATATGCGGACCTCGCCTTTGAAATGTCTCGCTTGCATCCCAAGTACACTGTCGTCAGGCTCCCCATTGTTCTCGGTGCCCTTGGTTTGGTACCTCCTGATCTCTTGGCGCAGATCAGGAGAGTGCCCGGGTTCTCCACCGGGAGTACAGCCCTTCTGACACTCTGGGTAATGCAGAAGGCTGCAGTGTTGGGGAGCCTTCATATTCTCCGGAAAGTTCTTGGTGGGTTCGACTAGGCAGCGTTTCCTGGGAGAAGTCCCATTCGCTGTCTGGGCTGCGTGTAGAGGGGGCAAGGGCCCTGAGCTGATGATGAGCCTTACCATCCTGACTGTGCCAGGATCACCCGAACCCTCTCTGCTGCATATTATCTTTAATCTGTAAAACATAATGATGAGAAGTCTTATAATGCGCTAATCTCCACGCAACAAAGCATGCTCAAAGCGCTAACACCCTTATTATTATTAATACCCCGGATAACCCAAGCTGCCTGTTAGGCGCTAGAAGGTTATAGTCACATGACTTTACCCAACCGGGTACCCATTTTCTGCTGGGTGAACAGAGGCAATTTTGAACAAACTCACTTGCCTAAGGTGAGACCACATGCATCACATGCGCTTCGTTGTGGGGCAGGACTGAAGTCCTAGAAACTCTCAGGAGTCAAGCTGCCAACACGGTCACCCATCCAAGGATTGTCCGAGCCCAACGTTGCTTAACTTCAACTGATTTGTGACCTGAGCGCTATGCACAGGACCACGTGCCATATTTCTTTAAACACATGTTATAACTTGGATACATTTTACACTGTCAGTGACAGAGAATAACACATATTTGATATTCAATAAAATTTGTTGCAATTATTGATATTATATGTCTTTAATGAGATGAATAGTATAACAGTATAACCAGGACATATGCCTTGCACTAGTCGTTGGCCATCGGAGATGACCATTGAGATTTTTTTGATGATTGGACAAAGCGCCGTACACGTCATTTACTATGAAAAGTCAAACTCATTAATATTGCGTGAATCCTCCCCTATTCTCAAGACAATCTCGGATTCTTCGAAATATAGTCCCAAGCAGTTGTCCAATGTCAACTTGGTCCGTGCAATCCCATTCTTCCTGTAGGGCATTGCCAAGTTCGTTGTGAGTGGTCGGTGGTTGTTGACGGTGACGGATGCGCCATCCAAGGATAGGAGAGACATGTTCGATGGGGACAAGTCTGGTCTGAGTGCTGGCTATGGATATGTGGTTATATTCCCCTGTTGGAGGTACTCAGTAACAATATGAGTCCTCTGGGCTCTTGCGTTGCCACCCGCAAACACAAAACGACGTTCACGTCGGCGGGCAAATGGAACCACGTGTACCGCCTCCAGGATGTAAGGTGAGGTGAGGTGAAATTGTGTTTTACGTCGTGCTTGAGAATATTTCGCTCATATGACCACGTGCATGCGTGTGTATGTGTATGTGCGGCTGCTTGTACTAGCCCAGACTTGAGCTGGTTTTATAGTGCTAGCCCACTGAGATACCATGCCGCAGTGAAGCATGAATACCCCACTCAGACACATTATACTGACTCCGAGCCGACCAGTCCTTGTTGTACCTTTTAATGCCGAGCGCCAGGCAGGGACCAACAAGTACCATATTTTAACGTCTTTTGGTATAACGCGGTCGGGAATCGAACCCGCGACCTTCCGCTCTCCGGGCGGACACTCTAACCACTACACCACGGAGGCGGTCCTCCAGGATGTTGTCACGGTTGTACTGACCAGTTTTCTCTGAGCTTCACGGCATTCCGTCCATGCCACACTCTGTTTCGCTTGTCAAGGGGGCCCAAAGCCCCGAAAACATAACGTCAAACCACGATTGGTCCAGCTCTGCCGCTCATGGACGCAATGTCGTCTTGCGGTAATGTGACGGCCCATCTTTCATGGGATAACTCGTAGACCTCGGGCATGCAGGTTCCATCCGTGTAGCTGATTTCGAATCGTCTTTTTCCACACCTGTTGCACTGCGAAGACCAGTTTTAGAGGCAATTCTGATGAATCGTTCTTGTTCACTTGTTATCGCCCTTGGTCCGTCTGTCATTTGTCAGTCGATATCCAGATTTGCACGATAGTGGTTGTAAAGCATTAACACCTCGAGCTACAATGTTCTGTCTTCGTCCTTAAAGACCCGTTAAGATCCGGGTTAGAACTGGTCTTCAGTAACCCATGCTTGTCGTAAGAGGCGACTAACGGGATCGGGTGGCCAGACTCACTGACTTGGTTGACACAAGTCATCGTATCCCAATTGCGTAGATCGATGCTCATGCTTGTGATCACTGTATGATCTGGCCCAGACTCGATTATTTACAGACCGCCGCCAAACCGCTGGCATATTGCGGCGTTACCAATCGAACATCCATCATGATAATTGCACGTAGCCGATCCCGACGGGACAGACACCGCATGTAAATAAAACCGTTTTACGGAGTTTAAAACAATATCAGAACAACTTTAAATTTGCTTTTTATCCCTGAAATGTACATCTACACACGTTTCACTGTAATTTTAACCGAGTATGTTCAAATGCACCACAGGACAAAAAGCCGGATAGTAAACCATTGAAATAAACGTAACTACAGTAGGAAATAAATGCCATGACCGGATTTACGTATGTTTCCAGAGATTTCCCAACTTCGGGCATATATTTCATATGAATCTATACCTTTGAAACATATGCTCATCGAACATTTTCGTATGCACATTTACCTCGTTCATGTATGCCATGACCGGATTGTCAAGTATTTCCCAACATGAATTGCAAAACAGATACCCCAGTAAATACATGATCATACAGTATTTCAGAGGCATTCCTTTGAATTTCAATTGGTGCTGAAATTTCCGATTTCGTTCTAAGTTTACTCAGGTTGGAAACATGTAAATTTACGTAGGTGGGGAAACACATGTACATTTTCAAATTTGCAAATGTTTACACACCTTAGATATTT